ACTGCAGGGAAATGGGAAGAGAAAATAAACTGCTTCTGAGGGTGTCAGCTAGGGGTAGATTCCATCCTGATGACAGAGATCAAAGGCCTCAGGTTTATTCAACAATTAAAAATCAACTATCTAAAATAATCTGAATATAGTTCATAAAAATGTTTTAAAGTTTTCTTAAATTTAAGCCTTTTCTCATTTTTATACTCATTTAATGAAGGCATAATTTTCTTAATATTCCTCACAGACATTATAATAAGTTTAATTTATAGTCTATATGATGGGAGAGAAATCTGCAGGAAATTTAAAGGTACCTTTCAGGGATTTTTTTTTTTTAAAGATTTATTTATTTTTGCATACAAGAGCTGGGGTACAGGCCAGAGGTGTGGGGGGTGAGAGGATTCACCAGAGACAGAGTAAGGAGCAGAACAGGCAGACTGACTGAAAAACACTGCTGAGGGGAGCAGCGGGTAAGACAGGAGAGATCTGCAGTGCCATGTGGTTTCTCCCTGGCCAGCAGGGGATCAAACCTGTGCACAGAGGCTGCAGATTGCTTCATAGTGTGGTGCTTAACCCCTTGCGCCACCAGGGAGGCGCCTCTGTCAGATTATGTCTACTGTTTTTTCTATATTCTTAAGTTTATGACTCTAAGCAAATTCTAATATTCTCAATTTATCTCTTAAAGGTACAGTCTGAAATCAGTGAAATATTAAACAAAAGTATTATTGAAGTAGAAAACCCACGATTTAGCCCAGAAAAAAATCTAGAATTCAACACATGCATTGAAAAGCCTTTGGTATGTTACTCTGTGTGAAATAATTTCTGTATTTAGATATTTCAAAAATGTTACTTCAAGCTTTTGGTCTTTACCTTTATGTTTTCCCCTTCTTCACAGAGCGAATGGACTGTCAGAGATGAAAATAAAGAAATCCCTATCTTGAAAATCCTAAAAGATGTAAGTTTACCTCCCTACTTCTGCAATTTACCCTTTTCTGTTTAGGAGTGTGTGAAGGATATTCGGCTAAATCCAGATACTAATCTGTGGCCAATTCTAAAGATTCCCAAGAAAAGGAAATGCAAGACAATTTTTGTGACCCATCTATATGACTACTTACAAGCTTTTCTACTTTTAGGATTGACTAGACCTAAGTGAATTCCCTAGCACAGGTCTAGGCCGCAATCACTGTTTATACTGATTAGAACTCCAGTTTCCAGAATAGTCAGAGCCCTAAAGTCATCTAAAACTGGGATTCCAAGATCAGGTTGACAGATAGCCCCAAAGTGGGAATATTCATTTTCTTTAAACTTCCAATTGACTGATTGCTTCTGTTTTTCCCATGTAATGACATTCTCCTGAGAAATGCTAAATTTCTATTTCTGAAATTGTGGGATTTGGGCCAGGTATATCCCTCCCTAGGTGCAAATTCCAAGCCAATTATGAAGTCTTTGCAGATATCAAAACAACTGTCGTTAAATTTACTGGAGAAGTAAACCATACTTGGGAGGTCTTTTTGATATAGAAATGGGTAAAATGTTTGTTGTAGTTGTTAAATTAATCCACAACAAAATATTAATTTTTTCAGCATCTGACAAATGATAGGACATTTATTGTAGGCTTTTTTTGTTGTTACTAGCCTGTAGAGCATCAGGATGAAGTCCTTTCTAAGGAGAAAGTTCATTTTGAAGATTCCAGGACTCTTCATTCAGTGGAAGAAAAATCCAATAGCAACAGTATTAACGGTCTCTCTCCAGATATAAATATTCCATCCCAGATACACTTCAAGGACATATCAACTCTGAAAACTTCAACAGATAATTCAGCTTCAAACATAATTACGAATCCTTCAGAAAATTATGACATATTGAAGAATTATAATAACCTTTATAGTTTTCTACCTAATGCATCTCAAGATGTGATGTCTCAAGCTGATGCAGTCATTTTGGAGAAGTCCAAAGTGAATGTGCCTTTTCTCAAGCATGGATTTTGTGAAAATTTAGAAGATATTTGCCATTCTATCAAACAAATGAAGGAAGAGCTTCAAAAGTCATACAATCGGGAACTAGCACTTACAAATGAACTTCAGACTTTAAAAGCTGATACAAATGTTCAAAGTAATGATAAATATGACCCTGTTCATAAGAGGGAAATTAATTTTAAGGAAGAAAATATAGAAAGTGACTTAAATGAAGATATGAAATCAAAGAGAATTTCAGAATTAGAGGCTTTAGTACACAAATTACTCCCACTCAGAGAAAGTGTGTCAAAATTCCATGTGAATTTTTGCAGAAAATGTAAAAAATTATCTAAGAGTGAAATACACAGGGGAAGAAAGAATGAGAAAAACAAAGAAATCCCTATTACAGGCAAGAATATTACAGATTTGAAATTCCATTCCAGAGCTCCAAGACATACACTGTCATTATTTGAGCCAACAAAATATGAAGTAAATAACAAAGAAAGACAACCATGTGTAGTAAAACAAGGAGCAATAATATTTGAAAATGAGAAAACATCCAAAGTCAATTCTGTTACTGAGCAGTGTGTTGCAAAAATTCAGTACTTGCAGAATTACCTGAAAGAATCTATGCAGATACAGAAAAAGGTAACAGAACTGGAAAATGAAAATCTAATCCTTAAGACCAAAATAAAACCTCTTGTCTTTACCACACAATCTCTGATACAGAAAATTGAAACATATGAAAAGCAAGTTAAGAATCTGGCTGAAGAAAAGAACACTATTCTGTCCAAGTTAATGAAAACAGAAGATGATGGCAAAGAATGTCTTAAAGAATTGAAAAAAATAATTAGTAAATATAATGTTCTCCAAGAACAAACTAAAACTCTAGAGGAAAAAAACAGTCAACTTTCTTTGGAGAAGCAACAAATGATCGAAACGTTAGATCAAATGAAAAGTAAGGAACATAAAACTCAAAATGACATGGCCATTGTCAATAATGAAAATAATCGAATGAGTATAGAAATGGAATCAATGAAAACAAGTATGCTATTGATAAAAGATGAAAAGGAAATGTTAGAAAAGAAAACATACCAGCTTCTAAAGGAAAAAAGCTCACTTGAAAATGAACTTAAAGAAAATCAGCTAGAGATAATGCAGCTAAAAGAAAGAGAAATATTAGCAACAACTGAACAAGAGACACTTCTTCAAATGATCGAAACATTTAAAAATGAAAAACTTACTCTTGAAACAACATTACAAGAATCTACTGCCGCTAGACAAATGATGGAAAGAGAAATTGAGACTATTCAAACCTACCAATCTACCACCAATGAGAATTTTCTAAAAGAAATTCAAAATGCAAAATCAGAAGCAAATATTTATAAGAATAGTTTGTCCGAAATGGGAAATGAATGTGAAATGTTATCAAAAATGGTAATGGAAATTAAAACAGATAATCAGATTCTAAAAGAAGAACTAAAAAAACATAGTCAGGAAAATATAAAATTTGAAAATAGCATCAGTAGACTTGCAGAAGACAAAATACTTTTAGAAAACTATGTAAGAAGTATAGAAAATGAAAGGGATACCTTGGAATTTGAGATGCGGAATCTTCAGAGAGAATATTTAAATCTAAGTGAAAAAATCTGTAGTACGCATAATGACCTACCAAAAATGAGTTACATTTCAAGAAAAGAGAAGTTCCATTTTGAGAAATATGAAACCTATGAAGACAAATCTAGTCCTAGGAGTCGGCCATTTGCTCCTGATTTGAAAGGTAAATATATTGTGGTGGCTCGACAGAAAAGTATTAAAAATTATTGTGGCCTATTGGGCACTAGCCAGAGTATTGTAATAAGGAGACTTTTAAGATGACTACAATTTATTTTTGTAAGATTTGTATCCAATTTATAATATAGTGCAATTATTTAGGAATTCTGTGCTTTTAATAAAATTCATGTTGTTTTATATTACCTTATACATTATATATGCACAAAGCAACTTTGTCAAGGGGCAGGGATTTTTTTGTATTATTCTTTTTCTTAAGTATGCTTACCACTCTCAGCTTTAAAATAATTCTTCTTTTTTTCCAGGAATTCCAAGTAAACTCTATCAAATGCTTCCATCCAAGATATGTAAATAAATTTCTAAACTCAGTTATTTCAAAATCCTTGTTCAAGTATTTTTTCCCCATGAGATATTTTTAATTCCTTTTTACATGTGGCAACAATTATCTCATAATTGATTAACTAGTTTCTCAAATTAGAAATGGAATTGGGTTAATAATTTTAAGAACTGTGGAGAGTCTAAGATCTTGCCCAACACATAAAATGGTAGCCTGCTGCAGTTTCATAGGTTATAGTGCAATTTTTGTTCACTTTCACCGGTGTGTTGCAAATATCTTATAATTTCTGTTATTCCACAAAGAATTCAATGTCTCAGAACTGCCCTTTGCATAACAAAATTTTTCTCAGTGTGGGTCCCCCTGCACTTGCCTGTGCTTCACAGTCATAACCCGTGTTATGGGTTTCTGGGTGAAAGACAGAAGATTCTTGGGTTAAAGGACGTTTGTTACTGACAACAATAGCAGTACCCATAGTATCAGCATTTTTACATTTTTTCTCCAAGTTTCAGTTTCTATAGGCAACATGAAAAGAACCACACAGGGGTCTCCCTGGTGGCCTAGGGGTTAAGTCTCAGCACTATCAAGCTATCACCAGCCACTGCTGCATGAGTTCGATTCCCAACCAGAGTTAACCCACATATGACACAACAAACCCCTCGTGTCTCACCCACTGCTCCCCTTAGCAGTATGTTTCATGTATTTCATTTGATCCTCCTATTCTGCTCCCCTCTCTATCTCTGGTGAATCCTCTCACACACCCAACCACCCTCACCAGCACCTCTGGCCTACAAAAGTAAGATCGACTGAAGAGAGTGTGGAGATCTTAGATTGCAGTAACATGAACACTATATATTTTAAAAAGAGAACAGATCAGTCATATCTAGTCTGGGATGATCAGACCATATGAGAAATAGTACTTTCAATCTAACCCTTATCATTTTGGGCAGAGTATCATGTTGTATATGGACTGAAGGAACTGAAAACCCTAAGACTATCACCCAGAAAAATGAAAGTTACCTTAAAAGATGTGAAGAGTGGTCCTGTATAAAAGTACTGTTTTGTCCTATATATTTCTGAGCAGTAGAACAAGGACTAGTGAATAAAAACTTTAGGGACATAGACTTCAATTCTATGTGAGAAACATTTTTCAAACTGTTGTCCCAAGATTACCACTACCATCACATCCTCAAATCTTTTCTCTCTCAGTAGCCTTCCTGCTTCCATTCTCCTCACCTCCTCTTTGCCTCAGGACCCTCACTGTATTTCTTAATATCCACTGGTTTTTGTAAATATTTTACTTTGTCTAATTGCCCACTATGTCAATATCAGTAATTGTCTTTGTGCCTGTAATTTTTTTTTGACATTTTCAAATTACAGACTACACTTCAAAATTTTATAAAATTGCTAAACATTATATTCTCCTTGGAAAGAGATCTAAACATAAATCAACAATCATACACTAATGTTAACAAATTCTGTTTAAACATTTAGTAGTAGAATTAGGACAAGGAAGAATATTAAGAGTTGCAGGCTTAAATTTCATTTAAATGTTTGAGCTATCTCTATTTTTTTTCAACTAATTAGCACTTGATAATGAATTACTGGTAGTCAGGATCTAGAAAGCTTATGTCTTCCAGATGCTAGTAGGACTGTAGTGAAGCAGTCTTGTAATTCTTTATATTTAGTGCCCTAAAATGGAAAGTAAATGCACATTTAATTTTATAGGTAAAGGTAAATATATCTGTACATTCTTGTAAAAACATTTGCAGAAGAAAATTCAAAACTATTTTAAAACATATTAACAATCCAAAAGCAAAAAAATTCTCTCACCAAATTAAAAACTTCTCTTTAAATAAGTCAGATATACTTTTAAAACGTAATTTAAGAAGGAAAAATTGGCTTGTGGAACCAATTTTAAATACTATTTTCCAGAGGTTTATAGTTTTAAAATTATGCTAAAAGAAGCTACAACTTGATTTATGATAATACTGGTGATAATATAAAAAGAGAGAGTTCAATAAAATTCAAAATTATTTAACATAAATAAACTTCTGATTTTTTCAAAATAGTTACTCTTTTCTTTGCCCCAAACTACACTATGACATCACAGAACTTTCTTAGGTCTGTTCTCCAGGTAGAAAAGAACACAAAATGTGAAACACACCATCCCTTCCCCAATAGCCAAGAAAAAAAAACTCTACTTGAGGGTGAGTGTAGTGAAGAACACTGATTTTACTATCTGTTCTATTATAGATATAAAGCTGAACAAAGTACTAATAAGCAGCTTGTCAAATGATAAATGTCAAGGAGCATGGAATAAAGGTCCATATGTTGTTATCTACAAGTTCAATACTCTACTGATGCAGAATATTATTTCTGCGGATGACAGTTCAATTACACAACTGTCATATAAAGGGCAGGCTTATTTTGTGATATAATAATGGTGTTCATATTATAATCACTAGTAATATGATCACAGATGTTATTTACAAAGAAAATAATGAATTCCATGTCCTTTATCTAATCTATTATATGACTATATTGAAATTAGAAATATGTAAAATAGCCTCATTGGCATTAAAATTTCAATGGCAAGAAAGGCCCTCCAATAAATTCTTATTGATGATCTCGTGCACCAGCATGCGCATGCACCTGCACGTGCATGCGCACACACACACACACAATATTGAATAGTCCTTTTCTAACTTATATTCTGAATTCCCAAGAACTTCTTTTCCGTTTTCAGAGTGCTCAAAACCTGGGTAAAATTGAAGTTTCAAAATACTTTAATAATATACTTTTCAAACTCAAAGAACTTTTGAAGTAATGTTGACAGCATTTTTAATCAGCTAGAATATTTATTTATTCACTTAAAGATTTATTTTTATTTATTTATGCATACAAGAACTAGGGCGTAGGCCAAAGGTATGGGGGAGGGGTGAGAGGACTCACCAGAGACAGAGTGGGGAGCAGAACAGGCGGATCTACTGAAATACACTGCTGAGGGGTACAGCCAGGAGGCAAGACAGGAGAGGTCTACTGTGCCTTGTGGGCTAGCTCCCTCGCTGGGGATGGAAGTGGTGCCCCAGTGGCTGGCAACAGCTTGATAGCACTGAGATTTTAACCCCTATACCACCAGGGAGGCCCCAGAATATTTATTGTTTTCATAGATTATTTCAAAGTAAAGGACAGAAATCTTAAGTGTGATTAGAATTTCTCAAAATTACTGAGAGCCAGTAGCCCACATAAAGATAATAAGGATCCAAAACCCCTTTTGAGAAACAGAGTTAATAAATACTACTAACTAATCTGTAAATATCTAAGTAGTCTCAAAAGACTTGTATCATAATAAGGTACTAAAGATTTGCTTTAAAATTATGGACAGAATAGTTTGGTACAAATTGAACATTTTCAATTGGGAATTTCAGAAGATAAGAACTTCTACAAGGAAAAGTAGATATATGGAATGAGCTGTGACTTCTAAAGTCACCTAAATTTGTCATTTCCTAAGGTATGTATAAACAAAAGATCTTGAAGAAATCTAGAAGTTAAAAAGCAGTATTTCTTAGTGTATGGAATAGTTGTAAGATATTCCTACCTTCTGACATTCAAAGTCATTATACTTTCAACTGGTCTGCTCTTTGGTCCTCCTGGTGGATGAAATATCTTGGCAGTTTTGCCGGCAATCTGATCTTCCGATTTAACTACATAAGGGTCAGCGGAATGTGAAGGGTAAGGGTCAAATGTTCCTGCTTTCATTCCACCAGCCTACAAATAAAAAAAGGGCAACTTAATATGATTTTGTAAAATGCTTCTAATAAAATTAGATTATGAAGAGGTTCATACATGTCTGTGTGTTGTCTATGGAGTTGATTTTACATTTGTATGTCCTATTTTATTCAAATACTAGAAAAGAGTTTCTTTATTACCAAGTTTATGCAAGTAACTACATTTTCAACAGTTTTCTATTAGAATGCAAATGTTTAAGGGAAAGTAATATTCTAAATTATTGCCAAGCATTAATATTTTACTTTTTTTTTTTAAGAGGCATGTATTATTTATTTATTTGTTTGTTTGTTTGTTTATACATGCACTGGGTACAGTAAGAAGTGTGGGAGGGTGAGAGAATTCACCAGAGCCAGAGTAGGGAGCAGAGCAGGCAGAAGGACCGAAGTACACTGCTGAGGGGAGCAGCAGGCGGCAGGAGAGGTCTGCGCGCCATGTGGGACCCTCCTCTGGTGGCCGGGGAGCAGCCGGGGATCGAACTGGCGCCGCAGAGGCCGCGGGCAGCTTTGCAACCCAGCGTTCAACCGCTGCGCCACTGGGGAGGCCCGCATTAATATTTTATTGAGAGTTTATCTGATCAGGTTACCACCTATTGGGAGTCAGGAAGCTTATTACTGAGGGAATGAGATCAAGGTCGTACCTATTTTGGTAGAGAATGTGTTAGAGTTCAGAACCAGAGGATGGGGGATGAGAACAAGGGTAAGGTTTGTCTAACTGCTAGCCTGGCATAACATGAGTTTGTCAAATATCCAGCAGTGATGGAGGGAATATTTTAAAAAGAAAGAAAGAAAGAAAGAAAGAAATAGCAAGAAAAATGTAATCTACTCTTGCAGCCAGTAAGAGAATTCAATCAAAATATTTTCTGCACTCCCTCCACTACAATAAAAATATTCTTTGCCTAAACACAAAACAAATATTTGCTTTGACATTTTAAATGATCTAATGAATTTTTTATCTTTATGTTAGATTTAGTCACTGTAGAATCATAATAATGCATTTAATTAGGCATCCTTTCTCTTACAGTGAAAATTTAATTCAATTGAAAGTTATGATTGTGACTTTTCAAGTTTTCCAGATTGAAGACACATAAACTATTTTAAAGAGCAACAAATAATAATTAAGAAAAATAAAATTATTATGTATAATACAAAATGGATGAATTAAAAATAGAAAAATATATGCTATTAATAAACCCTCCAGGTGATACTTTATAAAATTTCATTAACTAGATAACCTATATTATAATTTAGAATTAGAAAGGAATGGAGAAAAACCATACATATATGGAATATCAAAAAATATAGCATTGTTATAAAGTTCTATCCTAATACATTTGAAAACGTTAATGAAATGATTTTCAAAGAAAACATAAATGTCAAAATTCAAAGAAAACATAAATGTCAAAATTTACTCAAAAAGAAAGAAAACAGATGGACAGTAGACAGGAATTAAGCCTAGAAAACATTTCCTTTAAGAATTATTTCAAGTCTTCAAGGAATAGATATTTCTGGTACTATTTAATCTGTAACAGAATACAGAAAAAGAAGGAAATCTGCCTGATATTTTAACATACTAACATCTTCTTAATGTAGTATATGTACGTGATGATTTTTAATGGTGCACTCCTAAATCTTACATAATCTTAGAATAATGTCATCTCAATAAAGTTTTTAATGCCAATCATAGAAAAAATAACAAATCCAAATAAAGAAAAAATTATATGCAAAATTTTAAAATCAAGTTTATAATTCTGAGTTTTTGACATAGATATACACCTTTGAAACCATTACCACAATAGAGACATAGAATACATCTTCCACCCAGTTTCCTCCCACAATAAAAAAAAATGGATTTTTAAAAACTCAAAGTAACCTTACCTTACTTTTTGCATAAAAATGCATTTTAAACAAAGATTTAAATGCCAAAATGTAAGACTAATATAAAGCCATTTTGAGAATGACAAAAGACTGAATACAAAGGATTGAGATTTTTGATTACATCAAATTATTAAGTTCCTAAATGGCACAATATAATCAAAGTCAAAGATTCAACAAATTTGAAAATTTATTTTCAATACAAATGGGATTGTATTGACAAAAGAATAATATCCTTCATAACAAAAAAATAATATCCTTCATAACAAATGACAAAATCTTTACATGGGTAATAAAATAATTCAAAAGCAATTTATTGATAATACTTGTAATTTTTTCATTTTAAAATTTTTAACTTACCTTTTTACCAGGAGAAGAGGGTTTAAAAGGTTGTACAGTTGGTTCTTTCATCTCTGTTTTTTTAATTGGTGGTAAAGGAGTCTCAGTAAAATAAGGATTGGGATCAAAATATTCCCGTGGGCAAAGATTTAACTTGAAAGGTGTTCCTTTAAGTGAACGATGGTGTTCTTCATTATCTTTCTACAAAATTGTTTGAAATTATATGCCATAAATTACTCAAAATGGAACTTTTAGAGTCAAATCTTCTTTTAAATTTTAATATATGCATGAATACTTTTTTAGTATATTCTGCATAGCTCACTTTTTTAAACATTTCTTTGTTACATTCTGTTTTTAATATGAAAGTTATGCTGACTTATGAACAAACACAACTATGAATATTCATTTTGTACATAAATTTATTTTAAGTAGAGAGATCTATTTATTACCTGAATAAATTCATATTAACTATCTGGGAGATACAAAGCAGAAAAGATGTAGAGATTTAATATCAAATAGGTAAATTTATCATAATTCATCAATATTAGGCTGCCATTATCCTAGTAATACAAACAGATAAAACAAAGCCATAACTAGATCACAAGTGAATTCTCTAAGTCAGTGAAATAAGAGTTGAAAAAAGTAAAATGGATCATTTTACCTTATAATTTTCTTTTGCTGCATCATACAAATCAGAAGAGTGTGAAAACTGTTTACCTATGGTAATATTTGCATAGCTAAGAAGGGAAAAAAATAATGGTGACTTCAGGGTTCAGAAATCTTTTATTAATGCAAAACAAATGATATAAAAGTATTTAAAACATATTACCCATAACCAGTTCCTTTCTTTCCTGGGTTTGTGTATAAATTCTTTCCAGGTGCCTCATATTTTTCTCTGGGTTTTGACTGTGCACTGAAGAATGGAATTGGACCACCTATTGTTCCATAGTAGCTTCCTAATCCAGATCTTAAATACAATTTTTTAAAAGCAGGTTAAAATGGTAAATTTAGTGTTACTTTATAATTCATCAAAAAATGACTGAGTACGAATCAGCGAAGTATAGGCACTGGAATTGACTTGACTAACTTTGGTAAAATAAATTTTTTGTTAGCTTTTAATTTAATTTTCCCCAGTTTTCAAAGTCACTAATTTTGAGACTTTTTAACTTTTATTCTTATTTCAAATGATCCACATAAATAAGACTTCATAATATCTGGGAAATTAGAATAGCTTCCGTTAATTAGCTATAACAAAAAATAGACACTTGTGTTTTTTAGATGAAATTTTAGGCACTTTATGGTAAGCTAGCTGAAAATGGCTAATTTCTTCCAGTCATTACACCCTAGAAACTATATTTTCAAAACATATACTTAAAATAATCATTTCCATTGATGATGAAAGTAGGTTTCATTGAATTTTGATGCTAATGTTGTTCTTTTTGGTTTATGCTTAGTACCTTACTATGGGGAAAAAATGTAACCAAATACTTTCTTTTCTTCAATTTTAATGTCAAATTTTCTGGGCCCACAGTATTTAATCATTAAACCATTTATCAGCCAGCACATTATATTAACAGATATTTTCCTTAAAATTTCCATGACAAAAAGATAACTAAGGTTAGTAACAGTCACAGTCTCTAATTTCCAAGTTATCACTAAAATAAACACAGTTCAATAATCTGAAAATAGTCTACAAGACCAATAAAACATTATTGTCAAAACTTGACACTGTTTACACACTTCAGTTAAAAATTTTGAAACTGGGAAGGCATCAACATTCATTAATGATTATCTCCAGGGGAGGGGGCATAAAAAAATTATCTCCAGACTATGAATAAAGATTCTATTAGGAGATGTTTTCATTAATTGCTTTTTATGAATATGTTATTAAATTCTAAAATGTAATAAGGAAATAAATGACATCACAGAGAAAAAAACAGCTATGCATAGGCATAATCTGTGATTTCATGGAAGCATTAAAAACAGTACATTTAGAATTTATTAAAAGCCTTGGTTCTATAATTCAGGGTTGAATAAATACCAGTCTCTTTTGTGGAAACATTTTCTATATTCTACTCAATTACAGATAGCTTTCAATATCTTTGCGTTTTAAAAGACAGGAAAACTGTTCTGATTATAGAATTTATTATTTCTTGGTTGACAAATGAATATAAGCATATTATAAACTAGTTTATTAGGGAAGCATTCCCAATTGTTACCAGGAAAGATCAAAATTCATCATGGGGGAAGGATAAAAAATTATTTAAAGGGTAAAATACATTTATTACATGAAAAAGAAATAAATTAGTGATTAAAGATACATGTTTGAATTTATACCCAAGGAGAAAATGAAGTAATAATAAAAGTAGTTCAAACCTATCCAAGGTGGGAAAAGATTATAACAAAAAAAGAAGAAATTCCCACTCTTAATAAAAACTTAGTAATTTTGACTTAGAATATAACACCCTTACTAATGTTAAGAAAATAATACACAATATTAGACTTCAATTAATCCTTATCTATCATAAGTATTTAACTGAGAGTTTGCTCTTAAGAATTAACATAATGCTCAGCTATATGATGTGCTTTTACGTGTTAAACTAATGATTTAAAATTACTAAAAAATAAATCTTCACAATGACAATTATCACAATTAAAATATTATTAAATTCCTAGTGAATCTTCACAATGATTTTTAAATAACACACCTCTGAAAAATTGCTTTTGTCAAAAAAGGCTTCTTCTTAATCTCTTATTTTTATATACATTTTTTGAAAACAAAAAATAATCAAGGACACAGATATAATGACCCAAGGCAATTTTTCCCTAATCTGTAGCTTTCAAACATATTTATTTTTATTATTTAGTTGGCTATTATAATATAAACTAATGGAGAACAGTGACATCAGAAATTCAATGTGATGAGATGCTAATAAAAATTACCTGTCAAACTAAATCACTCAATATAATTATCTCCACCTAAGATAAATTAACGGAAGAATCACACTTTTAAAAAATGAATTGTATATTAGGAAGTCCTATAGGAAAACAATTTAGGAAAGAGAGAGAAAGATGCAGATGTATTTAAGCCCCCAAAACACTTACGGCTTTTTATCTCCACTACTAGGGAGGAAAGCTTTGCCTAGATTTTTTTTGGCCTCTTGCATCATGTGCTGTCTCCTCACTTGATTCATATTTACATAGCCTTCACCTTCAAAAATTCTTACAAAGTGGGGATCAAAATAACCTGCCTGGAGATCTGACATTTCTTTGGATCCCCCAGGTAGCATCTGTTTATTTTTGCTTGCAGACTCATTAAAAGGTCCTTTAAAAAATAAATTAGGAATTTCTGAGTTTAGTAATTAAGGGAACATAACAAATAACTTAGAAAAATTTCAACTTGTGATTTGGGTCAATGAGTTTTGAGATCTAATATATTCCTGAAAGGTCTGTGTTAAAGATTGTACTGAAAAGAAGATAAGAAGCCTTCATTAAAACATTTTAATATTTAGATTAAAATCTTGGTTATAGACTAATAGTAGAGCCAGAAGAAACCTTAAAAGTCATCTAATTTAATACTTCCCCATCTGTACTCTGGAAAACATTTTTTGTGAGCTGTCATTTTTTTAACTCTTGAAATTTCACAAGTTTATTCTACTTCATATCTAAAGCTTTGAAATATGGACCATCATTCATTAAATCCAAAATTCCATATAGAAAATACCCACTACAAGGCTGTAAATAAAACCAAGATACTTACGGTTAAATCGTGACACATACTTATCACCAATACTAATATATTCCATCTCACTGAAGAGGCCAATCCTCTCCATATCCGTTTTTCCTCCTTCCACAGGCATGGCTGCTTCCTATGGCTGTCTTCTCTATATTGATGACTTCAAAAGCCTTCTTAGCACTACTTCTTTTGTAACAAAATCCTACTTTACATTGAAAAATTAAAGGGAAAAGTGATTACTAAATTTCAGTCCAAACTAACTTCAGTCTAAGAGCTAACATTCACTATAAAACAATAGTGCCATACTGTGGGGCTGGGGAAAAGAACAAGATGCAAAATTATCACCATGAACCTTCCTCTAGATCTTCCTGGTGACCTGCCCACAAATTACAAAGGAATAGGTGTGACAGCATCTGTTGCATTCCATTCAGCTGTTGAAAATGATGAAAGTACATCTACACATTGGGGTATAAATATTATGTAAAGATAGATTTTTAAATCATAATTACATAAGGCAGACATTTCAGTTTACATCAAATGACCTCAACATACTTCAAGGACCCTCATGTTGAAAATAAACCTTTCAGTGATGCTCCTGCTCTGAAGACTGGACAAGCGGATCAGCCTTTTCAAAATTTACCCACCATCAGGGAGTGCCTACTTGTGCCAGACTCACTGCTGACCTCTTTTCACATACTGTCTTATTCCATCACCACCCCAATACTGCCAGGTGTTTTCATAAGACCGAAAAGAGCAGAAACTCAAAGGAATTTCCTGTCCAGAAGGGGAGAGGCACACATATAAATCAGGACTCGGAGAAAGCATTGTGATAACGATATTAATTAAAAGCTAATGTTTATTACAAACTTAAAAAAGAAAGAAAAGCTTTTCAGAATCCATAGTACATGTAGACATTGTCTACACTTCATGAGTTTTTTCATTAATGTGCCCCTAACAAAATTAGTTCACAAAGGGGTGGGAGGTAGGGGAGCATAGGCGGTGAGGCAACATAAAAGCAAGAACAAAATCAACAAAAATACACAAATAATTCAGAGTATTTGTTAAAGGGCAGATGGCAACTGTGAGTCTTCTTTTGAAATAGCACTTTAAACAAGCAACTATTTACATGTCTGTTTGTTTTTAATTAGACATGTTCAAGTAGAGCCAAAGAGCTAACAATGCTTGCCTCCACTTCATCCTAATATTTTATAGACACCAGCTAGATCTAGGGACTGGGAGAATATTCATTAATAAAATAAACCTTGGCTTATGCTTCCCAGTGTAAAATCCAAATTAAAGCCTTTTGCCTTAAATTTAAAGCAAGCTGTTTCAATGGTATTAGAATATTAGCTCATTCATCACTCCCTGTATTCTATCATAGCGGCACGGACTTCAATTTCCAAGCTCTAATCATGGATATTAAATGAGTTATTATTTTGGATCCAAGGTGTAGGGATCCTTTAACAACTGGGGGAGAGGGAGGGAGAGAGAATGAATGAATGAATGAATGAATGAATGAATGAATGAATGAATGAATGAATGAAACACACGCACACACACACACACCACAACCCCCCTGTTGGCTCCAGCAAGGCAGACACCGTGCTAGAGAGAATGAATGAATGAGTGAATGAATGAATGAAAGAAACATACACACACACACACACACACACACCACACCCTCCCTGTTTGCTCCAGCAAGGCAGACACCGTGCTATGAGTTTAGTTCTTCCCTACCACGAAGTTGCGTGTCTGGCAGGCAACAATCACAGAGGGAGAGCAGGAGGTACGAAAGCTCTGGGCTCCACCTTCACTACTTAACTCTCCACAAAACTCCCCGAGAGTAACACTGAGAAAATCACCCATTCATTTATTTAACCCACATTTTGCAAGCTCCCCCTCCTGGTAAGTTTCGCGGGTAGCAGCAGGGAGAGCCCAGGGAGTTTACAAGAACACACCCCGGCCCGTTCCCCTCGGAAGGTGTGGCTGAAGTGCCGCGCGGAGACGAGGGTGGGGACAAAACTTCTGGCTGGGGTGGCGAGAACGACTGATTTCCTGTCAGGTAAAGGGACGCGGGAAACAGGTGGGTATCTGAGGGGCAACACCTGGCGGCCACGGGGACCAGGAGGAGGAAGTCACCTCTCAGGAGCACACCCTGTACGACCTCGGAGATAAATTCGTCCCGGTTTATTTGGCTGCGGGAGCAACGAAGGCCACGAGCCACCCACGCGCCAGCTTTTCCCGCGCGGGCTCGTCCAGAACCTGCCCGCGCCTCCGCGGCGCTGCAGGTGTTTATTGTGACGCGTTGCCCCAGGGACCGGAGCAGGCCTTCCAAGCACTTCCGGGGAGGTTACGTGGAGAGCGCGAAACTCTGAGGGACACACAAAAAGACCTATGAGTGGCGAGAGAATGCGAACGACTCAACCAATAGAATGTAGCGTCTCTTGCTTCCCGCCCCATTATCCATCCTGGAGGAGATGAGTGGTGCGCGCCAGGAAGCGTACCGCGTGGCATGCCGGGAGTTGTAGTCCGCGAAGCCAGGGCCCACCCTGCGGATCTGCGACGACGCCACTTCCGGGCCCGCCCCCGGACTACTGTGGGTGTCTGTCAATGCCACGTCTCAGACATGGTGAGTATCGCCCGTCTTGGACCCCTTTGCTTCCCCTGGGAATCCCACTGCCACGGGTACGGATCCACAGGCCTTCAAAGGAGCTGGTCCTGCAGAGGCCACGTGGCAGATGCGAACTCTGTGGTCTGGGCCACCCTCTCCTCGGCCTTAATCCCATCTAGGGCGGGAGGAAAAACTGGCCCCCACATCCCTGAACCCAGATACATTTGTGTTTGGACACGCGCCCTTTGCGAATGCATTTTCAAAACTGGAGATCACTCACAATTTTTGAAGAGATATTGGAGCTGAGAAAGATATGAATAACTTATAACTTCAAATATTCAACTCTCTTAGCCTCTGGGATTTCACACTCCCTTGGTTTCCCTCTGACTACACATCCAGGTTCGCTAGTCCTTATCCTAGATGTGATGTCCTTCAGGGAGACTTTCTTACACCCTTTGCTTTCTCCTGAATTTATATCTCCAACGTAGACCTATACTTCCATTTGGATAGCTCATGTGTATTTCAAACGAAGGAAGATCAAAACCGACATCATTTCCACCTCTTCTAGTACCACATCTCTTCTTCCATGAACTCCATCTTAGTAAATGACACCTGCTGTGTGTATGCCCCAAACCTAGACATTATCGTCGACATCTTCCTCTTCTCAACAATTCAATACCTGATCAAAAATCAAGTCCTATGGATTCTACTTCTAAGTGGCTATTGTCCCTTTCTACTCTTAAGGTTCTTGTCCTTCCACCATCAGATTATAGCCACCTGAAATAGTCTCCAAGTGATCTGTTAAGAAGTCTTTACCAATCCTATACTCCTATCTGGAATAAGTTCTTCTACCTTCATCCCCATCTTTCCTTTGGAATTGTTAATGCTCATACCTACTAACCCCTCAGATCTCAGCTGATTATTTCTTCAGCAAGGATTTCAATTCAGAAGTTTAGGGAGATTCTAGAACTTTTACGTATTATTTATTTCTAAAGGCGTATTCACAACAACTCTGTGAAGTTGCATTTTCCCACAGTTTTGCAGGAAAGAAAATAGTCTTGAGTGATTAAATTGTGCAAAATTTTTGCTCTTGTCTATCTTTTAAACTTTTACATTCTTCAGCACCTTTCATGTGTTAACTATTCTTTATTCAAATGGATGTAGTGTTTTGTGTGATAGAATTGGTCTCACTTTAACCAACTTCTTTTTGATTACTATTGAGGTCATCATTTTCTCTCACTATGATGAACAACAGTATGATACTTGAACAACATTAAAGCTTAATTTGTCCAAATTTTCTTGATTATTCCCTTAGAATAAATTCCCAAAAGTAGAATTGGGGCAAAGGGCATGGCCTTTCAACAACTCTCAATTCATGGAAATAAGTAAAAGCAGTCAGCCTTAAAATGTGACAGGAGATTTGTGAGAAAATAGTAATGGTACCTACTTCAGAGTTAACATATGTTATGTCCAATCAGTTACATTTTAAGAGTTCTGTATATGTTAGTACTTATTCATTTATTCCAGATAGGGTTCTTATTTTAATAGCCTGGTTGAGAACCTGATGAAATCTTTGAAACCTCTTCCTAGAGGAAATCACTCCCTCTCCTCTCTTTCCCTCTCCACTTCAAAATGATACATGTTGGAGCCTCCCCAGTGGCGCAGCGGTTGAGCGCTGGGTTGCGAAGCTGCCCGCAGCCTCTGCAGTGCTGGTTCGATCCCCAGCTGCTCCCCGGCCACCAGAGGAGGGTCCCACATGGCGCACAGACCTCTCCTGCCGCCCGCTGCTCCCCTCAGCAGTGTACTTCGGTCCTTCTGCCTGCTCTGCTCCCCGCTCTGGCTCTGATGAATTCTCTCACCCTCCCGCGCTTCTGACTGTACCCAGTGCTTGTATAAATAAATAAATCTTTAAAAAAAAAAATGATACATGTCATCAGGTACCTGAAAGTCAGCATATGTACCCAAATTGGGAAATGCTGACCTACTCCATTTTACAAGTACTTTTTTTTTCTTCATAAGTCAAGCATTTTTTTAGTCCATTAAATATTCTTCTAAAGCTTGCTTTTTTGTGTCTGAATAACACTTATAATCATGTATAAGATCTCTTCTTGTTGGCATTTAGGTCAACATTCTTCTGCCTGAATCTTTGTGTGTTTTGCACATTTCCTTAGACTAAATTTCTGAATGCAGACTCAACTAGGCCAAGAATTTGACTAAGGTTTTTAATGCTTATTGCCACAATGACCTATGAACAGCCCCACCAATTGTTACTCCTACTACCATTCATACATTGGGTTCCTCTTATTATCTTGACCACCAGGTGCTATTATATTAGGCAGTGTTCTTGTCACATTCTTAAACTATTTCTTTACCATTAATACACTCATGTCATTATTAAACCTATTATTAAGACTATGATTTAGAAATCTTGTCTTAGAGCAGTGATCCCCAACCTTTCACATTACAATTACTGATGCAGGGAAAGGAGTGGAGGTAGCTTTTAAATACCCTGTGCCTAGGCCTACCCTACATCATTTAATCATAATCTCTGGGGTGTAGTCCAGGGATTTGTATTTTAAGCTCCTTAGGTGATTTCAATGTAGAACAAACGAGAATCCCTGATTTAGAATTTAGGGTGTTTTGTTTGGGTCCATACCAAGATTTTTAGTCATGAAGTAATTTAAAGTGTCAAACTTAATGCCTAAACCTAAATTTAGATTATAATTAATATGAGTATGTTTTGTTTTACAATGGAAAATAAATACAAATTTATTTTATTTGTCCTAGGTGATTTCAGAGACTATGGATATAGTCTTCAGAATAAGAGGAGGCCTTGACCTGGCCTTTCAGCTAGCTACTGCAAATGGTAAGTCTGCCAAAACTCTCTCCTTTCTGATTATAATATTGATGGTAAAATGTACAGAAGGTCTCTTCATTTTGCAAATGGAACTGAGAGAGAGAATAAGTTTCACTACTAGTTCATGGAATTCCTTTGTCCCTGTCCTTAAGAAAAACTACTGTCCACTGCAGTTGTGCATATCCACAATGAGGACATTGTATTGGGTTGTTGGAAAAGTCATGATGTGTCTTTTCTGTTTTTCAAGCAAAAATGCATCATGACTTGTCCAACAGTCCAATAAATTATGTACCTAAACCCCTACATTGCAGACTTGCAACTGTGCACAACCCTGAGTCTCTAGAGCACCCCTTCTGGAATGTTACATTACTTTGGAATATAGTACTCTATGGAAGAAAAATCAGTAGGGTTTATATAAACTGAATTCTGGGATGTCTTCCTCTTCTGACTTGGGCTACTGCCACACATAGGGTAAAGACTGTCAGAGGAAGCAAGTGAGGAGTTTGAGATTGTTTCATTTGAGATGGAAATCCTTGAAAATGAATCCAAACAAATATCAGGTTGATGACATTACCACACAGAGAAAGAAAGTACTGTGACTTTAGAATACAGTTTCAGTGGGACATAGTTCAAGAAGAAAAAGGACTACAGAGAAATTTCATTCAACAGTTTTATTGCTAATTTGGTATTTATTGCTAATTTGATATTTTGAAAGTAGTTAGAATCTCCATGCAATCCTGTGGAAATATAAAATGAGGTAGCTGCTTTAGAAAAATAGATTGGCAGTTGCTCAAAAAGTTAAACATATTGACCACGTCACCCAGCAATTCTACACATAGGTGATCATCCAAGAGAATTGAAAACACATCCACCCAATAGCTTGTGCTCAAATATTCGTAGAAAATTGTGACTCATGTTAGCCAAAAAGTAGAAACAACCCAAAATGAGTATCAACTTATAAATGACTAAATTTACAAAGGGTGTTTATATTCATGCAATGAAATATTATTTGCCCATGAAAAAGGAACAAAGTGTTATTCATGCTAAAGTATGGATGAATCTCAAAAGTATTATGCTGAGTAAAAGAAGCCAGCACAAAAAGTCACCTAATGTGTGGTTTAAGATGAAATGTCCAGAATAGGCAGATCTATAGACAAAAAGTAGATTAATAATTGCCATGGATCACTGATAAGTTCGGGGTTTCTTTTGGGGTGATGAAAACACCCCAGAAATAATAATTACAGGACTACAACTAGATAGTGATAATTACAAAACCTTACCAATATACCAAAAGCTATGAATTATACCATTGAAAGAATTAATTTTACCACCTGAATTGTATCTTAATTTTTTTAAAAGAAAAGTATTTTGAAGTTATTGATTCTGGGGAATGGATATTTCAGACTCAGTTTTACTATGATCTTTTTTGTATGTTTGGAAGCATTTATGTTAAAAAATTTAAATTTGTTCTCATTGACTTCTATTTATATTTTAATTTAGAAACTTTTGTCAGGGAAGCTCTAAAACATGTGTTGAGTGACCTGTCAAAAAAGCTGTCTTCAGATGCACTTGTGTTCAGAATTTGCCACAGCTCTGTGTACATCTGGCCTAACAGTGATATAAATACCATTCCAGGAGAATTGACTGATAGTTCTGCTTGTAAGAACATAATGCGCTTTATTCAGTAAGTATATTTGAAGATTACTAGAAATGTTTTCAAAACATCATTTTATGTTATAAACATCTTCATGTGCTAAAATTTTAGATTTGAACAGGAAGAAGATACAAAACGAAAATTCATGAAAAAGAAAGACAAAAAGTTAGCAGACATGGTAAGCGAATCATCTGTCTTCCTAGTGGTAAAAACTTTAAATGCATGAATTTGAAATTGAGTGAGAGCATAGCGATAATTTAATCCAACTCTCTCATGTTTTCAGATCAGATTATTGAGATCCAGAAAGATTGAAAGGCTTACCAGAGGTTATTTCTCTGTTTTATAGTTGTTGTTTTGTTTTGAATGCTTTCTTTGCTCCCACAGCTTGAGTAGTTTATAGATTATTTAAAAATAAATTTTAAAAGTCACTCTGAAACATGACAGTGACACATACTGAGTGAGGCAGCAAATAATACATGATTTATCTCACATTGTTCTTGGTTCAGCTGGTTTTAAACCAGTACGAGTGATTACCTCTCACCGATTTTGCTAGGTGAGGCCTGTAGATAATGCTTTGAGTATTAGGGGTAGTTGGAACTTGACATTTTGGTTAAAACAGTCCAGTTAGTTTATAGAATGTTCTTCAATTGGGGTTTGTTTCATGCTTCCTCGTGATTAGGTTCAGGTTGTGCATTGCTGTTAGTATACCACAGAAGCAACGTGTCCTTCCCCGCACATCCCATTAAAGAGGCTTTCGTTAGGAGTTTGTTCCTAATATTGGAGATGTTGACTCTTATCACTACATGTGGTAACTGCAGGATTTCACCACTGGTTTTGTCCCTTATGATTAGAAATTAGCTTACAGAAACTATATATCTTATTTGAGACTATTTATGTAGCTTATTCCTCAGCAGATATTTAATCACCACCGCTGACTCTCCATTGATACGTTTTGCCAGAATCCTGTATTGATTTAATAGTTGCCAAGTGATTTCTTTCATTTCCTTCAACATTTATTAGATGACATACTATGAGAAGAGCTTTCCCTTTATCTGTTTAGTATCTGCATGAAAATATGGATCCTTATTTCATGCAATGAATTATAATTTGTTAACTATTATTAGTTATTTTGATGCTTATATTTTCCAAGATTTAGCCAATAGAAGCATCTGTTGATGAGCCAATGTCATTTTGATTCTGTCTTTTTGAATAATTCTGACATTTCCTATCATTTCTAAGCTCATGTTTTTTCCCTATTCTAGCTGGTTTTCAGAAAACAGCTGTGTATAGATAACATCCTAAACATTTACTGCACATACGCAGAACACATTCATATTTATCTATGTAAATCATATTGATACCTCCCATTCTGCTTCAACCTCACGGTTACTAATATTTTCCCAGTGAGAAATCTGACTCTCAGAATCCTCAGTATTTTGCTCATTTTTTTTTAATATGCAAAGAGTATTTTCAGAATTGTTTCCTACACTGTCAAAATCAAACAATATAAAGTTGGATATTTCTTTACATTTCTTTATAGCTTTAGATCAGGAGGGTTTAGTATCATGTATTTTTAAAAATTCCTTTGATGTGTGGTTATTTTTATCTTGTCTGTGCAAAAATGTAGCAACTAGGATAATGAACTCTAGTGAACCTGTACCAGCTTTAGAATTTATCAATAAATGGTCAGTTTGATTTCATCTTTATTCTTCACTCTTCATTTCTCTGATTATTTTGACTCATGGAAGAATTTATAAACAGTCCACTGTAATACAGTTTTATAAAGTCCTTTTTCTTATCCTTCATATTTATTGTTGCATATATTACAAATTGACTTATTACTGTTTGTCATATAGCATCAAATAGTAAATATAGACCTTATGCTGGAAATGTCAACCTCTCTGGCAGCTGTAACCCCGGTCATCGAAAGGGAGAGCGGAGGACACCACTATGTTAATATGACTTTACCAGTAGATGCAGTTGTATCTGTTGCTCCAGAGGAAGCATGGGGAAAGTAAGTAGTTTACAGTACCACTGTGCATTTAAATGAGGACCCTCCCCCAAGGGAATCAGGGCCCATTTTTAAATACCATAGAAGCATATCCAGGCTTGTGTTTTTTCACTGTGATTTACTCCTTGTTTATTATTTTTTTTTTTTTTTAATTTTTTTTTTTTTTTTAATAGAGGCATTTTTGTTTATTTATTTATTTATTTGTTTGTTTTTTGTTTTTGTTTATACATGCACTGGGTACAGTCAGAAGCGCGGGAGGGTGAGAGAATTCACCAGAGCCAGAGTGGGGAGCAGAGCAGGCAGGCAGAAGGACCGAAGTACACTGCTGAGGGGAGCAGCGGGCGGCAGGAGAGGTCTGCGCGCCATGTGGGACCCTCCTCCGGTGGCCGGGGAGCAGCCGGGGATCGAACCGGCGCCGCAGAGGCTGCGGGCAGCTTCGCAACCCAGCGCTCAACCGCTGCGCCACCGGGGAGGCCCTACTCCTTGTTTATTATTAAACAGAATCTCTTAGTAATTAAGTGCTTACTTAAAGCAAGTAGGGTAGTATGCTAAAGGTGTTGGTGTTTGTATGCTATGGGGTTGTTCTGTTTGTACACAGAGGAAATATACAGTTTATTTTACTTTGCATAATTTAGACTTCCCTTAATAAAACTGGTCCAATAGAGTTCTTTTACTATGTTTAGGATCTATTATTGCTACACATTCATTTATCATTGCCATTATAACTTTTGTTAACACACCTGTACATTTTCCCCCACAGAGTTCGTAAACTTCTAGTTGATGCAATTCTTAATCAACTAACTGATATGGAAAAGTGCCTTTTGAAATATATGAAAGGAACATCTATTGTAGTCCCTGAACCACTGCACTTTTTATTACCAGGGAAAAAAAGCCTTGTAACAATTTCATATCCATCAGGAATTCCAGATGGGCAGCTACAGGCCTACAGGAAGGTAAAACCAGTTCATTTATTTTTAGAAAAAATGTAATGACTGTTATTTGTTTTGTATTTAATTAGATATTTCTAATAAATGGAAATTGTTTTGTGATTTAATTTAAAAGTGTGGAAGCAAACTACTAGTTTTGCGTATATAATTTAATTCTGTCCTCATAGATCTTTTATAAGTACTAATGAAAAAATATGCTAAACCAAGAGACATTTTAATTTCATATGCTTGATGTGGTATATAGATGTGCTATGAATTTTTTTATTTTTCCATAATGAAATATAGAAATGAAAATGTGCCTGCATGCCTAGAGCAAATTCCTTTTCCCTGCCATTATTTCTAGATTTGTGCAAAGAGACAAAATTACAGTTAGGGAAGGAAAAATATATGCTAATTCTGATTAAGATTTATGGTAATATTCAGTTCCCTACCTCCCAGAGTTGTTTGGGTTTTCTAGAGGCATTTTGAAGAAAATGTGATCAGCATTCAAGGAAATAAGATTTTTTGGCAAACTGACTGGTTTTGGAGCATATATTTGATGTGTAGCCTTGCCTAGCAGCCATCAAACTACACCATGCGAACATCTTCCTGATTCATGCCTCTGTGAAGCAGTATAATGCTGTAATCCTCAGTACCTCTTTTTAAGTGCTAGATAAATTGATTTATAGAAGCAACAGCTACGGCTACTCAAACTTACAATTCAATTCAAACAGCTAGAATACATAGAAGACATGAAAAAAATTGTCAAAGTTTTCAAAGTAACTATTTTTATACAACTGGAAAAATATTGCATTTTAAACAGGTGTGTGTATTTTCATTTTCATGCCATATAGGTTGGTTTAAAGCCTCCAATTTCTGCTATATAATTTACTTTTATATTTGTTAAGCACTCTAAACATGACTTTTCAAAATACTTACATATATTTATATTGTTGTTATAATTTACTTATTTACAAGACTTTCAAAAACAAATCTTTAAACTGGAAGTATTTTAACAGACTATTACAATAAATAATTTTAAATTATTTCAGTTCTCTCACTCTAATAAATTTTATTTTTCTGTTTTCCCTCCCAGTTTTCATCCATGCACTCAAATAAGCAAAATTAAGTCTTACTTAGCTTTAATTTAAAGCTCACCCTCTTTGATCTTAGTAAATGAAATCATATGTACATTTGGTAACTTTTCTAGTTAACTGTCTTATGTTTTATAGATACTGAATAGAAATGTAAATCATGAACTTCTCTTGATTCTGATTTCATTTAGGAGTTACATGATCTCTTCAGTCTGCCTCATAATAGACCATATTTCAGAAGGTCTAATGCTTATCACTTCCCAGATGAACCATACAAAGATGGTTACATTAGAAATCCACATACTTATCTCAATCCACCTAACATAGAGACTGCTGTGGTGAGTTTAACCAATTATTTATGGGAATCAATTGATCATTAATGTCATTAGTGTTTTTTTACATTTGTACCCAGTGTATTTTTTGATTAATTTGATTGATTTATAAAGTATATTATCCCTAACACATAATTTTCCACCCCTTTCAGTACACTCAGAAGGTACTGAATGAATGCTGATTGATTTTTGACAGTGAAATAGGTTAATATTACAAAAATACAAGAAACATTTTTAATGTTATATTTGATATATATAAATAACATATAAGTTGTAAAGCATAGTAATGAAATGAATACCAGGGAGCTCCCTGCCCAATTTAAGAATTACAGCATGACTAATCTGTGTGTTCCTTCCTTATCCATTCCTCTGCCTCTTCCACACCCCAAGAGGAACTACTATACTTAGTATGTTCATCATTCACTTCCTTTTTTTTTTTTTTTTTTTTTTTGTGTGTGTGTGTGTGTGACCCTCGCCGGCGGCTGGGGATTGAACTGTTGCTGCGGGCAGCCTCGCAACCCAGCGCTCAACCGCTGCGCCACCAGGGGAGGCCCCATTCACTTCCTTTTTTAAGTAGTTTCACCATATACATACATAGTCCCTCAACAAGGTAGCTTAGTTTTGCTTGATTTTCAGCCTATAAAATTGGTGTAATTCTGTTTATAATCTTCTACAACTTGTTTTTCACTCTGTTATGTCTGACTGTACATTGGTTCTCTTTACTGCTGTAGATTTACCTCTGTATGATTGTTTCCCCAGGTTTTTTGCTAGACAAACATTTCTGTACACAAATGTCTGTATGTTTCATTTCTCTCTTTTTACCCCTGAGCCTTGAGAAAATTATAGAGCTCTTGCTACTTATACCCAATTACTTCAACATAAATCTCCAAATGATAAGAGATTTGCATTCATGAGGTAAACATAGTTTGGTTATGATTCATTATTTTTTTATTATCTGCTAGATTTAGTTTGTAAATATTTTGTTAAGCTTTTTGCATTTATGTTCATGAATGATATTGGCTTATAATTTTCTTTTCTCATACTGTTCTCATGTATTTTCATGTCAGTAATAGACTGTCTCATTGAAAGAGCTCGGGAGTGTTCCCTTTTTTTTGTTTTCTAGCAGAGTTTTTATAAGATTGGCCTGATCTTTCCTTAATCACTTAGTAAAACTCACCTGTAAAACAATTTCTGGACTGTATTCATGGCAGGTTTACAAAACTGCAAAAACATTTTTCATATATCCCTTTATTCAAACCCTTCATTTTTTTATTCCTTATTTCTTCCTTCACTCATTATTTATTCAACAATATTTGTGGACTTTAAACTGTTACAGAAGCTTGTTATAGAAGTTGGGACCAGAAATAAATAGGACATAGTGCATACACATATTGAAGTCACATATTAGAATGGGTGGGCAGGCATAGTAAAAAATAATGTGTCAAGTAGCAATAAATGCTTTGAAAAAAATAAGCAGGACGATAGAGAGTGATAGCCAGAGCAAGAAGCAGGTGTGAGGGAGTACATATGCCATTTTAAGGTTGGATGATCAGAGAACTATGTGGCTGAGTAAAGTAAGGATGCAGGCTGTAAAATTATTGGGGAAATGAGTGTTCCACGAAGAGAGAACTATAAGGCCTTGAGATAATACCCCTGGCATATCGAAACCTAAAGCAGAATGAGGACAAGGGGAAAATGGTAGGAGATGAAGTTGCAGAGGAGTCCAGAAGGCAGAACTTGCCAGGCCTGTAAGCTTTGATAAGGGTTTTGGACATTTAATAAAAATCTACAAGGGTATAATATTAAACTGTAGTTCTGTAAAGGTATTTTTATAAGGAACTAAAATAACAGTTTAGTTCTAAGGACAATAAAAATGACTCAGGTATGTATGTATAGAATATGTACATCTAAAGTTAATATTTGACTATGTTTCTTCTTCTACAGATTCAAGTGGTCCAGGGCATCTATGGTTATCATCATTATATGCAGGATCGGATAGATGACAATGGCTGGGGCTGTGCTTACCGGTCTCTGCAGACCATCTGCTCTTGGTTCAAACATCAGGGCTATACAGAGAGATCCATTCCAACACACAAAGAAATTCAGCAGGTACCATTTTAAATTACAATCAGTTGTAGATTTCATTAGCCCTTAATATGCTGTTAATAATAATTATTACCATATGGTACAGATTTATTTTTGTTTTGAGGAGAAAAATATTGGTAATCAGGGAAAATGTCCAAACTATAATTTTTAACAGCTGTCTTGTGTATGAATCTTTTGTATTTTTAAATATGTAAAGGCTCTAGTTGATGCAGGGGACAAACCAGCAACATTTGTTGGATCACGGCAGTGGATTGGATCTATTGAGGTACAGCTTGTACTAAACCAACTGATTGGTATAACTTCAAAAATATTGTTTGTCAGGTAAGGACACTTTAAGAATTTAGATAAATCATTTCAAAGTTAGTTTGTCATTTTTATTAAAATAATGGAAAATTACATTTCCCCTCTCATATTTTCACTCCTTTCTCTTCTACATAATCTGTTGCCTTCAAAATCTCATTTTTTTGACCCTAAAATTTTTTAGTTATTTTTTAGGAGCCATTTTAGTTCTCAAATAAACTTTTTTCCAGAATTATGTGGTATATACTTGTGTTGAATAAGCCTAATTTTAGCCTAGAAGAGGAAAACTTGGAAACTTTGAATGAAGTTAGGCAGACTCTAGTATTTAATGTCCAAGTCTCTAAAATATCTTGAATGGAAAAATCAAATGTTCACCTATAACGAACCTTTTTGTTTACTCCCTGCTCTTTTTCTCCTTAAGATTTTAAACCAGTGCATTTGAATAAGATTTTCATTTTACTTTTTCCAATATATTTTAATCATAATTCTAATAAAAAATACAAGCAAATATAAGTTAAATAAAATTGTTTTCTCTGTCCATATCCAGTTTACTCCCTATTTATGAACATTATTTTAGAATGCATGTTCTATTATGATAACCTCAGTAACTAGAGAAAGATTATTGTATTGTCCACAGAGTTTGATACATCTGATTTCACAGTTGCAACTTGGATTAGCTGTGCAGTCAATACTAACGAAAAATGATAGATTAAGTAGCAGACCACACAGAGTTTAAAAAGTAAAAGTTTTGGAACATTAAAAAATATACTCCTGGGCCTCCCCGGTGACGCAGCAGTAGAGCACTGGCTGCGAACCCGCAGCCTCTGCAGCGCCGGTTCAATCCCCAGCCGCTGGGCGAGGGTCCCACATGGCTCACAGACCTCTTCTGCCACCCGCTGCTCCTCTCAGCAGTGTACTTCGTCAGTCTACCTGTTCTGCTCCCCGCTCTGGCTCTGGTGAATTCTCTCACCCTCCCGCGCTTCTGACTGTACCCAGTGCTTGTATAAATAAATAAAATAAAATCTTAAAAAATATACTCCTAATTTAGGAAAAGCTAAGGTTTAACATTGCCTGGCAGCTCCATTCTAAAAAAAAAAATTTTCCCTTTAACTGCCCATTTTTCTTTCTCATCATGAAAGAACAAACTATGTAGGACATTGAGATATTCTCTAAAAATAGTATGTTATACTTGAAAGAATGTTAGAGTTTTTACATTAGCTTCACAAACATCTCTTATAGATCTCAAATCTCTGTAGACAGGGCAGATCCAAGTTAAAGATGTGGAAATACATACTCAGAGTCTGATAGCAAGAAGATAAGAACTCAAGACTTTAAAATGCATTTTTCTGATAATTAAATACATCCAGAAGAGCCGTGTAAGGCATCAAGGTGACCAATCTCAACTTGATGTTAAAAAACCCAGGACCTTCTGTGCAATTCCAGAAACAAAGAATTAGCACATTTAGTGCCTTTAAATATTTTGAGAAGTTATGTTTCTTCAAATTGCTCTCTAAGTCAGTTCTCTACCACTTAACTTTGTTTAAATATATGTTTTTCAGGGGAGGGAAGAGTACAAGGGAACATGGTGATGAATCAGGGCTGCTATGTTGGTGGGAGTACTACAGGGACTACACCTGAGGAGAGAAATCAAATACTATCCAAAAATTAACAACTATGTAAGAAAATAAATAAACTTAATAAATAAAAATAGTGCCAAACTAAAAAAAAAAAAAAAAATTATATAATGTTTTTTAATATGCCAAAAAGAAAATGAAAAGGTAGAAAACATTGGCTCCCAAGCTGGTTATTTGACCTTGGTGTTAGAAATAGCACACCTGATAAAAAATGGTTTCTTTCTAGCCAAGGTTCTGAAATGGCTTCTCAAGGCCGGGAACTGGCTAATCATTTCCAGAATGAAGGAACTCCAGTAATGATTGGTAAGGTGTTTTGGACATTTTGGGCTCTTTCAATAAAGTGAAGAGTATATAATACTTATCATTAATGTAAATATTTAATATCATGTGACATCAGAAATTTTCAAACATTTTTAAATTAACTTTTATATCATACAAAGTGATCTCTGGGTTTTTTATTTAATTTCCAGAGGAAGTTACAGAAAACATAATAGTAACCAGAAGAAGTAAAGTTTAAGACGAGAAATGGTAACTGTGGTCTTTATATTTGAAGAGTTGAGTGAAGTATGGAAAAGAGGCAGTGGCCACTCTGCTGAGCATCACAAGTTATGACTGTCACTATCTTGTCTGGTTGTATGACATTGTGCAAATTGTTTAACCTCTGGGTTTTAATTGTAAAATAAGAGGATTGGATTAGCTGCTTTAAAGCTTCCTGATTCTATGAAGAACAAGACGTGTAGTGAAACCAGGCAAAGAAAGACTAGTGTGTAAGAAATGGAAGTAGGCAGATTTCAGCAAAACATCAGAAGGAAGTGAGTAAGTAGATGGACTGAATCATTGGAGCCGGAGGCCCAGCTGCTGAGGGAGGTACCACAGCAGCGAGTGTTCCTCTCTTGAGAGGTATTGGGCCTTCCATGGCCCTTTCCCAGACCAGTTCTGATAATTCTATGGATGTGGTGGTACAATGTACATGTTATACAGTTATAGATATAGTGGTATGTTTCGAAGATGTAATTGTATTTTTTCAGTGTATATTTGACACTGCCTGTGGTCTTTTACAAAAGAGGATAGTCCATTTTAATGCTGTTAGATGAATTAATCACCAAAATAATCTTGTAAAATTTAAGGTAAATAGGAAGATGAGGTACATCTATACCCTCTCATATTGTGTATCTCCTCTCCTATAGGAGGAGGCGTTTTGGCCCACACAATTCTGGGAGTTGCGTGGAATGAGATCACAGGGCAGATAAAATTTCTGATTCTAGATCCACATTACACTGGTGCTGAAGATCTGCAGGTTATTTTAGAAAAGGTAAGTACCTGTTTAACACAAATTTAGACACAAAGTAGAGAAGTCAGGACCAAAGGATCCCAAACTAACTATAACAGAAAGATTATTAGCTGAGGGTAATGATCCTCATTGTCTGGCATTATTCTGAGGCTGTGATGAGTGTTTCCTGCCACTTTCCCCCCGCTACCAAGGCAGAGCTCTGTGAAGAGGTGTGCCTGGAGGGCTAGGCAGCAGCCAAGTCAGAAGAGCAGTAATCGTGAGCCAGACAGAGAAGCAGAACATGAGAAAGAACTGAACAAGTAGAGAGGCTTTGTCACCCGAGGCCACATGCCACCTGCCAGGAAAGGAGCCACAGCAAGCGAGCTAATCCACTGGGAGGAGTTTGGAATTTAGATTTTTATCTTAAAGGCCCATGAGAACACTTAATTATCATAATCGGAGGAGTGATATATAAATAATATAATTACTTATTTTGACTGACTTGAGTGATTTTGCCCTAGATAGATTATATACATAGGATTTTTTGAAGTAGTTTAGTAGAGTAAGGCACTGTCCCTGGTTACTTTGAGAGTTGTACTCTTTGCTAGTATATTTCTGTAAAAGCTTTCAATGACACAAAGTCCTTTGCTCTATTAGTGCTTGTATACAAGAAACCATGAAGTCAGGGCCTGGCCATCAGAAGAACTATTGACTCTTCATTCAACCCAGGAGTCCTGGGGACTGTTTTGGTCTGTTCAGGTTACCGTCCCAGGTTACTGTCCCATTCATGGGGTGGCTTATAAACAACAGAAATGTATTTCTCATTCATCTGAAGGCTGAGAAGGCTAAAATCAAGGCACCTGCAGATTCAGACCACCTCCTAGCTCGTAGAGTGGACTTTTCCACTGTCTTCACTGGTGAAGGGATGTTCTGGGACCATTTTAGGGAGTGTGCTAGTCCCAGTCTTGAGGGCTCTGCCCTCATAACCAAATCACCTCCCGAAGGCCCCACATCCAATACCAGCAGTGGAGATTAGGTTTCAACATAGGAATTTTGCAAGGATACAAACATTAACTCAACCTTAGGAGCCTCAGGGGAAGTTCTGCCCTTGCCTGAACTCTCTTTATTGTCTCTCCTGTCTGAAGTTCCCATTCCAGTCACCTCAAAGGAAAAAGTGTCACTCCCTTATCTACTCCCATCAGTTTCTGGCTTTGGCGCCCTCTCTACCCACTTCTTTGTAAAAAAAAAAATTGAGTCTGGTTACCTGGAGAAGGCCTTCACGTGTGAAAGGATTGAAAAAGGTTAAAACAGGGATACTACAAGACTTTTTTTTCTGTTTATCATTAAGAAAGAGATTTTCAGACATTAACAGTGAGAAAATTTTGCTGAAAAAATTAGATAATGAATAGGGATTTATGTATTGAAACAAATCTCAAAGACATAAGTCAGACTTAATGGTAGTTACCTGCAGACACAGGAGTAAGACTGATGGAGGACTTTTTTTTTAACTTTGATATTTGATTTTAACAATGTGTCTTACTTCTGTAAAATGAAAAAAATTAAACAGCATCTCCATTCAGTCCTGCTGCTGCCATATTCCGCCTCCGTATTAGGTCCCTGCCAGAATACTCAGCAGCATCTAACTTAGTAGAAGGAATGAGACCACTGCTTGTGACTCAGTGGTATATTAGGAATCTTAGCTAGCCTCCTCACAAGTATTTCCCAGTGCATTTCATTTCAGTAGTATTTAATACAAACAGACCATTTAGCTGGGTCTTTAAGAAAATAAATCAATGTCCTAGAAAATTTGATAAGACTTTTATATTCGTGATGAGGTTTTGTTTGAAAGTAATTTTCTCTGCTAGGGAAAAGGATTAATACTGATAGGTAGAATGGAGAGAGGAATGTTTAAAACCTGAGGAAAATGAGGGGGATAGGATACAACTAAAGGGACAAAATCATATTTTTCATCATATTTCCTCACAGCTGAGAGCCACTGCATGGTACACAGTAGTTTCTGTGGACCACTAAGAAAAACAGACTGCCAGTTAAACTACCACATTGCCAGAACTGTACAATTATACATCCTGGACTCAATAAAATGTGGCATTTTGAGTAATAGTTACTATAAGAAGTTCTTTTTTTTAATGATTTCTATGATGAAATACTAGAGAATTAAAAGTTTAAAAGTCTATCTGAAATGAACTCAAATAAGTTATTTTTCTGCTGCATAGGAATTCAGAGTTTTGAATTATGTGGGTATCATAAGACCCTAAGCGTTATAAAGTGTTACAGTCTTAATCATGTAGTTCTGTAACTTTGTAAAAGGTTTTCCTTTCTCTTCTTCCAAATCTAGGGCTGGTGTGGATGGAAAGGTCCAGAGTTTTGGAACAAGGATGCTTACTATAATTTATGTCTTCCTCAGCGACCAAACATAATTTAAAGTATTAAAGACTATAGCATTATTATATTATAAATTTGTTCATGAAAAGTTTAATCTCAAATCAAATATGGGGTATAGTTTGATTGCTTATGATTTTTTCTAAAGGTTGTAAATACTGCACAAAAGGGGAGGAAAGGGACCCAGTGGCCACAAGTAAAGCATTCTGGGGACTATGGTGGGAGTGGGGGGTAGTTTGGTAACATACATCTGAACTGAACCTGTTCCCCTAAATCACATAGAGTGTTGTAAACCAATGTTACCTCAATAAAGAACAAATAAATACAAAGAATTTAATCTTTAGATATTCCTTTAATAAAAGACAAAGCATGTCCAACAAAAATATTATAGGCATGTAAATACATGTATTAAATGTCATCTTCTCTTAGAAGAAAGTTTTCCTCCTTCTCAGAAGGAGTTTAGACACTCCTGGCAAACCAAAAGCCATAGCTTATATATATATGAGCAGTAGGTCTGCGTGAAGTGAAGGCCTTCTTCAAACCTCTTCATAACCAAATGGACATCTGTTTGTAAAAATCACTAACATTAAAAACTTTTCAAGGTTTTCTTCCCAAACTTCCATTGTGCAGGACAATTTTTGATTTCTAGAATCTAGTATTAGTAACTATAACCAGTATTAAAGTATATTAATGAAGATGAAAAGATATGTTTAGATATAAGACTATCAGTATTTAAATGAAATAATAAATCCTATGCTAAATAAAAGATCCTTGCAGGAGAAGGAAAGAAGAACTGAGTTACTTACCAGCACTTCCTTTTCCCATTTGTGTTTTCCACACTTCCAAAACTGCGTTTCTGTCTGAGCACTGGAATATAATCTCGTTCACTTGATTTTATTGTCTGCATGCATTTAATTGTTGTAAGAAACTTGGCACATTCTGGAAATCCACATGACCATGCAAGATCTTCAGCAGTTTGCCCATTCTTATTACATAAGCTGAATTTAAGATAAAAATTGAATCACATAAAAATTGACAATTATTTGGCTTTGAAAAAATAATCTTCCTCACAGGAGCTTTGGACACTTTGGTTACAAAACAGGAAAGGAAAAAGGAAGTATACAGAAGGCCCATTTTTGCTTATTGTATCCTCAATGGCTAGCAGAGTCCAGCACAGACTGGGCACTCCAATTCTGAATGAATGAAAGGTTAGGACATTTCTGTGTTCAATGCAATGAATAAATACCCAAAGGCCCTCAATGAGCATTCCTATAGCAGAAATTTCCTTAACCCAAACTAAAGTGTAATAATGTCATAATAGATGAACAGAATTGCACCTCTGACTGTTAGGATTCATTTTTTACTTACTCATATTATCAGATACAGTTAACATAAATGATAACACTGAATTATTAAGCATCATTTTTTGAGTTAGAAATGCTTTATTGTGGGCAAAATTACACAAGAGTGAGTGTGGGCAGATCAGAGATGAATGGCCAGCAAGTATCATTCTTAAAAGCATATGTAATTAAACTTTAGGCGTCTGACTAGTTTAATCAAAGAAAATGAAAAATTTGAAGCTGCTGATTTTATACTTACTCAATTTGGGCATCACGGGCTACAAGGAGGCTAAGGCACTCCAGGCTTCCAACTTTTGCCGCCTTGTGTAATGGAGCTTCTCCTAAAACATCCTTAAGGATAAGAAAGCACATTATAGTTTCTCCCCAAAACACTTCCTTGTGTAGATTGGTGGGTGAAGTCTAATGAATAACTATTTGAGAAGGCCAGTTGGAACTGCATTTGCTGGACTAAAATTTTTAAGGTTTTTTTTTACAGTTCATTTTTAGTGTGCAATTAAACCCATAATAAAAAATTATGTATGGCCACATCCATATGCATTAAGTGAAATTTAAGTGGCTAAAAGTAAAATAGAGAATTACAGAAGTAAAGCAATTTTCAACCTAAAATTCACCATACTTGACTATTCAGTGGAAGATGCAAACTACCCTAAGAAATTTGTGTAGGAAACTGTAATGGTGTGGGCGTGCCTGACAAGTATTTCGAGTGTTTTATTGAGAGTCTTAATTTTGCAATTGTGATAATTGTTCCTTTTGAAATAAACATAGATCTGCGTGTGCTGTCCATCATACGGCTAATGAGCACTGGTAATGTGGCCATTCTGAACTGAAGTGTGCTTCAGTTTAAATACTAGATTGTGAAAACATAAGTACGGAAAGAAAAATGTAAAAATGTAAATGTTTTATATTGAAATATGAATAAATTGGGTTAAATTACTCAAGTCAATTTCATGTTTCCTTTAACTACAATAAGGAGGTTACTAGAAAAAAAAAAGTTACTACATTGTACATCTGCCATGGACATGTTTATAACAACTGAAACAACATTTTGGCGTTCATGAAATGCTTGTGTGGATTTGGGAGAGGGTTGCACGAGCAACAATCCGTTACCTAGTTACCTGTTGGTTGAGGTCAGCGCCCATTTGCAGCTGCCAAAGAAGCAAGCAAGCCAGGCCCCCACCTGCGGCCAAGTGGACAGGCGACTGCTCGCAGGGATCCGGGGGCGCGTTGACCGAGGTCCCAGCCTCCAGGAGATGCTGCAGACCATCCACCTGTGAGAAGAGAACAGCTCCAGCAATCTGTCGCCTTTGCCCCAAGTCCTCCCAGGGTCGAAACCTTCCCCACTCCCAAAACCTTACAGTTCTGAAGAGGCTTGACTCGGCAGCGCCAACTGACCGGTCCACTTCCACTGTCACCCTCATCCGCAAGCTTAAGGCTGCAGGAAAGTGGGGGGGGGGGCCTGCGTCTCACCTCTGGATTGCAATCCAGCAACAGCATTTTCCCCCGAAGCAGAGGACCGGCGCGCGCAGGAGCGCGGAGCGGCGGCAATCGCGGCGGAGCAGGTACGAGTGCTCAGCCCGCCCGAGTGTGGGAGAATTTAAAGATCGCCCAGGCCGCCGGGCGGGCCCCTCACCGCCGCGCCCCAGTTCTGGCCGGGCCCCAGCAGCCTAACCCTTGGCTCCGGGGCCCTCCCCGCCCTGGAGCAGCCGCACGTACACAAACACGGACACACGCTCCCGGGAGCCCCGGGAGACCGGCGGGGCGGGGCGAGGGCACGAGCCCGCCAGCCCATTGGCCAGCCTGGAGCGCTAGCCCCGCCCCCGGGGGGGAGCCCGGGCCGCCCCTAGCGACAGGAGGACGCGCGAGCAGGGGAGGCCCCGGGCGGGCGCGGAGGGCGGGCGGCGGGTGCTCGGCGCTCGGCCGCCGCCATGAGGCGCGCTCAGTTCCACACGTCTCACTCCGGCGCGCTCGGCCCTCAGTCCCTCTGGGAAGCGGGCGTCGCGGCCCGAGGCTTTGGTTTCTGCTCGCGCGCACGTAACCAGGAAACGGAGGAGGAAGCCCGGGCGCACGGGCGTCCACTCCTCAGGAGGCAGCCCCGGTGGTGCTGGCGCCACCGCCCTCCACCCCTGGCCCCGAGAGGTGACTTGCTTCTGCCTCAAGTTCAGCACCATTCCAGGGCCTTCCTGGTGGCGCAAGGGGTTAAGACACAACCTAGGAAGCTGTCCGCAGCCTCTGCAGCACAAATTCGATCCCCGGACAGGGAGATACCCACATGGCGCGGCAGACCTCTCCTGGCTGGCCCGCTGCTCCCCTCAGCAGTGTATTTCAGTAGATCCGCCTGTTCTGCTCCCCACTCTGTCTCTGGTGAATCCTCTCACCACCACCCCCCACAACACCTCTGGCCTGTACCCTGGTTCTTGTATGAATAAATAAACAAATCTTTAAAAAAATAATAAGAAAAAAGTCCCAGGCTGCCCTCTGACGCACTGGTCCTGGGCTTTCCTAAGGAAAACTAAGGAAAAGGAGCTGGAGGGTGGGAGGGGCAATTAACGTCCATCTAAAGGGGAACAGGTGTCACCACAGGGACCACCCACCCCAGCAGCAAAATTAACTGTTTCTCACACTGGACCCTTCTGGGTTGAAGATAATGCCATGCCCAAGTTGGAGAATCCTCTTTTAAAAAGGCCAACCATTGCAAACCATCCCCTAATGCAGATGCAACCATTGCAAACCATCCCCTAATGCAGATGAAAACACAAGGCTGGGTTGTTGCCTGGAGTCCAAGTCAGTGAACTTGAGCTAGCTGAGGCCTGGCGGCATAAAAGCGCCTTTGGCCTCACATTTGGGTGAGGAGAGTTTGAGAAGAAGCCAAGCGGTACAGGCCTCTGTCTTTTGGGCCCTATGGGGCTCCTCCCAGTGGGCAGGGCTGACGCACCTCAGCTGCTCAGGGGACACCCCTGAGGTGGGGAAAATGACACCTTGTCATTCCTTCTAGTAAAAATTTAGAATAAACATAAGGGTAGCCCCTGACCACATAGCAAGTCCCTGGAACCTCCCCTTTTCCTGGGGACCACCCTTGTTACATCAGGACTGTATTTTCCAAGTCCTTCTTTTTCAGATTAATCTAAAACTAAAGCCCTAATCATTTATTTTCTTTCCCTAAAATCATTAGTGATTCTCTTTCTATATTTTTGAGTATTGGATGGAAATATAGATGTTTATTATTATGCTTTTAGAGGACAAGTGGATTGTTCTCTAAAGTAGACTTCTAATGCTAATTTTGGTTACAGTATTTATTTGTGATGAGAACCACCAAATAATTGTACAATTATAAATTTATGTTACTGCAATTATGATCTGATCCAAGGGGTAGTTTTAAACATTTTTATAGAATTTATAGAATCTTTTTTTTGTTGTGTATTTTTATCTTTAAACTCTTCATGATTCCTTATGATATTTAAAGAATGTCAGAGATATAGAAGAACATAGGCTCATCTTGCCAGTTTCCCTTATCTCATGTTTATCAATTAGGTAATATATGTTAAGATTCAAGTTTGCACAGATGTTCATTTATTCAGGAATTCCTAACTAATATAAGGTATTAGAATTCTTAAAGCTCTACACATATGGATTATAGTTAACATTATGTTGTTCTTTTGGTTACTCTTGTCTAATAGTAAACACAAAAAGCAAAACCAGGGCCTCCCCTGGTGGCGCAGTGGTTGAGCGCTGGGCTGAGCGCTGGGCTGTGAAGCCGTGGCAGCCTCTGCAGCGCTGGTTCAATCCCCGGCCTCCGGGCGAGGGTCCCACATGGTGTGACAGACCTCTCCTGCTGCACCCGCTGCTCCCCTCAGTAGTGCACTTCGTCTGCCTGTTCTGCTCTCTGCTCTGGCTCTGGTGAATTCTCTCACCCTCCCGCTTCTGACTGTACCCAGTGCTTGTATAAATAAATAAATACATCTTTTTTTTAAAAAAAAAAAAGCAAAACCATATACTAACTGGAAGTACAAGGTATACACGTGTTAGGGAAACTCAGGAAAGCTATGAGCTCTCAAGAGGCAATACTGAATTGGGTATGGTTTTCTATTTTTTATCTTTTTCCCTTCCAGGCTAGGACAATTTGTTTATTTAAACAAAACTACTTTTTCCCATGTCCTTCCTTTTGGATGTGGTAAATTTAGAACAGCATGTTCTGAAATGAGGGGAAAAGCATGGGAGAAGACAGGAGGTCTTTTACAGCCAGAAAATCTGTCTAAGTACAGGGTGGGAGAGCTCTAATAGCCTTATATTTTATTCTTCTCCAATTTATCATGTATTCTGTGAGCAAATTAACTAGCCTTAAAAGCACTTATTTTTCAAAATCTTGATTACCATCATGTGAAATTCATATGCCTCACAGTCCTGGTGCTGTTTTGTGGAAAACTTTTTCGGGCACCTGGCCCTTTCCTGAAGGGATTCACACAGATCCAAAGGTAAATGGACATGAATATTAGTTAATGATTATATATTTGTTTTCTGGATTTTTAAAAGCTTATTTGTACAAAAGAGCTAATGGTCTTGTAGTTATAAATATACTCTGGAACGATGGACTTCTGGAGGTCAGCTGGTAAAATACACGAGGAAATTCCTCAATGTGTAAAACTGCTCATCACCCTTAAAGTGTGCAACAGTTGAGGAATGAAACAGAATCATAAGTAGAAGCAACAAAATTCTGTGACAATACAAACTTAAATCGACCTGACATTTTAATGACTAAGAGAGCCACATTGAATAGGAAAATTAGATGAGTGTTTTACAAAATAATCATGAGCAGCCCCACAAGTCTCCACTCTGTGTCTTAGACAACTTGTAGGTAACAGATGCTAAATCTTATACTGTCAAGCTCGAGCTGTCATCAGTCTTCCATTCCAAGGTCACGCACCTCTGGCCTGACTTCAACCCAGTTGAAATTCCAATCAAAGAACAATTCCAACAAATCTCATTTGCATCATAAGTAAGAAACTTTGCCACAATTCCTAAAGAAAATTCCTGTATGAGCTGATTTGGGGAAGGAATTGCAATCATAGTTGACGGTATGACTGGAAATGGGTGGCTGAGACTGGGTGCAAGAATAGATGGCTTGAGTTGAGGTCAAAGAACTGAGATGTCAGGAATTGGTTGCACATACTGACTGCAGACAATGAGTGAGGAAGCAGCAGAAGAGGAGTTGGCGCGTCAGATGCCAGCACAGTGAGTGAGGTGATGTGTCAGAGGGGGCAGTAGACCTATGCCTGGTGGTGGAGTAGAGTCAGGTGACTTGGAGTTCAAAGACTCTAAAGATTTTGAAGGAATGAGGAGGAAAACTGATTTAGAAGCAGCAATGCAGAGCAAAATGAATACCCACTGCACCACCCAGGCCTGAGGTATGTGGTGTAGGATTGAAAGCTCTTCCATATGGGAGAGCTTCAGGGCAAGTTGTGTTTTCTGCAGGGAAGGAATTTAAAGCAAAACAGGGAGAGAGGATGGTCAGAGAAGAAAAAGATGTATTCTAGTTGAAATCTAGAATAAAACAAAAACTCCTGTTGTGGTCAGTATTGTGTAGTGATGTTTTAGAAGTACTGGAGCATTAACTAGTAAAGATCTCGGAAGGGCACCATCAGCGTTCCCTTCCCTTTAAAATCAGATTTCTTTCAGATGCTGTACCATCATTTAATGCCTGCAATTTCTGCTACAGAATTTTCTAAAGTTACCCCATGTTATACAAACAGTTGATAAATTTCATATGATGACTTTACATCTAATCCCAAGATTTGGCAGAAATATACACACATCAATGCTCTTTAGTTCTTACTTTCTAAAATTAACGAGTACTAAATTTTGGTTTATCTTCTTACAGGAGACCTGCAATTTAAAAAAAATCACACTGGTTTTACTTTTTGGAGAGTAGTGTAGAATAATAATGAAGTGCAAGGGCCAGCCCCACTGCCCCACTTCCTCACCCTGTAGCCTCAAAAATTTGCTTAACTTCTTCACTGTACCTCAGTTTTCTCATACATTAAATGGGTCCCCAAATAGTCCCTATTTCATGGTCTTGTAGGAGTTGTCTATAAATACAAAGAACAGTACCTGGTGTTTAGAAAGCTCAATAATTCTTTGTTTATATTTTCTAGACTTTCTCCAACTCTTAAGCTGCAACAACAAAAACAGTGACAGGGTCTAAGGGGTCTTCTGATTTGCTTCATCTCAGATGACCTTCTGGAATACACCAAGCTTTCTTTTTTTTTTTTTTTTTTTGCCCCTTTAGATATAGTAGCACGCTGGGTTAATATTGTTGATGAAAACACTTTTATATCCAGTTTCTGAGGAAACTCATAGTGCTAGCTATATCATCATATGTGGGTTGTTTTTCTTCTAAATACCACGCCTAATATTGCTTTCCCTTAAAACTCATTAGAAATTTTTATATATAATCAAAGAATTTTGTAGATGCACAAACATGTTGAACTAGTTCAGACTAACTTTTAGTCCAAATTAAGATGAGGAAATTGACTCTTCAATAAATGACTCTTCCAAAACCACAAAGATAACTCAGTGACTTTTTCCTAGTAGACCAAATTATCTCCCTTTTCTGTACTTCATTAATGAAACAATTTGTTGTCCTAAATAGTATCATATAATTGTATAAATGCAGTTTTCCAATCACTAAAGTTCTCTTGAGTTTTTCTTTTTACCACCAATCAGGAACATTTACTGGAAGCTTGTTCCTGATTGGACAGAGTCAGCTGTTAACAATAGAATGCCAAGGAGTAAACAAAAAGCATAGCAACAGCTGAGTTTGCTATGTCACTACCCTCAGCCTAGGCCACCTTGGACTCCTTCATCTCAAATTAGGTGGCCACTACATTGTATATGAAGACTCTGATTTTCCATTCAACTGTGATCCTTCTTATAAAATGGCAATCCAATTCAGATTGGGATATAAAAATTGAACAGAGCCAAAATAAAGTGTATTGCCAGGTATAATCGACAGATGCTTTAATTAGAAATGTATTATTGGGATGAGCTTCAGTTAAAAGGCAACAGGAAGCTACGAGCATGTAAGAACTGTGTCTAGGGGCAGTGTCGCTAGTTCCCATAGGGGCAGTAGCTGTGATGGGTGATGTGACCCATTGCAGCATGTGAATTCATAGCCAGAAAAGACTTAATCCCACACTATGGGAACAGACATGGAGGATGGCTGTGCTTCTCATAGCTGTGGAGGTCCCAGTTTCCTAGGAAAGAATATTTTACATCCCAGAGTTGAAAGTTTGGTATCTTATTACTAGGCAATGAGGGAAGGTTGATTTTTTTAATGAGTGTCACATGGGAATGGAGTCTCCTGCATTTTTCTGGAGAAAGATATTTCTACCATTTTATGTTTTGTTCTTGTTTACAGAACATACATTGTGCAAAGAGGATGAAGCTGACAAGTGAAAAGTTGCCCAAGACTCCCTATTATACTTCTTTATCTCAGCGTATTGCTAAGAGCCAAAAACTCTTCCAATGGAAAAAGGAAAATACTGGTACAATATTTTCACTAAAAGTTAATTATGTATGCCAGAGCAGTGCTTTTCCTCTTCTGGAGAAGAGAAGCTAGGTGTCACATCTATTAAAGTAAATAAAGTCATGCTAATACTTGAAATTGGAATTTAAAGCTGCCTTTTTTTATTAGACTTAAAAAGTTAAATTGGAGATGGTTGACTCATGTGGTTAGAGTAGCTCTAATGAAGGTATAATGAAGAATTTCACTCACCATAGGAAGCTTTGCCCAAGAATTGCATACAGAAGGCATTGCCAGAGTTCCTGCTGGGTAGTAATAAACATAGTTAGCTGGGAAACCAATCAACAAATATTCCTAGATTATACAAGGGACAGCATTAAGAATTGTGACAATGGGTTTGTTTGTTCTTGTAATTCTTTTTCCTTGAGCTGAGGAGGCCAGATTTAGGTATAAGAACTAGAAAAGAAGCTAGTATTGTGTTAAATTAATTCTATACAATTTATTATTTCTAGAGGAAAATATTATATTATTTGGTTAAAGATGAAATTCCTTACCTTCTTTTTATCAGACCGTTACAGTCATGCTAATTTGGTGGATAAGGCATTGCAGCTCTTGAAGGAAAGAATAAAAAGAGGGGATGCCATGGCATTATTTCTACGAGGTCAATTATACTTTGAAGAGGTACCATTTTTTCGTTTTGTTTTTATTCCCTATAGTGCTGCTGTTAGATTCTCATAGCAAAATTTCCTGTAGTGCTCTTTACATTACACCAGGGAAATTCTGTCAAATTCCATAGATATATTGAAGCTTTAATAATGATACATTAGTACCAGCTTAAGGAAATATTTGAAATTTCTCGATAAAAGTTGTTCTGATAAATGTCTTTTACAGGAGTCATTTTGGTATAAAATATACTTTTGCCCTATAAATTAAATATATAACTTTCATTTGTTGCCTCAAATATTTAATATCATTCATACAATATTTTCATGTTAGTAACCAATTGAGGATCTTGAGTTTTCTGTAGTATTTAAAGACAGCTTTATATGTTTCCCTATAAAGTGAATAGGGAATTGGACTTTTTATCCACATTATGCTGAGGTATTCTGGGAGGCAGACCTGGGAGGAACTATGCAAACTACTGCTCCAACTTCAGGAACACTGTTCAATTCTTCAATGAGTCCCAAGAGAAGATGTGAAAGGGAAGAGTTGTCCTAGACTCTCACAATCATTGTATACTTGGGCAACTATATCCCACTTATTCTCTATATAATTTTTTGCTGGCTCCTTCATTCGTTCTGTTCATGAGAACTCATCATACATCTGTCATGTGTCCTTATGAGCATGGCATGATGGGTAAGAGAATGATTTCTCACCTTTGAGTGTAGGTTCAAATTTGATTCTATTGCTTGTTAACTGTGTATCCTTGGACACACTTAACTTCTTAATAACTCATTTTCCTCATCTGTAAAAAGGGATAATAATGTGTGTTTCATAGAGTGATGGTGAGGCTATATTAATTATAAAAAGTACTTAAACCAATAGGGTCTGATAGCTCATAAGTGCTTTATAACTGTTTACTGTTATTATGCTAAGCATTGACTGTGAAATTATGAGGGATTTAAAATGCTGCCCATTGTATAAACCTTATAATCTAGTAGTAAATTAATATATAATTTCAAATAAGGAAAAGCACAATGAAAGCAATTAATTTATATTGTGATAGAGATTGACTAAGGGATAGGGTGAAAGACTTGTTATTAAAACCAAAAATTTGAAGAAAAGGAAACAGACAATGCAAACATCCAAGTGGAAGTGCATGCAGGTAGAGGGCAGAATGAATGCAATATTTCAGGAGAAGGAGTCTGGTGAGTTCTAGAATTGAGAGGCCAATGTGATAATAAGGCAGAGAATGGCTCTATATGAGCTTTGATTACCATGTAATAGAAGCTACTGAAGGGCTTTGAGTCTATGCTGAACTGATTAGAGGCAAGCATGGAACCAACACCAGTTCAGGGGAAAATTATACTTGTTCAGGCAAGAGAGGGTTGCGATCTTGACCAAAGCAGCAGGGGAGCTGAATCCTGGCTTTGTTTTGGAGACATAAATAATGCCACTATGGATTGAAAAACAGAGAAGTGTGGAGGAAGGAGTTTGAAGGGGATGATCAGAACTTCAGCGCAGACATGTTATGTTTGAGATGCCCATTATTCATCCTAGTAGAAAGGCTTCAAAGTAGAAATCTACATGTAAAAGTCCAGATCTCAAAGAAGTCTGGTCTGGTGGTTTATATTTAAGATTTTCCAGAAAGTATATGGTATTTAAAGTTATGGAAGATAAACAACCTCTTCCTTTCTCGTCTGTATAGAATATACTGAATTCCCAGCTCTCTTACAGCCAGGTCAACCATTAGTCAAAAAGGAGAATGAAACTCATCTATTCATTGTTATGTGTTCTTAAAATAAATATTTGTTAGTATTTTTTTGTTTTTATTAATTTTATTTATTACAGTTTTGGGAAGGTTCAATTATTTTATGTTTCCCAAAAGTTGTTTTGCCTTTGTCCTGTCCCTCCTAGCAACAACCTTCTAATTCAGTAAGAATTCACTGTTAATAGTGACCCACTTATAATATCAGGCATTTCCCATGGTGAATTAAGATAGAAATCCCATATTAGTCCCTTATACCTTAGCAGATTATCAGGTCATATAATGGCTGAGGCATCTTGATTGACATATAACATGTAGGTTTTAGTTGATTTTGTTTCTCCACGTCTTCTCTTTACCTGGGAAACTTAAAAATGGGAGTCCACGAGTCAAAATTACAGTATTTAATAATAGTGCATAATCTGATATTTACATCATCTCTGAGTCTTTTGCCCCGCTTTTGAAATTTCTCAAATTCCAGGAATGGAGAGTGGTATGGCAGGCTGAGCTGAGCAGAGGGTTAGGCTATCATTTTAAGAGAGAGGCTTGGTAATAGCCACAGGCAGGAGTGAAAGCCAAAGGAAGTCTCACCCAGATTCCTCTGGTCACTTAGCTGACATATTTGGTTGCCATATTTAAGACAGTTAATTGATTTTATATTGCTGGTTGTTGTCAATTACTTATGTGCAAATTCATAAATGTGTTTTTTTTTATTTGATGCTCCTAAGTCAGATTTAACTGGGAATTAAACATTTGGGATTATTTTGAGATCATAATAAGAACAACTCACTCTCTTCTGGAGTTTATAGGGATGGTATGAAGAAGCATTAGAACAGTTTGAAGAAATCAAGGAAAATGATCATCAAGCAATTTACCAGCTAGGAGTAATGTATTATGATGGGCTGGGAACGACTGTACATGCTGTAAGTTATTATTCTGTTCATAAAATTTAAGATTTAATTGTTAGTGGCTCATTTGCTACAATTAAAATTATATTTTAATGATATAATTCTATCCTTGTATTTCAAGAATAGCTTATCTTTCAGCATTTTAAAGGAAAGCAAAAGTCAATTTTATATTTATGTGAAAAACAAAATTTTTGCAGTACTTGCTACCATTAGCTACCAATAAGATTGCTGTTTTAAAACATTTCCTTTATTTTTAAAAGTTATTTTAGAATAACTTTAGAGTTATATGAACATGGAGAAAAGTCAGAGAACATGCAAAAATATGATCACTCCAAATTCTACTATCAAATATAGGAACACTGTTATATTCTAAAGTATATTCTGTCATATATGTCCCATGCAAAGAAAAAAAAGTGTATTGTGTGGTCTCATTTATTTTGGCATATTTGAAGATGAAAGAATTAACTAAACTGAGATTTGGAGATCTCAGAATTATAATTTATTCTTTATGATTTTAGTTTTAAATATTTCTGGCCTCATCTTACAAAGAAATTTTATACACTGCAAATAAAAATTGATAATTTATTTTAAAATTTTCAAAGATATTTAGAAATTCAGTTCTCTATGTTCACCAATAAAACGGTCCTATTCATAATGGCCTATTAAAAATCCCCAAATATGAAAATTTTGGCTTGACCACTTGTTAGCAGTAATGTGTTGGGAAAATTACTATTCCTCAGCTTTAGTCTCCTCCCTTATGAAGTGAGGATAAGTAAACCCAAGTTAGAGCTACATCTACCATCCCACATGGCTAAGGCTGACTTTGATAACTGATCAAAGCAAGCCAGTCAATATGTCAGGACTTTTATAAATGCCATTTTTTAAGGATACATTACCAATTCTAATCATGAGTGTCAGCATACAAAACAAAACCCACTGACTTAAATCACACAGTTGTAATGAAATCGAATGACATATAAAAATGCCTAAGACAGGGTACATGTGGTAAGTAGCCAGTGTCTTCTTCCCTGATTTTATCTTGTAAAAAGTTAACAACAAGGACTATACTTTTTGATTCCTGAAAATTTAAATTTTTAATCTTTTGTAAACATAGCATCTTATGACGAAGAAGTGAGTATTTTCTTTAAAACCAAGATATTTTAATGTGTTATAGTTTAACTCATTAAAAATTTAGAAACACCTAGGAGTGGAATTGCTAGGTATTTACCCAAAGGACACAGAAACATTAATTCAAAAGGGCACCTGCACCCCTATGTTTATAGCAGCACTATTTACAATAGCTGAGATATGGAAACAACCCAAATGCCCAAAAATAGATGACTGGATCAAGAAGATGTGGTGCATATACACCATGGAATATTACTCAGCATTCAAAAAAGATAAACACATGCAATTTGCAGCAACATGGATGGAGCTAGAAGGGATCATGCTCAGCAAAATAAGCCAGAAAGAAAAAGAAAAATACAGGATGGTCTCACTCATAGCAGAAATTTAGAAAACCTAAATAAGGGACCAGGAAAAAGACTAATTATAATAAAGTAAAAATCGGGCCTCCCCGGTGGTGCGGCGGTTGAGCGCTGGGTTGCGAAGCTGCCCGCAGCCTCTGCAGCGCTGGTTCGATCCCTGGCTGCTCCCCGGCCACCAGAGGAGGGTCCCACATGGCGCACAGACCTCTCCTGCCGCCCGCTGCTCCCCTCAGCAGTGTACTTCGGTCCTTCTGCCTGCTCTGCTCCCTGCTCTGGCTCTGGTGAATTCTCTCACCCTCCTGCGCTTCTGACTGTACCCAGTGCTTGTATAAATAAATAAATAAACAAACAAATAAATAAATCTTTAAAAAAAAAAAAAATAAAAAATAAAGTAAAAATCAAAATCAACAAGCAACTATAAACCAGAGACACACTGAGGCGTGGGGAGGGAGTAGAATCAAAACAAGGGTGGTGGGAATTGTATGAGGACTATAAACAAGACAAAATGCATACATTGTGCAAAAATGAAAAATGGTGTAAAAAATATATGAAAGAAAAAAATAAATAAAAAATAAATATGTAAAAGCCAAAAAAAAATTTAGAAACATGCAGAATCCATGACTACATTGCCCTTCCTTACTCCAAATTGAGCAGTGGACTCACTGTCTGAAACACCCTCCCTTCTCTTAGTGTCTAAGATGTCTTTATTTCATGTGATTCTCAGACTTGACACGCTTCTACTATCTCCACGGCTTATCACAATTTTATGTTGCCCCTTCACAGCCATTCAAGAGGTAACTTGAATGGCTCAAGTTACCTCTCTTGCTCTTCTCCTCCATCCAAATATGGAAGTGTCTCAATACCTAGGGCTCAGCCCTTTTCTGCCCTCCTTTGCCCTCTCTGCTTGAGTAAGCTCATCCAGTCCCATAACATGATCTGCACTTTTAGAAATATATCAACTGTTGAATACGAAAAATGTGATACTGAGCCTAAGTAAATGTGCCCAAGATTATAGCTTCAACCTACAAAAGGAAATGTACTAAAAATAATAGACAATGAATTAAATTTAATTGAAATATTAGTATAATCATATAATTTTCCGTATAGGTTAAATTTTATAAACTAGGTAGCATGCACACAATAGAATTTCTAATATGAAAATTTAAGACTCTAAGATTGAGTCACCAAAATCTCTTAATATATACTAGTTATGTCAGGTCACTTAACATTTCGGTCAATGACAGACCGCCTATATCACAGTGATCCCAGTGAGCACTACCATCTAGCCTACGTGTGTGGTAGACTTTGTATAATTATACTCATTCACTGATGTTCGTATAAGAAAATTACCTAATGATGCATGATCTGAGAGTGTATCTCTGTCATTAAGCAATGCATGACTCTCTCTGAGCACAAAGAAAATCACAATTAACAACCCATTGCAATATAAGTTGTAGGTGAAAAATCCATGCACATTCCTTAAGATTTGTATAAAGTGTATTCAGTTTTCCCTCATGCCTCCAAACTCATGAGAACTTTCAAAATAAACCCAAATTCCTTAAGTGGCTTCCATTCTGTCACATCTGATTTTTTTCTTCTTGCCAAACTTGTATTTTCTACTCTTCCTATTTGTGACTGTTCCTTTATCTCTGCCACGGGACAGGTCGCAGTCTATTCTCCTCATTAACCTCATGAAACAAGGATTTAATTTATTTATTTATACAAGCACTGGGTACAGTCAGAAGGACAGTAGAGTGAGAATTCACCAGAGTCAGAGCGGGGAGCAGAGCAGACAGACTGACGAAATACACTGCTAAAGGGAGCAGCGGGTGGCAGGAGAGGTCTGTGCGCCATGTGGGACCCTCCGGGATAGAACCGGTGCTGCAGAGGCTGTGGGCAGCTTTGCAACTCAGCACTCAACTGCTGCGCCACCAGGGAAGCCCACGTGAAACAAGGATTTTGCTTGTAGCATTGCTTCTGCTAAAAATGTAAGGGTCCTACACTGTTGTAAACCAGCATTACCTCTATAAAAAATAAAATAAAATGTAGGGGTCTCAGAGAAGATCACACAAGACCCCACACAGTGAAAAAGGTCAACTTTCTTGACAAGTCATTTGTGTTACCCTCTGTTGAGGACTTCTACCTGGCTGTACAACCTCAGCTTGATTCTTCCCAAAAGTGCTGACTACTCTGCCTACCCCACCTTTCTCCCTTTCGGCTCATTTCCCTCTACCTTCTCTTTATCTAATACATAATAAATTGATCCCTTTTATTTATGCAAAGTAGTTTCATTATCTCTTCATTTGCTTTCCTTTCATTCAGGTGTCTGCTCAAATGGTATTTCCTCAGAGAGGTTTTCTGTGGCAGTTTATCAAAATAGCACCTGTTATTTTCTTCATAGACTAATGATTGTCTTGGTTATTTGTTATTTATTTTTGGAATTTGAGCCCACAAAAGCAGGGCTTTCCCCCCCATGTTGTTCACTACTGAATATTCCTGTCACATCCTCCAGTAAAAGCTCATAAGTGTTCACAGATAACCCTGTGGCCCTTGCTGACACTATTATCAGGGTCTAGAAAGAACATCTCTCTTTTAAAATTTTAGTGACAGCTGTTAACATAATGAAATATTTGCCCTTGTTACAAAATCAATAATACATTAAAATATCATAAGCAGTAATACTTAATACAGAAATTAATAATTCAACATAAGAAAATCTATGAAAACACTACTTTAATAGCTTGACTAAAGGAAACCATATGATGGTTTCAGTATATATTAAAAGGCTATTTTATTAACATATTTATGCACAATAAAAAACTTTTAAAAAAAATAGTACTAGGAAGTATGTCTACTTAAAAGTTAGGAACAGTCATTTAAAATTAAGAGGCCAGGGCCTCCCCAGTGGTGCAGTGGTTGAGCACTGGGTTGCGAAGCACAGCCTCTGCAGCGCCGGTTCAATCCCCGGCTGCTCCCCGGCCACCAGAGGAGGGTCCCACTTGGCGTGCAGACCTCTCCTGCTGCCCGCTGCTCCCCTCAGCAGTGTACTTCGGTCCTTCTGCCTGCTCTGCTCCCCGCTCTGGCTCTGGTGAATTCTCTCACCCTCCCGCACTTCTGACTATACCCAGTGCTTGTATAAATAAATAAATAAATCTTTAAAATAAAATAAAATTAAGAGGCCAACTCAAGAGTCCTTTCACAAACAGCTCACACTAACTTACTCATATTGTCTCCTGAATATATTTCAAATCTGTCCCCAGTACTTTTTTCACCACTCTTCCTGTTTCGGTGTAGATTCAAGTACCCTTACCTATTTAATAACAAAGGCAGATCCTTCACCTTCTTCCCTAGTCTCAAATTTATCACTCAAATTGCCAAGAAATCCAGCTTTCTAAAATACTAATCTGATCATGTTCTGTCACCCTTCAATATTTACCAAGTTTTCCACATTGAAGGTCAAAAGAGAATAATTTAGAGTATTCCTGTCACCATCCAGCTAGTTGGCCACCAAGAGGCCAAGTAATCTTTAGTTGGTAAATTCTTCAGTTTCCAAACCAATAACTGTCATCCCAAATTCTCACCTAAGCCCCAAGTTTGCTGTCTCTGCAGCCCCAAGACTTCTGCTACCTGGGGACTTCACCAGGCATCATGAGGCTAACCCACTATGGCTGTGTCTGAACTTGACATCAGAATTCCATATGGAACTTTGAGCTCATTTGGTCCCATCCAGCTTCTCAGCTCTCTCACCTTTGGCCACCATACAAAATGTCTTCTCATATATTCTTGACTCCATTTTGCTTTGTGTTCCCTCGCCTCTCTTGATTCCCTCCTCCTAAACCTTTTATATGGTAAATGAAGTCTCAGACTACTCCCTTCACTTCCTTATCAGGAACGTGGATGCTCCACAAGCAGCCCTCTTTACTAGAAGACTCTCCTTCCAGCATCCCAACATACCACATTGCTCAAAGATGGAGCTGGCATTATTTTCATTTCCCAATTCACTTTCCAACTAGTCTCTCTTCGCCACCCCTTCAAAGTAGCTCCTTTTAAGTTCATCATACCAATTTCTTGTTTCCAACTTCTATCAATTTCCTGGTTATTCCTAAATAGTAATCTGAAGACTTTGGCTCTGGGATTAGTTTACTTTCACAAGTCATTCCATCCTCTTATCTGACATTTAAACAAGAACTGAGCAACAAGTAGAAGCCACTGTATGTGGGAAGTAGAGGAAATAGCTAGTGCTAAGGCCTGAGGAACAAGAAGAATAGTACAGTTGGAGTGTATGTAGTCAAACCTGTGGGACAGGAGCCACACCATGTGGGACTTGGTAAACAGGGCCAAGAGTTTGGATTGTATTCTCAGTGCAGTGGAAAGACACCAAAATGGAGTGAAATAAATATAAATATAAATTTTTAAAAATTACTTTGTCTATTTTGTGGAGAATGGGTTGAAATAGAAACAAGAGTAGATGCAGGAAAACCCCATGAGAGTTACTGCCCATTAAAAAGCAGCTTTAACTAAAGTCAAAATAGTGGAAATAGAGAACAATGGACAGATTTTGGATAGATTTCCAGAAGGATACAGAGCTTTCTGATGGGTTGGGAGAGACACAGGGATGGGGAGGAATCAAGGATGATTCTTTCAATGACTTGAGTGGATGATATTGCCATTTAATGAAAATGGAATGAATTAGGGAGGAACATGTTTGGGATATGGGAGGAAAAGCTAAATGTTTACATTTGAATGTTACATTTGAAGTACCTATTAAGACATGTGGTAGAGATGTCAAGTAAAGATGAGGCTAGGACTGGAGTAAAAAATGGAGGCCTGTCTGAGGAGCAATGGTAGTGATACTACTAGATGGGTAAGACTGCGGAATGAAAACAGAGAAAAATAGGCAGTGACAGGCGCCCTCCAATATTTAGTTATCAGGAAGGAAGAAATAGTCAGGAAAGGAGAATGAAGTGCAACAGTCAGGGAGGATGGAGCAAAATCAGGCGTGTATGGTTATCTGGAAGTCAAATGATGAAACTGCTTCAAGAAGGAAAGAGGAATCATCTGTCTCGGGTTCTGCTGAGATGACAGACTGGAAACAGCAATTACTAGCAGATACAATAAGATCTATTTTTATTGGAGACCTTGACAAAAGCATTTTCAGTGACATCACAAGGGACAAAGATTGGAGAGGGTTGAGTTGCTATATGGAGGGTGAGGAAGTAGAGATAAGCACTAAGTTTTGTTATAAAGAGGAACAAATATACAATAACTGGAAGATATCTAGACTCAAGGGAGTTTCTCCCGATTAAAAATATCACCGTATATTTGTTTTTTGTTTTTTGGGTTTTTTGTTTTTTTTTTTAAGATTTATTTATTTATTTATACAAGCACTGGGTACAGTCAGAAGCACGGGAGGGTGAGAGGATTCACCAGAGACAGAGTGGGGAACAGAACAGGCAGACTGATGAAATACACTGCTGAGGGGAGCAGCGGGTGCAGCAGGAGAGGTCTGCGCACCATGTGGGACCCTCACCGGTGGCTGGGGATTGAACCAGTGCTGCAGAGGCTGCGGGCAGCTTCGCAGCCCAGCGCTCAACCACTGCGCCACCTGGGGAGGCCCTATCACAGTATATTTGTAAACCGAAACACAAGATTGAGTAGAGAGGAACAAAACAGATGAATCAGGCAGACTGATGGATTTGGTGTTTCTTTAGGTTCCATCTATTTTCATAGTGAAATAAAAGGGATGCCATAAGCCTGCTTTGGCAGCACACAGACTAAATTGTTGCAATACAGAGAACATGAACAATGCCTCTGCACAAAGATGACATGAATTCATGAACCATTTCACATTTTTTATAAAAATATAAATTAAAAAAATTTAAAACAGTAAAGACATGAGCTGAGAATGAAGAGACAGGGTAAGGTTTAAAATTGTATCTTGTCTTCCAAGTTAGTGGGAGAGCTAATTTATGATACAAATCAATAACATTTCTTGCCAGAGTTGAGAGCTTACGCTGAAATTTGTGGTCATAAATTTAAAGAAGGAGCTGTCCCCAAGGCTGTGTTTTCTCCTGCCAAAACCAGCTACCTGAGTGTAGCAAGCAGGCAGAGAAATAATAGATATTTACCAGCTGGGTAAGTGTCACGGAGGGGCAAAGGAATGCATATGGCAACAAACAGAGACTAAGCTGTTAAAAACATGTAGTAGAGGCCAGGAAAACTGGTGGATCCACAACAGCAATTCCACAAGTGAAGAGCTTGAAAGTAATTACATACAGATACCAGCGGAGCAAAAAAATAAAAACAAAAACAAGTCTTTTAAGTTTCCTTCTTAATTGAACGTAAATTTACCCAGGGTAAAGGGAAAAACATGAAATTTTTATTTTTCATCACTTTTGTTATTAGTTACTCTTGATACTAATTTGGCTGACTCTGGTTGAAAGATAAGATTATGGTTAAGACAAGTTCACTTGTTTCAGCTTCTTTTTGCCCATCTCACAGTCAGAATTCTGGAAGGCTTCAACACTTCTCTAGCAAAGGCAGTAATTGTTTCAATGAATTTAGTGCCATGCTCAGATGTGGCTTATGGAATTCAACTTCTATGGGCTCAACAGGCAGCAGCACTGTCCCTCTTTGTCAAGTGCTTCTGTTTTCTGGAGATACTTCTTGTACATCTTAACCGCTAACCACTCCTCAGATGCAACTTCACATGTTAAGTGCAATTAGACCCAAATTTCCTACAAGATTTTTCATGGCACTGGACATGGTTTCAAAAACTGATAGTAAAGAGCAAATATACAACAGTCAGGCTCATTTTAAAGAAAGCACAAGAAAGGGGGCTTGCACTATTACTAAATAGCCAAAAGTAAACCTGCTATACTTAAAACAATGTGGTATTTTTTTCAGAATAGACAAGATTAAAAGAACAAAACCTTGAGTCCAGAAACAGACCTAGATAGATATGTGGGTATTTAAAACATTATAAAATTGCCATTTCAAATCTATGGGAAATGGTGATGGGACAATTTGTAATGGCAACTAAGTAACAAATAGAATACATATATATATATATATATATATATATATATATATATATACACACACACACATGTAAGGCATATATATGTATATACACATATATCCCTCTTAATCTCATGTAATGATATGTGACTAATAATTGTAATACCACCCTGTATTTTGGGGTTTATAGCATACATAAACTTAATTTACTCTAAGAATGATAATAAAAGATGTTAACCAGATTTCTGCACTTTGACATAAGTTTTAAGAACTATGCTTGATTTAGAATAAGAGTTATAAGGTAGCAGGGTTGAGAGGCTAAAAGAAACCCGTTTTGAGACAAAATAAAAGTCTGGAAGCTATACAATGAAGGAATGTCCCAGAATTCCACATGTCTCCTTATGACCCAGAACTCCTGGGAATGCCCCCTAAGGAGATGTATGTTTACCTCTGTTCTTCCTACCTCTGGTCCTGCTAAATCCAGGACAACCTTCCCCTTAGCAGTCACAGCATCACAGGAGATGAATGCATTACGGGGTAAAACTAAAAATTAGGGCTTTTTGTTTCTTCATTTCCTTTGTGGAAGGAAAAAGGAGTGGAATATATGAAGAAAATTATTGAATCACCATGTCCCACAGCAAGACACTTACACTTTGCAGCCGCTTATAACCTCGGAAGAGCTTATTATGAAGGGAGAGGCATTAATCGGTCAGAAGAGGAAGCAGAAAGGTAATCTTCCCCAAGACAAGAGATTTTGTTTACATCAACTGTTGAGACAAACAAACAAACTTGCCTTGCCTTTCTCTTTTAGACTGTGGCTTTTTGCTGCAGACAATGGAAATCCAAAAGCTAGCGTGAAGGCTCAAAGCATCCTCGGAATGTATTATTCCACAAAGGAGCCTAAAGAGTTAGAAAAGGTAACTTTTTTTTTTTTTTTAATACAAGCATTGTATTGATATTTGTTGCACTAATTCTTTTTTGAAAGGAGGGGTGAGGCATAAGTGTCCAGTTTTCAACATCTCATAGTTTCTTTAAAATGTAAAGAAAACTGACATTTTAGAATCTAAGAGCTGTTCTCACACCTCAACATAAGAACATTTTGTAAGCTATTAAAGCTATACATTTATATTGTACACTTGAAACTAGCACAATATGTCAACTGTATCTCAATAAAAAAAGCTACACATGCAAAATAGTACTATATCATAAAAGCTGTAAGCAGGGGGAGAATCCTAAAATTAAAGCCAAATCATTTCAAGAATGTGATGTTCGATTTGAGGAAATAAAAAGTGATACTAAGTAGAACATACTAAGAATTAAAAATTCAACCCATCTAAGATTTTTAAGAGAAATATAATTTCTCTAATCATCATTTCATCATTACATTTCCAAGAAATCTCCTAGGGAGAAGGAAGTCCAGGCCCAAGTCCTACTTGTGAGAGGCACTGAGGACAGACTTCTAAGAGGCACCTCCTCCTCCGGTAGCTAAGCAGCCATTTGGAAGTACTTTTTGAGCAAATTCAAATTCACTGTAGCTGAGTATTAAGCAAATATGCTTGAGATTACATGCAGCTTTTTTCCTGGGTGCTTTTGACCTTGACAGCGGCCATCTCTGAGATCAGCTTGGAGCTCTGACTAACCCTCCCCACCATCAGCAGTTCTCTTCTCCCCACTGTGCCTCGTTACAGGGCTGTGTCCCAGTTTTCCAGACACTTTTAGGGTCCTAATTTCCCACCTTCTTAAACCTTCCTTGGGAAAACATGAAAATCCTGTAACCTGAGACAGCTGACATCTCTAGACTGTGACCTCCCCTGTGCTGCAGGGTAACAACAGGGGGGCTCACCTTGGCATTCTTTTAGGCCTGTGAAACCTGTGCTAGACTGAAATACATTCATGGGATTAGGGCTATTTCCTGGAGATGAATTAATAGTACAGTCCTATAGAGATTTTTTTCTTTCTTTTCAGTATTCCTTTATAATTTCATCTTACAAATAATAAATTAGATGAAATTTTGCTTTTTTTTTTTTTAAAAGGCTTTTTATTGGCATTCAGAAGCATGTGGCAATGGAAATTTGGAGTCCCAGGGTGCGCTGGGGATCATGTACCTTTATGGACAAGGCATCCGCCAGGACACCGAAGCTGCGCTGCACTGCTTAAGGGAAGCAGCAGAACGTGGAAATGTCTATGCTCAAGGGACTCTCGTGGAGTATTACTATAAGATGAAATTTTTTACAAAGTGCTTTGCATTTTCCAAAAGGTGACTAAGCTGGGTGAAAGTATTTACAAAACTCTTACTAGATGTTCTGTGCCGATTGTGTTCATGCAATGTGCTGCAAATTGGAAGCGATGAGCACTTGAAAGTTGACTAGTACAACTGAGGACTGAACTTTAAAATTTCACTGAATTTTAATTAACTTAAATAGTCACATAGAGCTTGCAGCTACATCAAGGAACAGTACAATTCTATGCCATTAGCCTGCAGGATGTCAGTGCTATTTGCTCTGTATGCCATCTGAGTGATCCTAAGCAAGTTTAACTTTTGGGGACATTATACTTCTATAGCAGGATCATAAAAATAGTGAATATAAAGTACTTAACATAACTTGGCACATCAGGACTGTTTATTAAAAAAGTCTTAATTGCTATATTCCTCATAGGTTCTCTAACAGCACAATTGCAATACAGCTCAATAAGGACTGTAAAATAATAAAGAATAGAAAACACCAACACTAACATGTTATAAAATATATGGAACTTTCTGTTCTCTGAGCCTATGTGCTTTTTTGCTTTTATTTACCCATAATATACAAAAGCAACATACAGAAAACACAGATCTCACTGTCCTCTGGAGTGGCCACACTAAGGAATTTCTTGCCCAACAACCCACCTCAAATGGGCCCACGGGTTTATTTGTCCCTGGCCTAGGGAGAGGCAGCCACCTACTGGGGTGACTTCTACCTCTTCTCCCCACAGTTGATTTGGTCTCATTTTCACACAATTCTCCATATTAATCTGATGGTTATAAAGAATGACTTATTTTTATTGACAATTTTTAAAAACAAAGATAGGCATGTGAGTTTCTTACTGTGTTTTCTGGTCCTATATAACTAAGTCTAAACTTACGGTGAATGTTTAATAACCTATTCAAACTAATAGAAAATGCTTTTCCCTGCTGTTTAAATCTGCAAAGTAACTTAAAATATTACCAGAAAAAGGAAATCTTTTTTTGTTCTCTAGGGATTTTTATACATAATGAGTATAATCACCAGGGAAGCTATAAACTAACCATTCTTAGTTCTTCTTCTCTAGGAATGAGTTGACTACATCATATTTCTCCCTTACCACACAGCAACCAGCTTAGTTTCCACACATTAGAAACAGGGAAATCACTTTGGGCACAAGGATAATTTTGGACATGTCCTTTGCAAAAATGTAAACTGTAACTGATATTCTTCTTTTTTAAAAAGATTTATTTATGCATACAAGAGCTGGGGTACAGGCCAGAGATGCAGGGGGTGAGAAGACTCACCAGAGACAAAGCGGGGAACAAAACAGGCGGACGGACTAAAAGCACTGCTGAAGGGAGCAGCGGGCAAGTCAGGAGGTGTCTGCTGCTCCATGTGGGATGCTCCCTGGCCGGTCGGGTATCGAACTCGTGCTGCAGAGGCTGCGGATTGCTTCATAGTGTGGTTCTCAACCCCTTGCGCCACCAGGGAGGCCCTGATATTCTTCTTAATTTCACAATTTAACATCCTAACAGGATTGCTGACTACGATGAGGTTCACGATATTCCTATGATAGCCCAGGTCACAGACTGTCTTCCTGAATTCATCACCAGAGGCATGGCCATTGCATCTTTCTACCATGCAAGATGTCTTCAGCTTGGTTTGGGTGCTGCAAAGGATGAAGCAACAGCTAAACACTATTATTCTAAAGTAAGCCTGAGAACAAATATAAATTGACCCAAACAAATTTTTGGACTTCAAGTTTTGACTTGAGCACCTTTTCACTCTGCAGATAACCTGTCCACCTAGAGATTTTCAGACATGCAAATTGTTGGCTCATAATTTTGTCAGATTTTTATAAGCAATAATAAGCTCTGATAGTCGGTCCTATTTTGATGCAAATTATCATCTCTCACTCTGCTACCCTCTGCAGCCTAAGACCCAGCACCAAGACCTTAAACCAAAATGGTCATACCTTTTCTCCCAGAAACATGATCATCTTCATTCTAGTATCTTAATGAAATGTATTTTTTTAAAAATGGTTTTTTTATGCTTGACATCTACCACATTTATGAGGAACATTTATGAATTTTATCTGTTAAAACAAGCCTGTTCCTATTTTAATCCATGTGATCAATTTATTTAGATCCCAAACATTTTTCACATCTAAAATTAAGCAACTGTTTAGAAAGTGGAGAACAGGTGGTAAAAAGGGAAATCATTATGAGTACCTGCAAGTGTATTTTTTTTTAAAGCAAAGAAAAAAACCCTGCATGCCCCTGGTGCATAATATCCATGATGTACCATCAGAACTTTACCATTAATTTGTGCAATGCAGTTCAGCAGAACAGGCCAGGAGAGCATTTGTCTCTTGCCTGAATCCGATGTTACAGAAATGGTTCCCAAATTTGTGTATTAAAATTATTCACAATCTTTTAAAATTTTCAAAGCCCTGACCTTATTTCAAAACAACCAAATGCTGGTCTTCAGATATTTGCTGAGTGCAGGGATTCCAATGTGCAGGCCAGTCCAGGATCACTAAATTAAAGTATTTGGTTGAAATTAAATTTTCCAGAGCATCATGTCCATGTTAACATATAAGTACAGTAGCTCAGTACACAAATACAACTGACCTTGAGATTGCAGACATTAAGATTGCTGACCTCAAACTAAAAGCCATCAGTTATTCCACCAACAAAATGGGTTTGTTTGGAAACAACGAAAAGGCAGCTTGGTGAGTATAGTCTCATGGCGAAATTCATGTGCACTTTTCTCTTGATCCAAAGGTCCTATGTGTTTACCAGAATACAAAAAAGAAACTGTGGTGAAGGCAGTAGGATGTGTTATGGGGGACGGTACAGAGACAGTGAGCCTAACGCAGGAGTCCCATCCTTGTCAGCTCTGCCGCCGTCAAGCCCAGTGACTGTCAATTGCTTTGCCTCTTCTGGTTTCCATGAAACCACCATTAAATGTTCCCTAAAACCCTTCAATAATTCTAAAGTACATGGAGGGAAATTTCAACCTAATATAAAGAATTTCCTAATGCAACTGTTTTGGAAATAAAGTTTTTCCCTCTAAGGTGAGGACTTCTCATCAATAGAAGCAGCCAAGCAAATATCCAGTGACCAATTACTGTGGGTATTAAAGGGACAGTTTCAGCATGGAGTGAAGTTTGATTAGATAAATTCAGATGTCTTCCAATGGTCTATGAAATTATGCACCTTTATTTACTTTATTCATAATGAAACTACATATTTAAAAATAAAGTATTATTATTATAGATGCAGCTAGTCACATGAGCTAACAATTAGTTTGAGGCCAAATGTTAATGCTTTACATTTTACTTGTTTTAATAATTCATAACATCAAATGCTATCATTAGTGTATTCCCTTTATTTCTTGGAAGTGATAAAAATTTTTCTTTCAAATGATAGTAGCATGGTTAATTTTAGTACAATCTATTTTGGGTATATATAGGGTTATTTGAACTTTCCTTATTAGGAAATTATAACAGAAAGGTGTTTTAAGAAATTCCTTTGAAGTTTACTGTTTATTGCACTTTATTTTTTTTTTTAAAGAAAACACAACAATTCAAAATATATTTAAATAACTGACTCTTTATCTTTGATTTTAAGGCCTGTCGTCTGAATCCTGCACTGGCAGATGAACTTCACTCTTTACTTATTCATCAAAGAATTTAGACCATGATGTATTTCAACAAAGATCATCAATCCTAAAACCTCAGAATGTGTGTATTTTATAGAAGATATGCTTGGCTATCTTCTGTTGTTACTTACCTTGGGAATTTTTCTGATGACATACCTTTATTCTTGAATTTGTATACTGTAATTTTTCAGCTTGTAACAGGACCGCTCAAATGGTCAGAAGGGTCCTCAGAGATCCTACTGAGCTAAGATCACATCAAATCTTCAAAACCACTCCAAAAATCAAGTATCTTATTCCTTTCTTAAATACAAAATGGCCCAAATACTTAGTGCTTTAGTTTAATAATGTCAGAAATACAAATGCTACAAGCTTACTTTAAATTTGAAAATTTAATCTTTAAATTTCTTTGGTCTTTTTTTAAATGTTGTGAATATTGAATAAAAAAATGTGTTGTTTCAGTCACTTACAATTTTTCAATTTAAAATCCACAAAACTAAGTATGGATCAAATAAATTGAAAGAAAACTTCAAATAATATTTTTATGAGTTTATGTAGCATTTATACTTCTTCAGATATTAAAACTAAGAACACAATACATCTTTTGGCATATCTTACATTCTTAAAAGATATTCTTATAAAAATTGGCCAACTTTTATAAGCTTAAAAAAGACGCATGTAAGAAATTGCTTAGAACCTTGCCCCTTCCTATCTTCCCTAAAAGATCTTAATAAGTAAAACATCTGCTATATTCCTGATGAATACTCATAAGATAACCAATTAAAGCAAGATGTTTGTGTTTCATGTTCTGTATTTTAAAAACTTTACATATTTCAAAGCATGATAAAAATGTGAAAAAATCTCAATGAAATCATCTACCAATATAATAATGAGAACAAAATATTGTAAATTAAATTAGCAAGAAGAGGCCTTCCATAGATCAGTGACACCTATGAAGACAAAAGTTGACAATAAAAAATTGTAGGCTCCATATGCAGAAGATTGTATGGTGATATACATCTATGAAACAAGTATGCTGAAAATGAAATGTCTTAAGGATACTTCACAATACCTATTTTGTAAACACAGTAAACTGATGTGGTTTTATAAACCAAAACCATCATTTCTAAAAGAAGATTCAAGCAAGATCTATTTTTGGTAGTAAAAAAAAATGCAATCAATATGTAGGTGCCAGTCACTATATAACTATTGAAGAGTAGAAAAATTACTTGCATTGTTACCTTCTGGTTTGGCTATTATTACTTAGCTTTCATTTTACCTTTATAAAAAGGCAAGACATAGTCTGTGAGATACACTCATGTAGGCATATAGTTTTCCCTTAAATCTCTTAAAAATACAAAATCATACATCCATGAAAATCAGTCCTTTTGTTTTAAAATCTCTTCTGAACACAGTTCTCCACCAGTAACACTTTTCAATATCTCATGCCCATTACAAGATTTCATACCTAAAATCTCTTTCTACAATATAGTCCACTTGCTTTGCTCTTGTTCTCATAATATCAACAAATCTAACATTCCTTCAATCACCTAAAAATCCAAATTTCCCACCAGAATCTTCTCCATTTTTAATCCAGTTCCTTGGGCCTTTCTGTAAGACTCTTAACACAGGAATATAATAAAGCAGTATGCGCTGACTTTAATAGCACATTTCATAAACCTGCTATCTCTTTTCATCCCAAAGTAAGACTCCTTTTTTTCACCTGACATTAAAACACAGGTCTGAGAAAATCAAATTCCTAAATATAAGAATTTGGTATTTCATATGTGGTAAATAAAATGCAATGCTTAATGCCTTATAGTGTAATCATCACAGCATTTAAAATTTCAGTTTACTGTAGTTACCATAAAGCTGATGCTTCTGGCACAGATGAGGTCCTGAGGCCCTGTAAACTCCCACTGCTGCAGGTTGGGGTGTACACCTTGACCTGCGGGTGGAGTCAGTCTTTAACTCAAGTGACTTGAGGCTTCCAGATCATTAACCTTAAAAAATAAAAACTTTTCTGTCAGATCCATTCTAGCATATAGCTCATGAAGAGTAAGAATTTGTCTTAAAGAAAGACTGAGGAGACAGAATTACTTTTCTTATTTGCAGTATAAACTTAATGGCTACAGACAGCTGTTTCCAATAACTTGTTATGAGTTCTCTGGGGTTTGGTGACTTTGTACTGGTTCTCTGAGTGTGCTTTTCTGCATCCCCAGGAAGGGTAGTTCTAATCCATACAAATCGCCACCTTTGGGTTTTTGGAAGTGTCAAATATTCTGGTTGAATAAAGGATCAAGAGCTGTAACTAAAAGAATCCCAGAGATAAAATGTGGTTTACTAATTTTCAATCTTTCAGAACTTATGTTTCATATCAAGAACTGGGCAGGTATGATTCACCGATGATATGATCAATACCACTTTAACATATGGTGTTTTTCTTTCATGGATTTCCAACTGAAGTTTTGCCTGTTGTTTTGTGTTCCATATACCTGCAGCCGTTAGAGACAGTGTTTTTATTATCACTGTATAATTGATGGTGAATCCCAGGAAATTCAATTAAGTGACTTGTCTATGAACCCACTGTTAATAATGAAACAAAATCTGTATATCCTGGATCTCACCTAATGCCCCTACTAATCCACAGACTTGTTGATATGATCAAGTCCCTAATCTCTGTGAAGTAACTCCTTCTTTTGGTTTTGGTAACTCATTCCTGCCCTTTCTTCCAAGTTCAACTCCATCCCACCCCCCAGAAGCATTATTTCAAGCACTAACTTGGCTCTTCTCATCACACTAAAAATCTTATTTTTCATACTTACATTCTATGTCTAGAGAATAGCAACAAATTTTCTATTTCCTTGCAAATATTCTAAAGTGCAGAGCTTTTCCAAAAAAAGGCACTTGACAAATATTTGAACTAGATGAAGTATTTCAACCTTTTTTGAGATATAAGCACCTTCAACATCATAGAGTTCTGTGATTCGTTTTCATATTTTATTGCTTCAAATGCTTCAAACTATGGGAAATCTTTGGTAAAAATAAAGAGTAAAATTTTCACAATAACTTTACATAAAGCATTGCACAACAAAGTTCTTCAAACACACGAAATAATATAGGAATGTTCTGAATCCTCAGTGAGGAAATTAACTGTACAATATTCATAGTTCATTTTAAAACAAAACTGTTCTCATAAATATTTAAAATATTTCCTAGGTTCTTATCACATATTAACATTTGTATTTCAATCAGGATGTTGAATTTTAGAGCATTTATATTATTATTAAAATAAAAACAATAATTAACAGAAGGGTTTTTCCCTGTTGCCTATGACAGCATCAAGTTTCCCTCCCTCCCCAATCTGCTTACTTCACATAAAACTAGAGGGAGGGAACTAAAATAAAAATCAGTATGGTTCTCAGCCAAGCCCTCTGTGGAAAAGAGGAAAATGTTTCATGTCTATTATTACACAGACATTTCTCTGGTGGTTTATTTGTGCAGCCTCAGACTTGACCAGCTTTTAGTTGATCTAAATGAGTTCTCAGCTCAGGACACAGTTCAATTAGCAGCAATTCCATCAGCACCTGGATTAAGAAATAAGCAGAAAGAATAGAAAAAAAAAAGGTTTTTCTCTAAAGTTTTACTTAAATAGCCATGTCTATGAGAAAAGTCTAGGGGGAAGTCTGGAATAATCTTCACTGAACAACTTACTCTCAAACAAACGGAATTAACGTTATATAAACACCATTTAGCACCAAACTGATTTATTTCATGTCCTGTGAAGCCTTATCAAACCATCCATGACACTGAATACAGCCAACGAAAATCAGATGACTGGGAAGTAGTCATATAGAAATGTGACATGTATCAAAAGTTGAGAGACAACTAGTATGAGTTTTCTTCCTTTTTCCCTTTCTTTTAACAACTGAATGAACAAAAATGAAACAAATAGCTTCACAGTTATAATTAAGAAAATGAGGGATTAAAATTTACCCCATGTGGGAACAGAAATGTCAAAGTAAAGAAATAGGTAATCTTCTTGTAGGCTTTAATTAACTCACGTATAGTAGATGCTTATTGGCTTTCGTTTCTTGCAGTGCATTGAATATTTTTATTATGCCATGACGAGCATTTTGCTGTCCAACGAGGCTCTGAAGCATATCTGAAAAATTAAGCTTATTTTCTAAGCTGCTGCTGTGAAAATGTGCACATTGCATATTCAGTGAGGGAGCTATGACATGACACATACACCATAAAGGCACGGAGACAGGAATACCAGTGATCAATTCTTTCAAATGTTTAGAGAAAAAACTTTAGAAGTTTCCAATATATTTATACAAACTATAATTTTAATATATTGCTATCCAATTAAAAACTAAGTTCTCAAAATAGAACAGGCTTTTTAAAGCACAAAATTTATTATCTGCTTTAAAACATCTTTCTAGTGATAAAAAACTATTATATCCATTACTGTTGTTATTTAACATCCTAGGTATAATTTCTTAGCAGGGGCTAAGATATGATTTAAGAAGAAAAAAAGGTGTGATCCTTTTTCTCACTGTAATTAGTGTTTCCTGAAAGTTTTAAATGAGATTAAAAACTTAATAGGGTTAATAGTCCCTTTTTATCTCTGTACTTAACAGGCCTCACCTGGAATGTTCTCAAGTAGCTTTTGCTGGGCTCTCTGTTTTGTTTCCTGACTTTGTTCTTTGCTTCTGATTGTGGTTGGTGGCGCCAGCTTCCCATTTGGCCAAAAAGCATCCCGGAAAACATTGATGTAGTAAACCAACATTTGCTCGCTGAAAATCCAATTCACTGTGTCTCGGATTTGTCTGTTAAGAGAAAAATATTTCTTGGGTAAGGTTTTAAAAAATATTGCACTCTATCTCAAATTTCATTTATCAAGGAGTAGGCTAAGATACAACCTGATCTAAACATTTGATGAATAAACTAAGAATTGTATTTTTAAACCCTGTCTCTAAAAGTTATTTTTATTTTGGTGACACTGGATGCCTATTCATTCTTGGAGTCCACATTTTCACTGGCACTGACCTCTAAAGACTTTGCCGCATGAACCTTCCAGTCTGTCAAGACAGTAACTGAAAGGAGATTGTAGGGGCAGGATGGGATGGAGCACGCTCTCTATGACCCGAGCCGACAGGGTAAGGAGGAGTCCTGGAGCCCTCGGTGGCTTTTCAGGTTTTTATTGGTATTTCACAGGGTACACAGTGGGCAGAGGTAATGGGGGCTGGAAGGCAAGTCTTCACTCTTTCTGGGTCTCCGGCATTCTCTCGTGGCCTTGTTCTCTCTCTTCGCTCTGCTCTCTTGCTCTCTTCTGCTGGCATCCCCATGACGCCGCCCTTATAAGCCCACTTTCTCAGCCCAGGTGTACCCATTCACATATGCTCACACCCTATTCCAGGTGTCCACCACAAGACATGCATTCAGGACCGCAGATCTATCATCAATCCTAATGGCGGGAGGGCAGAAAAGCCTGATAAACATTTACTGACCCTACTGAGATGGAATGATTTGTTTGAAGCTTCTACTACTCTATAGTGCTTGTGTAAGAATTTCTCCATTAAATAGTATGAACTGAAAGCACAAATCCATTTAAAGACTGTTAAAAGTGGTTTGAAAAGCCCTGCTCAGCTCCTGAAGTTCTGGGGAAGAAGCCCATTATTTCACCAGTTGTCTCATGGTGCTGTCCCATAGGGCAAGTATTGCTGGGCAGAGTACTCACCTGGGAGAACATCTCACGCACTCATGAGGGAAGGGAAGAAAGAAACCCCATTTCACCACAAAGGGAAGGACTTTGAAAAGAGACAATGTGAGACAGCCAATTTCAAATTTCCAGGGGAGTGAAAATAGGGGAGGCATGTAACTTTCACAGTCATAAATAAATGGCTTTTATCTGGTTACCTAGGCCTTTGACATACCCTATTTCATTAGACAATGGGTCAGATTAACAAGATTTTTGCTGTCAAAAGACAAACAGTTCAAAGAGCCCAAGAGTAACTGTGATGTTGGCAGAGAAGTTTCTCTGTTGAAAAGAGGACTAAGAATCATTGCCTGAGCCTCCCCAGTGGCGCAGCGGTTGAATGCTGGGTTGCGAAGCTGCCCACAGCCTCTGCAGCGCCAGTTCGATCCTCAGCTGCTGCGACGGTCCCACATGGCGCGCAGACCTCTCCTGCCACCCGCTGCTCCCCTCAGCAGTGTATTTCGTCAGTCTGCCTGTTCTGTTCCCTGTTCTGGCTCTGGTGAATTCTCTCACTCTCCCACGCTTCTGACTGTACCCAATGCTTATATAAATAAATAATCTTTTTTTAAAAAAAAAAAAAATCATTGCCAAACCTGGAAACTCAAACTGAATAGTCATGAATAATAATAAATCAAAAAGGCATTTAAAGATATAATTTATACCTCGAACATCAGGTTTTCAGAAACAGTAGTTGAGACATTGTTTCCCAAGCCTAGTACAGCCATATACCATTAGGTGATTTCCTTGTACAAAAGTCACAGGGTGTAAAATGCACACACCTAGGTGGCATGGCCTGACATCCCTGGGCCTGCATGGTACAGCCTATGGTGACCACTGTTGTACAGGTGGTCTGTGGTTGACCAAGTGCTGCTAAGCCACACATGACTGTGCTTGGCACATCATGATCCCTCACAAAGTCTAAACTCCACTGTGAGTCAAAACTATAACTGCTCTTTGTAACTGCATGTTTGGCTCCTAAAATACTTTCCTATATATTCTTAGGATTATGCAATTCATATCTAGATCAAATGAAATAATTGTATTAATTTAATGGAATGTCTCCTTTAGGAGAGACACTGTCCATCTGTCTGCCTTCCCAAGAAAAAGCTACATAAAAATACAAACATCTTGGGGCCTCCCTGGTGGCACAAAGGGTTAAGCACAGCATTGTGCTTAACAGCCACAGCCTCTGCAGCATGAGTTCGATCCCTGGCCAGGGAGCTACCCATATGGCGCAGCAGACCTCTCTCCTGTCTCGCCCGCTGCTCCCCTCAAGCAGTGTACCCCAGTTCTTGTATGCATAAATAAATAAGTCTTAAAAAAACAGACATCTTGTTTTGGGTTATTAATTGACCCTACGTGAAGAAAAGTCAAGAAAATTTCAGTGAACAACTAAAATTAGGTAAATGACTTACCAAAGATCAATTACCCTAGCATTTCAATCCAAAACCAGTAGAGGGAGCTTTTGAAACAATTCTGGTAGGTGAAATCATGGTACAAGGAAAGAGGCACATACAATACTGTAGTTTAATTTTATTATGTCACCTGCTAAAGGCAAAAAATAGGAAAGGGCCAGGTGCTCCATAATTTCTCTACCTAATAAAAAGCCGACTGAAATGTGTAGCCTGAAAAGTCTCTACATGATATTCCTCCCTCCAGACCCATGAAAATAACTGCCAAATGCATTCATTACTCAAACCACAGCTGCTCATTTTATAACGAAGAACCAATATCAATATCATAATGGAGCAAGAAAAATGTGCGTTTCAGAAACTTTCTGAAAAGGGAAATAAATTAACATGTTTCTGAAAAGGGAAATAACAAGTCTGAAATAACAAATTTCTTGGAAATTTCTTTATCCAGGGCTGTCAATACATAGGATAAGAAGTACGTCTCAGTCTGAAACATTAAGTTAAACAGGCCATTCTTTTGAGTAAACAAGGCTCTAAAACCACTTTTTTAAAATCTTAGATATCAGTCTTAGTTTACAGAAGTGAACTTTTTCTGACCACAAGAAAAATACATTCTATTTTCAAGTTATTAAAAAGAATAACATTCTTGGGCCTCCCCTAGTGGTGCAGCAGTTGAGTGCTGGGCTGTGAAGCTGACCACAGCCTCTGCAGTGCCAGTTCCATCCCCGGCCGCCAGCGAAGGTCCCACATAGCGCGCAGACCTCTCCTGCCACTCCCGCTGCTCCCCTCAGCAGTGTGTTTCGTCAGTCTGCCTGTTCTGTTCCCCGTTCTGGCTGGTGAATCCTCTCACCCTCCCGCACTTCTGCTGTACCCAGTGCTTGTATAAATAAATGAATAAATCTTTAAAAAAAAAAATAACATTCTTTACTATGTTTCCCTTAAAAATCTATGATATGTATGATAAAACTATCAGATTAACCTTATACATACATTTCACAACTAAATCTTCCACGTGGAGAAATCTGATAATTTCATCTCAAAACTTATTTTTTTTTACATTATTTTTAAATTATTTTTTTCCTCTTAGTAGTTGCCTAAATAACATTTCTATTGTGCAAGAAATCAGAATGTTTCTTTCTTGGAGAATATAGGGTTTACAGCTGAATTTGTATGTATGTGGATTATCTAAAATAGAGCATACATATGGCTTTAATACTATGATACACACACACACACCTTTGATGGACATTCATATATTAACAGGCAGAAATACCATGATATGACACATGGTGCTCATCCTACTATCATTTTGGCTTAGAGTCTAAGTTTTAAATAAGTTTTCATCCTGTAACATAACAACATTATTCCCAAAATACTCAAGCTAGTCACCAGGATGAAAAGAAATCTCTACAGAAGATTCTGTTCAGAAGATTCTCATCAGTCAGAATGCCAAAGCTAGTGCAAGCTTTTAGCCTTCAGTTTACTGTACTAGAGAAATTCTTTCAGAAATCTGCTCCCCGATCCAATCTTAGAATCATATCAGAAACAAGACATAGAGGAAAATAATTTCTGTTAACAAGATCACTGGCTATTACACTGTCAGATAATCTGAGGACAAAGGCAAAGAGTAAGGCATGAACTCAAATATTAATTTCATGCAACTCACTTGTTGATGGTTCTTCCAAAAGTGACTTGAACAAGCGCAATTAAGGTTCTTCTCACCCATTTAAACACTAAAATATAAATCAAAGAAAATAAGTTATTGCGGGAAATCACAATTATGACATTTTCATAGCTGCACAAAGCACAAATCTTAGCACGTAACGCAATCTGAGTCCTGACACCAAGTCAGAGCTATGACATCTGCAGAACTTGGGTCTAGGTTAGCAAACTTCTGCCCAGGAAAATTCTTTTTGCTTTCAATTTCTACTTAGCAATTAAGGAGTGGAAATAAAGAGTTTTTATAGCTTTTCGCGCATAAACAACAGCTGAGTTAGCAAATAATACTTTACTTCATACGTCCCTGGGCTCCTGACAACATGTCTGTTTTTGACTAGTAGACAGTGCAAGTGCTAGTTTAGATTTCTGTCTGGCATACTGAACTCAATTTTCTAACACACTGCTCTGAATGAGAAACATCTGCAGTCAAATGTTGACAAACATTTTGAAATATTAATGAGTTGATGGCTCTAACTATTCCCACTAGGATGGTGGTTTGCAGATCGCTGCATCCTTTTATATATATATTTATGTCGGTGGGGAATGAAAGGTGAACAGTGAAGAGCCAGGATCCCGAGGGGAGATGTGAATTCACTCTTCCATGCCACTTCAAGAGCGGCTGGGCAAAAATCACCTCTGAGCATAAGTGCCTTCATCTGGAAAAGGACAATACTGACAGGCAGCTATTTTGGTTGGAGGGTATTGTCAATATTTTATGTGAAAGACCCTGTGAGTGAAGGATTCTACAAATTTAAGCCTTATTATTAATACAGAGACATATTTTTATAGGTATAGAATATGAATATAAATCAAAAAGCAAAGAAATGCTGTGAGGATATTTTAGATCCACAAGTTGGAATCTAATCAAATTTTCCATTTATATATTCACTTCCATTCATTGGAATGTTTGGCTACTGAGAAAATGAGATTCATACTGGATTCTAATGATAATGAAGCTAGAAACTCAAGGTTCCTACAGTCAGAAAACTGACAAGAGGGCCTCCCTGCTGGCACAGGCAGTTGAGCTCAGCGCTGTGAAGCTGTCCACAGCCTCTGCAGAGCCGGATTGATCCCAGCCGGCCAGTGAGGGTCCCACATGGTGCAGCAGACCTCTCCTGACTCGCCCACTGCTCCCCTCAGCAGTGTATTCCCTCAATCTGCCTATTCTGTTCCCCACTCTGTCTCTGGTGAATCCTCTCACCATCCCACGCATTTGGCCTGTACCCGGTTCATGTATAAATAAATAAATAAAACTTTTAAAAAATAAAAAAAGAAAACTGACAAGAAGTAACCTCTGCTACTAGGGAAGCCACACAAGCAAAAACCAACAATTGACATAGACTTGGTACTAGATTTTAAAACAGTCTGATTTCTAACTTCTTAGTTAGATCTAAACGTCCAGTTAAAGTAGTGTTACTGATCTTCCAAGAAAAAGTCAAGTCTTGCTTCAAAAGGCCTTCAAGTTCCGGAAGCATTCAGAGCATGTTGCCAGCCTGCAGACTTGTTCAATTGGGGCTGGCATTTAGCTCGTCAGGCAGCAGTGATAACGTGACTCTGCCTTTCTTTCTAGGGTAGACCCAGAGGGTCTGCGCACCTGTGCCACTACGAAAGAATGCCTGGCAGCTGCATGACTGGTTACACTTTTTTTCCCCAGGTTGTATAACTGGGCCCTTTCTGCACATGAGCAAGAGCAGGAACCAAAAATCGTCTTGCCACAAGTTCTCTCCCGTCACTGACAGTCCCTTAACTCCGCTACTTTTGCTATCCTTTCCCATCCCAGCCCCCACAACCAAGCCACATCCAAAATAGCCCCATTACTCCTTCCAAGGACTCATCTGCTGAAGGAAACAGAGGCAGCTGCACAAATGAGGGTTTTGCTGATGGCAAATATATCACATCTCATTATAAATGATGTTCTATTTATTCCGCTCTAAAATGTCACTAGCAAAACCAAATATGCTTTTGAGCAGACAGGAAATGCACACTGCAGACAGGATTTTGAGCCTTATCCTCGCTCTGACTGGCTCTGATACCTCGCCTAGACTCAATCTCTTTGGGCCACAAAAAAAATACACTGGCAGAAGGCTAAGGTAGCGTTCCTCAATCTCATTAACTCTATGGGAAACGGGAGAAGTCGTGGCTTAAAGGGCCAGATTTCACTGAGGACAAGTCAGACTCTGGGTGGAGGGCTAGTTTTTTCAGTCTCTAATGAACTAAGTTAAAGACCAGTATATATCTTAAGGACTAGTTATTCTGCCTACATTGAATTAATTATCAGTATTACCTTAAAGTGACTATTCTATGGAACACCTACAGCTTTTTGATCTAGAAAGATCTTCAGTATGTGAATGACAGTCCATCATATAGGTATTTCTTTTAAATTTTTTTTTAAGTGCTAGGATGAGCCTTATTTATTTATTTATTTATTTATTAAAGATTTATTGATTGACTGATTGATACATACAAGCACTGGGTACAGTCAGAAGCACGGGAGGGTGAGAGAATTCACCAGAGCCAGAGCGGGGAGCAGAGCAGACAGAAGGACTGAAGTACACTGCTGAGGGAAGCAGCGGGCGGCAAGAGAGGTCTGCGCGCCATGCGGGACCCTCCTCCAGTGGCCGGGGAGCAGCCAGGGATCGAACCGGTGCTGCAGAGGCTGTGGGCAGCTTTGCAACCCAGCGCCCAACTGCTGTACCACCGGGGAGGCCCTTTCTTTTAAATTTAAACTCACTCCCATTTCTGAACATTAGCTTAGTTCCAACTTTTCATAATCAAATTGTATTAAAATGAGCAGCCTTTTATACAAATCTCTGCCTGAAGTTCAGACTTTAAGTGTGTCTATCGCTTAATGTGAATTATATTTTTGGGACCCTCATGGTGCAAATTTGCAGAAGGATGAATCTACATATGATATAATTTTGTTTCCTGTAAGCTGTATCTAAAACATATATTCCCAAAGTGGTTTTGATCGATATATTATTATTTTGGTTTTGGTTTAGGGGAAGAAAAGGTTCAGTGACCAAGATAACTAATTCTGGCACCTTCTTGCCTAGTCAACATCAGTGCCTCCATCTAGATGCTTATGGATCACTGACCATGGATTATGCATGGTATTAGATACTACGGATTAAAAGGCACATAAGACATGTTGAAGTTTATAACAGCACTTTGAGATTTTTCCCTTTGCTAAAAGTAAGTAACATACTAAGGGAATATGCATAAGAAAGAACATTCCACCCCGTTTCCTATAGTCGACCAAGTCCCAGCTCGCCTTCTTCGCTCCAAGAGAAAAGGGCTAATCAAAGTGGACAGAGCTCCCTCCCAGCATGACATTCTATTGGTGGTAGGTGTCTTGCAACCCTTCTTCCCGTTTGCTTTCTTCTCTAAGAGGTTAGGAATACCTTTATACACCTGTCATACCTCTAGCTAGTATTGAGGCTCCAGGTATCACTGAACACATTGGTCCCATGATTAAGAGAGTTGGGGGGCTGTGAAAAGTGTGGCAGCATTCTAATTTAGAACTCTAGACCAGGCAAAATAGTAGTTTGACCTTTTCCTCCAGCACTGCTTTAGGGGACAGGAACTTCTGCAATTCCTATCAAAATGGTTGCTTGATCCTCACTTTGTTATTGCTTCTGCTAGGTCTATCTCCTTCAAGAACTACTAGGACTTCTCACCCTTGCTACTGTTGTATTTTGGGAAATGTAACTCTTTGTTCTGAGTACGCTGCTGGTGTCTACTCACAAGATGACAGCTGCACTGTCCCCAAAGTTGTGACAACTAAAAATGTTTCCAGATGTTGGCAAATGCCCCCGGGGCAAAATTTCCCTACCTCTCCACTCCTAATCCCTCCTACCAGGGGAAGAAAGGAGGCTAAGAGGTAGGTTTGAGGCATTTCTATGTCCATGGCCATACCACTACCTTAAGCAATACCAAAACCTCACTTTTAACAAGGTTCTTTCTCCTCTGCTGTATAAAATTTCTTTTTTGTACACCTTTTGGTGCTAAAGCCATGAGGCTATGCTAAATTACATCAAAAGAAATCAAAACCATTCCACCTTTCCGTATTCAAAGGACCATGGTGCGGGGATCACACCCTGTGCTCTCTGAGTAGATAGAACACTGGTCTCAAGGCTCTATCCTCAGCTCCTAGCACAGTGTCTCACTGGCCTTTAAAAGGAAAAAAGGAACATTAAGCTAACCACTTAATCAGTAAGTACCACCAAATAATTATGAATAGGCTTACTTCCTCGAAGTTCAAAAATCTCCCCAATCAACATGAAGCATGGTTCTGCCAGGGAATCCTTCTTCCCATCCACATCATCACCATAGTCTGACAGGTCACTGTCCTCCTCTGTCTCTTCCTGGGGTACAGAAAAATAAGAGGAAGCAGATCACTCACTCAAAAAAATTGGCATAGTTGTTCTCCTTTGTCGAGGATAAATTCCAAACCTTGTGTTCAAATTTCAACCTTACATAATCCTTCAACCTTCCTACATGCTGAAATTCCTGCATTTCCAATAAAGGGGACAAAAAGTATAACCCTAATTCAATACTAATTTAAAAAAATTAGTAATAAGGAGTGAATTAGTACACAATGAACTAGTTTCCTAATCCTTCTGAGTTTTAAAAGGGTTTTTTAACTTTTAACTTAAGTGATTTTAAATTCACTAGTTTATAAAGAAAATATGTATATATTAAGGTAATTTAGTTATTCTGAAAGCTCTGAGTCAAGCTTCTAGTCTGTACCTAAGCTATTCTCATTTCCTGAACATGCCTATCATTAAATTTCAGCTCTAAACTCATAATGTCAGGCAACTGGCTAGTGCAAAATCATGGGTACTGATCCAGACCCTCAGTGGCCCAGGGCTACCTGGGAGACTGACGAATACACACGTGCTGTCTGTACAAGCCAGAGAAGTGCTGGAATAGAGGTGTAGGTATTAGGCAGTAGAAGGACCACTGGCAAAGTTCATTCTAATGTCTGCAGAGAGGTAAAGGTGAAGTTCTAGGATCAAGCTGCAGGTTAACAACAGGATTTGGGGGAACTGTATTAGCAGAGGAAGGACTGAGAAGTCAGAGAGGCAGGAGGAGTTCCCTATAGCTGCACAGATTTATAAGAAGTCTGGCAACATCAAAAAATGCTAGAGTTTGAAGGGGCTGGCGATAGGGAGTCGGTGGATTTGGTCACTGGTACTTACCTGCAGAGAGTAATTTCATAGAGTGAATGAACCATAACGTAAACTCCAAGGCATTCAGGAATAAATGGGAGGCAATGGAACTAAGTTAGCCAAGTACAGCCAGAAATTACAGCTATGGCCATGACGGAAAGCAGTGGGAGAGACGGTTGGGAAGGAAGAGGATTTATGCACAGACTTAACGCTGATGTATGCGCTCCATTGTATACACTGACTTCACTTCCTACCTTTTCATTTCTGCATCTTAACTTTTCCAAGGGCAGCGTCCCAAAATATAACAGCAACAGTAATTGAAAAGGGACATATTTGCCTTTTCCCCATTAACAGGTGCTTTCAACAACTATGTTACTTCAAAGAGCTTCAAAGAGACAAGTGGTGAAATATGCTGCAGAAAAAAAGAGGGGGAACAAGGTGTAACGTTCAGCCTGCTCACCTCCTGATGGGAGAAGAAGTCGCGAGGAAGTCTTTCCAGAAATGAGGATAGTGAAAAAGTGGGTTTTTTCCCCTGCACATCAATAACCTTGAGGTAGTCAGGAGAAGGGCTCAAAAAGGCATAAAGTGCTTCACTCTGACACAGTCTTTCATCTGAAAGTAGACTCTGTGGAAGAAAGAGGATTAATCACTCCTGCAGGAGTATGTCTGTGCTGGGAGCTAGCTCAGGTAATGGCAAACAAGGCAGAACCGACTGTAAAGGGGGATTTACTTTCATCATAATTCTGAACCTACAGTCACTTCCCCTTCCCCCAGATATAATATCAATTCTCAATGATCATAATGGCACACAATCCTCTAGAGATTAAATTGGGGTGCTTTAATCATTCTTGTGGGAGATACTGCAGATCTCCCTCTGGTTCACACTACTTAGTGCAAAAAAAACATCCTTCGCAACAAAACACAGCCTACACGTCCAGCGCGTTTGAAAGTCAACTTAACTTTCATTATTTGTGTTGGAACAAAGTACATATTTGCACTTTATTCAAGACCAATGAGCCACTCTTTGATGGTCTGCATATCAACTATGATGGCAATCCAGCCAGGCAAGAGCTTTGCCTCACTGTGCTGCCATCTTCCAAGCAGAACTTGTTTATGTGATTATATAACTGCTTTCACTCGCCTTAAACAAGAAGTTTCCTGAAGTTCTTTATGTACTTATCTGACCATGGAGAGAGGAAAGGAAGCTATAAATCAAGTTTATGTTCAAGTAAGTCCTATCACAAGACAGTATACCTTTGCATCTGGCCTTATTCTCTAAAATCAGACTGAAGGAAAACAAAGTATTTAGAGGAAATTAGAACAGCTGCAGCACCTTGGATTTCTTAATAAGCACCAAAGGTACTAATCATAAAAGGAAAAAAATTGATACACTGGACTAAATTAATTCAAGAACTTCTATGATTAAAAGAAATGAATAGGAGCAAAAGGGCAATCCACAGAAAGGGAGACCACATCTGCCCTCCACACGGCCTGACAGAGACATCAACAAGCCAGAAAACACTGCAACAGACAGTTGCAAGTGGCCAGTCATGTGCGGACTGGTGCATAGCTTCGTTGCTGTCAGGAAAATGCAAACTGAAACCACAATGAGACACTACTGTACAGCTACCAGAATGGCTAAGAAGAAAAAGGCAAGGAAAAAAAAAAAGTTCTGGTGAGGTCGCAGGGCAATCAGAACCCTAATATGAGAGTGTGAGGTTGCTACAACCACTGTGAAAACCTGAGAAGTCCCAATCCCTAGGTATTATCCAACATGCATTCAGCAAAAATCAAGTCCTGAAAGTTAACAGAAGCACTCTTTACAACGGTTTCAAACTGGAAACTATCAAATGTTCAACAACAGATGAACAGACTGCAGTGTACTCACTCAAGGGAAAACCTATACAAGAATGAAAACAAACACTGCACCACTAAAGCAGGTCTATGAATGACGCTCATGAACATGACGCTGAGTCAAAGAAGTCGGACACAAAGGAACTTTGTATGAAGTTCAGAAACAACTGGAAGGCTCTGTGCTGCCCGAGTCCAGGTCGTGGTTGCTGTGGTACGGAGCAGAGATGGGAAGCAGCCAGAGGCTCCAGCAATAATCTGGTCTGGGACTGCGTGCTAGTTGCAGGGTGTGTTCAGTGCATGAAAATGGAGAAAGCTGTACATGTATGGCATTTGCATTTTCTGCATGAATAGTATGCCTTAATTACAAAAAAAAAAAAAAAGACCAAAGATATTTTGAGACTCTGGCATAGCCTGTGAAGTTAGGAAGCAAATGAACAGGAAGCTCTTAGAATGATGATGGTGTAACCCAAAATAAACTTTTTCCTCTCAAACCGAAACTTTTCAGTTGCTTACCTGTAAAAACTTATTTAACTGCTTCTTTGACTTTTCCATAAACTTCTGATCTACAGATTTGAAAGGCAGCTTGCTAAGAGAAGGCAACTGGACTTTTTTTAAAGAAGGGAAACACTGTGGAGGGGAAGAATTAAGTGTTAGTGTCTTGCGATTACATTTTAAGCTTAAAAAAAGATTCAGAATTATAACAAAGCAAGTCTCTTTCTTTACACATTCCCTCTGAGATTTAAACCTTGAAAACCTACCTTTTAGTATTTTTTAAATAAAATTTTTAAATAGAAATTCCACTGATTTACATCGCTGTTAGTACTGGAAGGCTAGTGGCTCCCCCTTTTGGCGCAGCCCTGCAGCACACCACCCCCAAACACCCCTGGTCCTCCTCTGTGGTCCCTGAGCTCACCCAGTCCTGTTCTCCTCCCTGTTCTCCTCCCTCTTCCCTTCTCTCCTCCTCCTGCTCTGGATGCCTCCGTTCTCAGGTCAGCTTTCAAGGGTAGGTTTTAAATGTCTTGTCTGACCGTTTGTATGGATTCTCTATATTCCACCTATTAGAGGCACCACCTGGTTTATCTTTCTCCTGGCTTGCTTTCACTTAGTATAATTCCTTTTCAGTTCCATCCATGTTGCCACAAATGTCAGGAGTTGTCTTTTCTGACCTCTGAGTAGTATTCCATTATGTATATTACCACTTCTTGTTCCGCACATCTGTATTTGGGTACTTCGGTTGTATCCATAGCTTGGCTATTGTCAATAGGGCTGCAATAAATATAGGAGTGTAGCTTCCCTTCAGATTAGTGGAAAATCTACCTTTTCTAGTCAGGTTGAAGGAGTCTACAGGAATGGGACATTTGATAGAAAAAGCTAACTTATCCCTAGGTCCATGAATGCCTAGAGGCTTGGAAATCCTGAGGCCGGGCTGATGACATGGATTTGCATGATACACACAGCACAGTATGCTGGGTGCAGACACTTTCTCCTAAGAAAAGGGTTTTCTCAACATCTCCCTAAAAGGTTATCAAAGTTGACAAGACGACCAACCTATAACCAACAAGGTTGTAGCTCAGGCTCTCAATGGCAAACTTAATGATATAAATATATTAATACACTAATAGGTAATAATGACCAATTGACCCCTATGGGGTAAGCCCAGCATTCCTCCAGACACTGCACTAGAAGCGCAGCATGCATGAAGCTCTATGTGATGGGAATTATTAACCGTCCAGATTTTACATATGAGTCAACTGAGGATCAGGGTTAAAACCCAGCTCAGTCTGACTATAAAGTCCATGTTTTTATCATGCCAGTGCCCACAGGACTCTGTCAGCTGTCCCCCCAGACAATAAGAGGGCAGTGGATTCCAGATGCCCCAGACTCTGCCCCATTTCCAAACACTGGCCTTCATTAGGGCACTGAGGCCATTTGAATCTGCTTAGTGACATCAACTGGGACAAACGAGCAAGGGCGCACAGAGCTTGCCTGCTAGCGTTTCATCCCCTCTGTACCACTAGAACACACAAGAGTCACAGCAGCCAAGAGATTTCAGTGAAGTGCTTCAGGTGGTAGGAGAGGAAAACCTACACAGCCTCCTAAGGCACCACAAGAGAAACAGCATTTATCCAGGAGGATATACAAATCAGGCCTCAAATTCAAGGTAAAATTTTAGAGAAATGAAACAAACAGAGAGAGAAGAAAAGAAAGATTAAAATCCCCAGGGACCAGGGACCTGAAAAGGTGTTTCCTGTCACAGCTGTCCACAGGAAGTGTTCTTTCAAAAAAAATGAAAACTCACAGAATAAGAAATACACAGTGCGAGAGGAGAACCCAGTAATGTGGCCACAAGATGAGGGAAGGAAGACAACACTGATGACAGACACACAATTTCGTAAGATTTGTTTCCCTCTGATGCTTCAGGGTCATTGCTTTTGGTTTTCAAGTGTATTTTATTCGCCACATACATTTTTCCTTTCTTCTGCTTTGGTTTCTCAATGACCCTTTTCTGTAGTGTCAACTTTACTCAACAACTTTTGAAAAACTATATTCTTGTATTAAGATAACTGGTTTGCTTTCCACACTGCAAGGGTGACCACAGCTCATCTGAGAAACACTGTAGTGTAATAACTGGCTTTGACCACTATCCTTTTAAGAGCAGTTTAACCTATATGAAGTTAGGTATTAAAAGGGTTTTTTAAAGTCACCCTAAGAGAAAATATTAAAGGAAACAGACATATTTCATTGCAAAAGAGGGGTCCAAGAGGTAAACAGGGTTATGTCACCATCAGTTCAGTCTGAGCAAGAAAAAATAAATAAGAGTAGAAGTGACTGGACTTTTTCTGGAACATAGAGCAACTACCTCCAGTAGGAGGAGAGTTAGAGAAAATGCAATTCCTAAGAACAATGGAAGAATAAGGAACTGAAAGTAAGACAAGCTGCATTCTACTCTTGGCTTGGCCACTATGTTTACATCCTCTGACAATCCAACTAAACTCTCTGGGATCAGTTCCTCTCATGTATCAAGTGAAAGAATCGATCTATATTAGTGGCTTTTAAACATTTTAAATTAAAACCTATAGTAGTAGGAAATATATGCTACACTGCAATTCATAATACACACACTTACCACATGTATACTATATACACACAGTAAAACTGAAAAGAAAGCTCTATGGAACAATGCTCATTAATACTGTTAATAATAATAATAGTACAATGTTTACTATGTGAACACTGATTCCCGTATTTCTCACAACAACTTCATGAGGCAGATGAGGTAGGTGCTGCCAGTATTTGTATTTCAGTGATGAAGAAGAGGCACAGAGACTGATGACAACTCCCAGCTCGCATGGCGAGGAGGGAGAAAAGCCAGGACCCAAACATGAGCAGGCTGGCTCAGGGCCTATGCTTTCAACTGGAACATTTACTAACTCCCTTACTTTAAATGGGGAAACCCATTATAGCCTATTCTCTTCCTATTGCTGCAACTCATAACTGATATCATTAATTATTTCCACTAATGGGTCACAACTGGCAGCTTAAAAACTACTGGACCCAGCTGACCCCTTGGTCTCTTCCAGTTCCAGGGCTCTACAGCAATTCACTATTTAGTAATAGAGATCAGACAGCTATCTGCCTTGAAGGATCTAGATAAAGCTAGCCAGCTGGAACTATATGTAAATTTCCAAATGTCAGGCTGAAAATGCCACTTTGCCCATTTCAAGAGAAGTATCAATTTTATGTATAAAAATAGGAATGAACTCGTAAATCTCTTTTTGATCAGTAATTCCAAACCTTTGTGTTCACAAGTATTCATACCTCACTAAGTTTCCGGTGCAAATTCTGAAACTCACTGAGCCTTCTGGGGACTGTCCAGTTCTTAGTTTCAACTCCTCCAACTTCTTGCAGGCTTACCAAGACAAAGTAACAGGGCATTTGCTCACCATTCTCTTCCGTAACCTTGGGGGTAAAAAAACAACACAACAAAAAACACAGTGAGTAAAAAAAAAAAAAAAACAAACCACAGTGAGTGGATATGGAGGGCACGATTTCTCTCCACCCGTGTGTAGGCCCTGCATGACTCCTGGGACCGTGACTGGGGTAGATTCTGCTCAGGTGACAAGGCCAGGTTGTATGGCCTGAAAACAGGGAGACCATGTGGGTGGGCTCAACCTAATCATATGAGCCCTTTGCAAGCTGAGAGAGTTCTCTGGCTAGTAGTGGAAGAGGAGTCAGAAAGACTGGAAGGACACTAAGGACCTGCCATGCTACTGGTCGCCTGAAGATGGAGGGGCCACAGGTAAGGGTCTGCAAGAACATCTACTGCAGTGAGAGAGCAGAGGCCTCAATGCTATCACCACTAGAATCCAATTTCGCCAGTGACTGAAATGAGCTTGGAAGTGGGTTTTTCCCCAGTCTCCAGACAAGAGCTCAGTCTGGTCAACATCTTGATTTCACCTTGTGATACAATGAGCAGAGGACCTGGTCATGTAGTGCTGGACTTCTCACCTACCTGTGAGCTAACCAGTGGGTATGCTTTAAGTCATGAAATTTGTTCCCATTTGTTATATAGCAAAAGAAAACTATTGCTGCAAACTTTACATGCTGACTGTCACTGAAAAACACATTAAAAGCAAGAAACAGGTGTGAGGTATACCGAAACCTCTCTAAGGACGAGGGGTTCCCAAGTTTAACTTTAGGATTCAACAAACCATGACTCTATTTTCATGAAATTTACATTGGAAGACATAATTCAGAACAGGCCATTATTATTATTAACACAAATAGTTGAAGGAGATAGACTGAATTTAAGCATGAATTAGAATCACAAATTGACAGTCAGCAAGAAAGGCAAAGGAAAGAAATGCAAGATTTGCTGAGCTCTGCTGACCCTATGATCTCACTGGAGGATGGAGAAGTGGAGGCACGATGGGGTCATTGACTGTCCTAGGGACAACACAGTAGTAAGTGGCCAGGCAGAATGAAAACTCAGGAGAGCCTGGCACAATGCACACCTTCCCTAGGGGGACTGCTTGTCAACTCTGGCAGTCAGGTGACCCCTCTGTTAATCTTTTTGGTAATTAAGGTGCCACAGCAAGCTTCTGAGTCACAACTAATTATCAAGGCAAATGCCTCCTTTCCTTCTTCCCTTAATTTGCTTTTGGAAGATGAATTTAATATTATAGGCAAAACAAAGAAGGTGATGGATGCTGTATTCCTTCCCTCCCACAGGCTTTCACTACTACCCTTTTGACATTATAAACCCCTGAACCTACTCCCTCCCCTTCCTAGACTCCCACTCTAAGATAATTCCATTTACAATTAAGCAGGGTTTCTACATGGTATTCCAAGACTGAGCACAACCTTCCCTGATCCACTTCCTTCTACCTGCTCTCAAACTAAATGTATTGCCCTGCAATTCACCTTGATGGGGACTCTAACAAGTGCCAAAGATGTGCTAAGGGTACCCGGTGACGCTTTCACAAAATGTGCTTTCAGATCGACTCTTGGAGAACAAACTTTGTTTTGCTACATAATCCAGAGGTGGATTTAAGATTGTGAGTTTTAAGTCCTTCCCCAGGAAGAGTGCCCCTATGCTCAGTTCACAGGAAAGGTAGAGATGAGCAAGGATAAGTTGGCAGGAAGGCCTATGCAAATCCAAGGAGCTGAGTACTTGACAAGCCATTTGAAACAATAATGAGGCAAAAGTTAGCATTATCTGACTCAGGATCTTGTTATTTGTGCATTACAATAGTGGGCATGACAGATAACAGGGTAGGTGGGAAGGTAGGAGTTGTCAACACTAACACTGAAAATGCCTATGGGTATTTTTCCCTTAAATGCAATTAGCTTATAGACAAAAGAAAAGGGGTACAATATATTCTGAAAACTATTATTCCATATCCCTCAGAGAATAGCAAGATATTTTCTAATTCAAAGGAAAATACATTCATTATTAAAGATCTTAGAGCTACTGAGATTTGAGCAATTGAAATCAGCAAAATGGAACAATTAGAAGCCAGACAGTGCGTTCCATCATTTTCAACCCTCAATGGAAAAATAAATTGGTAATTCAAGGACATTAATTATTCCTATCCAAAGTTGCTTTCAATTCCAGTGAAAAAGGACAACTTGCTCTCTGAAGTCGGGTGAAAGCGTATCTACACTGATCAGCATAGCGCAGCTTCCAGTCATGGATGAACCACAGTGAAGGGGAAGGAAAGTAGGACAGACACAGTCTAAAGAATAAATGCAGGTTTTCTATTCTGCACTTTAAAGCTCAGGACAAAATCTTATCTGACAAAGTAAAGTCAATTGAGAGGAAAAGCAGTCAAACCTACCTCACCACTGGTGATGGAGGCTTTCCACATGCCAAGGTTGTCACACCACCAATCTGTTCTTGCCATGTGCAACTGAAGGTCCGTCCGTTCTTTCTCAATGAGAATTATTTCATCTTTCAGCTTGGAAACAATCTGCCATAGGGAAAACAAGCTGGGTTTATGTAACCATTTAAAACTCCATGCAGTTCAGAAAAATAGCAGGATACACAATCAATACACTAAATTCTACTGAACCTATACGCTAACAATGGACAATCCAAAAATAAAGAAAACAATTTCATTTACAAAAGCATAAACAGTAATAAAATACTTATTGATTAATATAAGGAAAGAAGTGAAAGATTCCCAAATGAAAAACTATCAACACTGATGAAAGAAATTAAAGAAGAAAGAAACAAGTGGAGAGACATCCCATGTTCATTGATTGGAAGACTAAATATTGCTAAGATAATTAGTGCTACATAAAGCAATCTACAGGTTCAGTGCAATCCCTATCAATATCCCAATGATTTTTTGTATTAAAAAAGTCATCATAAAATTTATATGGAATCTCAAGTTAGACTGGATAACTAAGTCATTATGAAAAGAGAACAATGCTAAAGGACTCACACTTCATGATTTCAAACTTACTGCAAAAGCATATAAACCAAAACAGTATGGTACTGGCATGAAGACACACAGACCAATGTAGTAAAACACAGAACCAAGAAATAAACCCGTGCAAATATGGTCAAAAGATTTACAAAAGTGGTGTCAACACCATCAGTGGGTAAAGGACAGACTTTTCAACAAACAATGCTGAGAAAACTGGATTTTTCATATAAAAAACAATGGAGATGAACCCTTACCTAACACTATAAATACAAAACTCAAAATGGATGAAAAACCAACAGAAACTAAGAAAATAAAATTCTTAAAAGGAAGCCTGGTGGGAGCTCCATGACCTGGAACTGGTCAAGAGCTTAGCTATGACACCAAAGACATAGGCAATAAAAGAAAATAAAGACAAATCACACTTCAAGTAAGTCAAAATTATATATAAAGAATACAGTCAATGTAACAAAAAGGCAACTCACAGAATGGGAAGCAACATTAGCAAAGCACATGTTTGATAGGAAATACACAGAGAACTCTTAAAACTCACCAACAAAAACAAGCAAGCAATCTGATTCAAAAGTAGGCAAAGGACCTGAACATACATTTCTCCAAAGCTATGTATATAAATATTCAAAAAGTTCATGAAAAGATGCTCAACACCAGCCTGAGGCTACGGACCTGCCACACGCTGCATGGGAACCGGTATACCTCCGACCAGGATGAGTGTATGGAGAGCAGGTTAGTCGGATGCTTGAAAAGATGGTTGTTTGGGACATTTAAGTTCGAGTGGCAGGACCGTGACCTCCGGTAACAAAATCACCACTCATAAGGAAAACGCAAGTTAAAACCACAATGAGATACCATTTTATACTACTAAGATAATTACCAAAATCAAAAACAAACAGAAAAATAACAAGTGTTGGTGAGGATGTGGAGAAACTGAAGCCCTTATGCACTGCAGTTGAGAAGGTAAAGTGGTGCCACCAATGTGGACAAATAGTATGAAGATGCCTCAAAAAAGCTGAAAACAATTACTACTTGATGCAGCAATTACACTTCTGAGCATATACCCAAAAGAAGTGAAAGCAGGATCTTGAAGATATTTGTACAACCATGTTCATGGAAAAGCATTATTCACAGTAGCCCAAATGAAGAAACAAACCAAGTCTCCACGGAGGGATGGAGGGATGGAATGGATGGAATGGATGGATGGATGGATGGATGGATGGATGGATGGATGGATGGATGGATGGATGGACAAATGTACATACATGCAACCGAGTATTATTCAGCTATAAAAAAATGAAATTGTGACACATACTACCATTTGGATGAACCCTGAACACATTATGCTAAGTGAAACAATGGATAGTGCACGATTCCACTCAAGAGGTATTCAGAGCAGATAAACTGGTAAGAGACAAAGCAGAAAAGTGGCTGCCAGGGGGCAGAGAGTAGGGTAGGGAATTGTTTAATGGGTACAGAGCTTTCAGTTTTGCAAGATGAACTGAATTCTGGGAACAGAATGATGGTTAACAATATGAATGTACATAATGATACCGAACTGTGCAACTTCAAGTGATAAATTTAATGTGATGTATATTTTGCCACAATTAAAAAAAAGAATATTTTTATATGCCATACTCACCATCTCCTCCTTCTATGACAAAACCTACAGCATGATGTAATTCTGTAATTTGAGGTCAGTAGCTCTGCACCCAACCTCACCTGAGCACAAAGTCTACAAGGACTCCTTCACCCTCAGCCTGCAGGGAGCACTCCCAGCCTCTGCTGCTGTCCTGCCTTTCATCATCAGTGAGGGCTGTGACTACCTGTTCCATGTTCCTGTGAGTATGTTTTGGTGTCACAGTCAGAACGCTTGCTCCTTAAGGGTAAGAGTTAGGCTATTTCTTCGATTCTTCACAGTGACCAGAACTGCATCATGTATTTATTCATCGCTTATGTTTCTGAACACACATTCAGAAAACATGAAAGGAGATGAATCTGGCAGACCAACGAGCCTCAGCCCTACCTGTCTGAGAAAGTCTCCTTGTTGGATTCCAAAGGAGGCACAAATACAAAGCAGAAAATCACACGAGTACTTGGGGTTGAGAAATGTTAGTTAGTGAGATGCTTGTTTACACTTCCAAACTTTCAAATTCTACTGGTTTTTCACAAAACTATTTTTTTTACAAGTCAGTGAGATTCTCTAAATTGCACTTGTACTATTGGGGGAAAAAAAAAAGACTGTCCTTGAGTAGTCAACACATGTCCAGAAATGACTCTGGGACAAGAGAAAGCTTTGCCCTTACCCCCAAAGGAAGTGTAGGCAAGCCAGATAAGGAAGAGTTACTGGGAAGGAACCCCCCATCACAAAAGATTAAAAACAAAGGCTTTTCTAATTCTACATTAGAAGCAAAGAAATAACAAAGGAACTCACAGTTAAAATTTTCAAGTGTGCACTTCAACATAAACAGAAACTATATGATACCAAATTAGAAAAATGGAAACTTTCAAAGACAACCTTGAAATTAAAAGAGTTACCTTCTTGTCAGGTTTTGGTGCATTTTGAATAGAATTTAGAGCTTGCCTTTTATATTCAAGTTTCTCATTTAGCTCCCGTAGCTTGTTTACAGCAAAACTGGCTTGTTGACTGGTGCCTTCATCTACAGCTTCCTCACCAGCCTCACCTCCTGGACCCTGGGGGAGAAGTCACAGGAATCGCTAGTTCTTACAGCAATACACAATTCAGTAAGTATTATCTACCATACAGTTCCATTCCATTATAATACATTGAATAGTCAACACATGTCCTTGTACTTTGGACAAAGTACTAGGTTCCACTAAGAAAACAATGTATAGTAGAAAGTCCAGAAGCAAAAGGATTTTCCTCACTAATGTGAAAAATTAAAGTATTCAAATATTTGGAAATTGCAGTGAAAAAATAAATACTGAATAGCCTAAACAGAGGGGGTGGTGGTAGAATTCTATACCATTACTTCCCAAATGCATGTATATCCAAAGGAAAGCAGTTATCTTCCCAAAAGAATCCAAATGTTCTGTGCCTAATCTTTGACAGAAGCATTGAGATTTGGCTTCTAGTTAGTCTCCTAAGGATATAATAAAAAAGCTCATGCAAATTTTAAAACAAAATTTCCAAATTCCCACTAGTGAAAATATTTTTAGTATATACTTTGTTCATTCCTTTTTTAGCACTTGCAAGTGACTTAAGAGTCATAAAGAACTAAAAAAACTTGAGAAAATGTGGATAGAGGAACAAACAGCATATTAATTGGGCTCAGGGCAGTACCAGCAGACAGGGCACTGAAAAGAACTGCTAAGAACAATCTTCTCTTGTTTACTTTTAACTTTCTTCCAGATACTTTTTTCTTCTCACTTTTATTGATTATAACAAACAGCAGACTAATGTTGTTTCTCCCAAGAAAAATAAACTATCATAGGAAAACAAGATGTCTTTAGTTGTGCCTATCCTTTCTAATCCCTACCCATAAAACATAATTCTTTAATATGTCCAGGTGGGTATTGTGCCTTTTTTTTTTTTAAAGATTTATTTATTTATTTATACAAGAACCGGGATACAGTACGGATGTGCGTGAGGGTGAGAGAATTCACCGGAGACAGAGTGGGGAACAGAACAGGCAAACTGGCAAAATACACTGCTGAGGAGAGCAGCGGGTATGGCAGGAGAGGTCTGCGCACCATGTGGGACCCTTGCTGGTGGCTGGGGATTGAACCAGTGCTGCAGAGGCTGCGGGCAGCTTTGCAGCCCAGCACTCAACTGCCTGCGCCAGCAGGGGAGGCCCTATTTTGTCTTTTTGAGATCATATACAATATTGTGTATTTTGAGGGTATTCTAGCCTTCAATATTGTGATTTTTATCACATACTACATACAGTATTCTAGGAATTGACCGCTTGTTTGGGCTTACTGCAGATGGCTCTGTTTTTTTGCTATCCCAGACATACTAACATGAACTCCGTTATCCATAACTTTTTGTTCTACCTTTTAGTTACTTTTTATAGGATGCATTTCTAGAAGTGAGATTGTTGGAACAAAAAGAAAAGAGCTTTCAAAAAGTCAGTTAATACACAACAATCTTTTCTGAATCCTCATACCTTTCATATCAATTGTCAGTCCAGGTACTTATCCAATTTATCTGTTGGGTATTGATGTTTTTATAACTTGAAGTAACCCCTTTTACAAAATTCATATAATAACCATTTCAGTTTTTTGAAGCAGAGAAACAACACAGAACAAACTGTGACTCACCTCAAAAATAAAATGCAATGATAATAAAGCTGTGGGTCAATGAATTCAGTGATTTTATACACTGAAAACAAAGTATTAAGTGACAAAACTTAAAAAAACAAGTCTGAATGACGATCATACGATTTAACAACAGTCCTGAGACAAACAGCTAATGCCACCACGAGCTAGCACTTTATTCCTCAGGGCCTGAGATACAGTGAAATGGGCAGCAAGAAAGAATCCAAGATAAATTATGATCTTTTTATGTAAGATTACGATAAACCAGATTTTGCTGGCCCTCCCTGGTGGCGCAGCGGTCACCAGGCAAGGGTCCCACATGGTGTCCAGACCTCTCCTCCGCGCCCCCTGCTCCCCTCAGCAGTGTACTTCGGTCCTTCTGCCTGTTCTGCTCCCCGCTCTGACTCTGGTGAATTCTCTCACCCTCCTGTGCTTCTGACTGTACCCAGTGCTTGTATAAATAAATAAATAAATCTTTTTTAAAAAATAAATAAATAAAAAATAAACCAGATGTTGCTATTCTGTGTATCCTCAAAAACCATAAAACTCACTTCAATCATTAACAGTAAATGAGAAATGGCAGCTGAGGCAACCCAAATTGATCTCTAAGAAAACCAGACTCAAGGAATGGCAAAGACAGGCTTCTTTAGGACCTCCTCATTTCATCTGGTTCTTTTAGACTCCAAAATATTTTCTGTAGTTCTTTATACATTCTCTTCCTTTCCTCACCCTTTCCCATCCTATGTCTTCTCTCTAGGTGGATGACAGTCCAGATTCTCTTACCAAGCCTGAGGCCTGAATGTCCCACCCCACAGATTTTCTGCCCTCACTTTTTAGGAGTTGAACTTATGGCATTTCAGGCAGGCAGAGAACAGGGAGGTCTCTAGCTCAACACTGGGAAGTAGCTAGTTGGTCAGAAGGTCAAAGAAGGGAAGAAAAAAATCCGTAAGACCAGAGCAAAAACGATAATTAAGTTCTGCTCAAATACGGTATATTAAGAGATGAGGCACACACCCTTTCCCTGGGCCTCTGCACTGTGCACCCACCAAACCATACTCAAAGTTCATCTACTGAAAAGAGAGCAGAAAGTTAAATGCAACTCACCATTTCATCCTTGTTAGACATCAACTGCGAGGAGTGTTTTTCTTCTTCTTTTATCATCAATTTCTCATACAGGTCACTGACAATAAATGAGGGGTAATACCTATCCTTTAGGGTCTCATAAACATCTCCTTGGATTTTGCAGAATACCTCAATGCCTTTATTTCCTACAAGACATTGCTGGATTTCTTTGTAAAGTGATTTTTCCACTGATATTTCTTTGCTCTCCACAAAGAAATTCTGATAAATTTCACCAACTAATTGTGGGATTTCATTCTGAAAAAGACAAGAAGATGAAGAAAATGTAAGAGATATCACCCCTGAGAAACATTATTTTCTTCTGAATCCTTTGCATTTTAGCTGGAAGGAAGATGACAGAATGTCCACTGGTACTGGCGTCTTTGGCTTTTATGTGCACATTCAGTTCTAGGTAAGGAATGTCAAACCCCGGAAAAATTAGTTCTTTAAAATGAGCAACTTCATGTTGAAGAATTAACAAATATAATTTCTTTAAGATGCCAAAAAGAATGACAACAATTCTCTTTTTTCAGTGGATTTCCTTTCATAAATCTCAAAACCATAGGAGCACAATTTATTAACTACATTCAATTTGACTTTTTATCCAATATAATTGGAAATGCCATTTCTCACTCCAGCAAGAAGCCAATATAATAAGTGTGTAATTTAAGAAGATATACAGTCTTCAGAACAGTGACTGTATTACTTGTAATCAAGCTTATGTGTATATGGGACAGCTTAGTCTCAAACAGTACACTAAGGTCACGCCAGCCTACTTGAGAAATGCAAACATCTCTTCTGATTATATAATCTTTACATTTCCTCTAGAGACATCTCATTAATGCTAGGAATGTCATGAAAGTCTTCAAGAGTAGTTAAAAACAAAACAAAACAAAACAAACAACTAAATGAACATTAGGAATTTAACAAACATGCCCAAACTTTTTACATTCAAGTCAGTGTTGCCAGGCCAAAAGACAGGTAGCTGTTTGAAGCAGCAAAACACTCTTACTCCACTGAAATTTTTTGAAATGTTTTCAGAGTAGTTTAGGAAAAGTCTTTATAATGTTTTTTTTACAACATTCTAGAGCAGCAAAAGGACATGTGGAGTCAATGAAGAAAATAAAATGTGTAATAAAGTTGGCAAATATAAAATCAAGTAAAGTGCGGTTATTTGTGGCTTATAAATTAAAAATGAAAAGTGTTCCTGTTAAGATTTAAAAATACTATGAGATTGTATTAATTCCTTAACCAGCCTACTTTATGATTTATGACATATTGTTAAACTGGTATTTAGTACTAGCAACACTCATATGAAGTACAAGTGAGTAATTCAATGTACACAATGCACATTGTGCTTACTTTAATAAGACTCTCAAAATATTATACAGGGCCTCCCTGGTGGCACAGGGGGTTAAGCACAGCACTGTGAAGCTATTCCACAGCCTCTGTAGCACGAATTCAATCCCTGGCCAGGGAGGTGACCCACATGGTGCAGCAGACCTCTCCTGTCTCACCCGCCGCTCCCATCAGCAGTGTATTTCAGTAGATCTATCTGTTCTGTTCCCGACACTGTCTCTGGTGAATCATCTCACCCCCCTTACCTCTGGCCTGTAACCCAGTTCTTGTATGCATAAATAAATAATTTTTTTAAATGTTATACATGTTGTAGCTGTTTCTAGATATATACATACATTTCTCATTCCTTAATTTAATTCTTAAATATATATTCAGATCTGGCCAAGTGTAAAGTATAGTACTGATTGTTGGGCTCTTTATGGTAAGATGCATCTATAATCAGAATTGTTTCTTGTGTTCCTAAATTATATTTTAAGTGAAATAAAAGAACAGTACTTCAAAAAATGTATGACGTTAAAAATGGCAAGATTATGAGACTGAGGTGTAGGTGACAAGACCAATTTATTATAATAGCAACTTGGGTAAGTATATGCATTTTTAAAAAGCATTAAAAAATAACTACCTGAAACTAAATTCAATCTGTTGGTATATTTATAAATCTTTTCTCCCCCATGAATACATATTCAAAAGCATCTTTTATAAAAATAAAACCTAATTTTTTTACCATTATGAACTAGAACATAATGCCAGTAATATACTTGATTCTTTTAATGTATACATATATTATAGCTTCATTGCTTAACAAGAAAGTTTTCCTTAGTCAGTGATGAACATTCCTTTGAACCTACATCCTACCTTGTTACCACTCTTTAAATGTTCCACAGACTCCCAAAAACTAATCAGAGTTCTCTTGTCAATCCTTTCCATGTACATTCGGAAGTGCTCTCGGTAGGAAGTATTGGTCAAGATGTCTTCAAACTGAAGAATCTATTAAGGGGATTAAAGAAAAGGTTTTTAAAACAACAAAGTTTAAATATCAGTTTCTTTAACTTCCAAGGTTTAATTTCTAAATTTAGGGAAAAAATGTCTCACATTTTAGGATCATAACCAATATAGTGTTTCTCTCACTTTCTTAAATTTAAAATGGAATAAAGTTTACTGAATATTCAAAATGCACATATTCAGTAAGTACTAACTTTTTATTAATCATTCAGCAAGATTTGGCATTTTTGTTTTCTGTCCTATTTTTTATATAGTTGAAGAAATCTACAAATAATTTTACATCTGGTCCTTTTGTTTTTAATATCACATTCCTTAAAAAATATCTTTTGTGAGCATTATTTCAATTGGCCCATAGTATTCCATTGTATGAATGTAACAGTATCAACTACTCCTTTGTTTACATTTTGCATGTTTACAGAAAAAGAAACACTTGTATCTGAAAATAAAACAGAAATCATTTTGAGCACAGCCAGCTATAACATGAGAAAGCAGATGATCTTCAAAATAATTAAAAATAATTCAATTAAGAAAAATACCTCAAATTAATTTAGAAGGAATTAAAAGCCCTATATTCTTACTTCTTAATGAGAAATTAAATGGCATCAAAATAAAACTCAAACGCAGTTGAAAGAAAACTTAGATTTTTTAAGATTCTTACAATATTTGAAAACTGAAAAATATTCAGAAATGTTAACGATAGGATTTTTCTAAAATCAAATACATATCAAAGCACATTCAACACTTCTGCCACTTAATCTGTTTTGTGGGCCAAAAAAGGTCAGGCATTTTTCTAACAACTTCTGTAACTCATTAAAAGAGATGACCACCCTGATGCAGGCCATTTATCAGCTTCCATAAAATTTCATACCATTAGTATTTAGTTTACTAACTGATAGCATACATCTTCACTTTATGTAAACCCTACCATTTTGAAATACAAATTGTAAATGTGCATATTCCAAAGAGGCTTGAAGAAACCCATATCAACTTTGGCTAGGGATGACATCACTCAAAGAGTGACTGATTTTTAACATGAGGTAAACAAAGGATACTCAACAAATTCTAAAGAAATCTTTCCAGGGTAAATTCACTTGCATTGAAATGAATTCCAAGTTAGATACAAATTTAAATTCCCATATGTGCAAAATCAAGCCCAAAATATCTAAACTATTATTTTTTATTCTTAATTTATTATGTTTTATAAACACCCTATATGTTTAGTTCCAAAGGTGCAACACAATACTGCTAAGATAAATGACAGAAAATATATCAAGTATAACTAAACAGAAAATTTATCAAGTATACACTGCATCTTGACAGGTAAATTAACCAGTTCCCTACTCCATTTGTTTTTGCTTTGTTTTCTTCTAGAAGCCCACACAAGCATTTTACTGTGTATACTGTCACTAATATTTCAGATGTAATGTGAACAGGACTTCTGAGTCAAATACGGTAATTCGAGATGAACTCAATCTCAACTGGCTAATTTGAGATTAATTTTAGCAATTCTGAGATTGTTGTGTGGAAGTATGAAGAGAAGGCTGGGAATGTAAAAGTAAATTTTTTCTTCCATCTTTTCATTTTGGGGCATTTGGGGGAAGGGTCGCTTTTTATTTTATAAATGAGATATATTTTTATTATATAAAATTATATAATTTAATTATATTTTATTATATAATTATCTATCTTATAGATTATCTATATCTATCTTATAGATAATTATATATTTTATAAATGAGACTTAAGAGCGGGGATTCTATCTTATTAATTTTGTATCCAGGTACTGAGCACTGTAACTAAAACTATAGAATCTCAATAATGTCTTTTGAACAAATAAATGAACTGGACCTTGTCTATGATAAATGTGGCTAGAAATATATTTAGGAAGCCAGAGCTGAGGAGGAAGATGAAAACGAGCAATGTTGAACTTGTCAAATCCACTCTCTCGCCAATATTCTCCAAAAGGTAGTTTTCACTTTGGACTACAAAGCCAAAAATCTCAGGAAGGCATACACTGCAAACAGCAACATAAAACAGATTTCCAGGGGCTAGGGGAACCCTTTATAAAACAACAGCTACTCAGGGCTACATTTATCCTACTCGTGCCAGATGCTACAAGACTTTGGCTTGTCCTGGAGTTGGTCCCAGGTGGAGACTACACTTTCCTAAAGAGGCTCTAGTGGAAAGTGAGCCAGGAACAAGTGAAAAGGAAAAAAGTTCTTTATTGGAACAGGGAAGAAGGGGAAAGTCAGAGGCAGGCATCTAACTAAAACAGGAAAAGGTCAAGAAATGAGAAATGAGAACAGGCGAGGTTAAAGGATGTAACCAGTTTAGGTTTTACTGACGCTGGCTTCTTTTGTGGCTAAGTGCCAACTTATAAAGCAGGAGTTTGGAGTTGGCCTTGAAGTCCTGTTCCCTGGAGGCGCAGCCAACTCCCCATGGGGGTCTATGGCTGTTCCCTCAACCCTGGCATGCTTCAAGTTCTGGAAGACAACAGTGGTCTTTGTGAATCTGGAAAGGTGCTGAGGTAGAGCTAGATTTTCCTACGCTCTGTGATTTAAGAACTCAGTATGAACAGACAGCCCAAAGATTTTTTTTTGTACAAAAACAGTCACTGACATGTTATGGTTTCAATTAGATCTGGTTTTTATCTAGTTCTGTCTCTTTATATCACTGTAATCTCAGGTAATTTACTTAAAAGCAAGGGGGATAGGGCCTCCCCGGTGGGGTGGCGCAGCGGTTGAGATCTGGGTTGCGAAGCTGCCCGCGGCCTCTGCGGTGCTGGTTCGATCCCAGGATGCTCCCCGGCCACTGGAGGAGGGTCCCACATGGCGAGCAGACCTCTCCTGCCGCCCGCTGCTCCCCTCAGCAGTGTATTTCGGTCCTTCTGCCTGCTCTGCTCCCCACTCTGGCTCTGGTGAATTCTCTCACCCTCCCGGGCTTCTGACTGTACCCAGTGCATGTATAAACAAACAAACAAACAAATAAATGAATAAAATACATGCCTCTTAAAAAAAAAAAAGCAAGGGGGATAGATAACATATTTCACAGAGTACAGATTTCCTAGCACTGTGGTAAAAACTAAATAAAACTTGTAAGATACTTTCTACTTTATAGGTGGCTATTTCCATCCAGTTGGTAATGGCGACTTGATTGGGCCCTTGCAAATATAAATATGCCCCTCTAGGATGGTAAGAGAGCAAAAGAGGGTGGAAAAATACACATATACATGTGCATACACACATATACACACACCCAAGCCTACCCCTCACACTTATTACCATTCACAGAGGTCAAGAACACCAAATATTACAGCTCTGTGATTCACAAAAGCAAATATACGCATCTACAATCTGGAACATATGCCTTAAGTTTAACAGCAAACAGTGAAAGACTGTAGGTCTGATTATATCAGTGCTCATGACAGATGTGCAATGGTCAGACAAGAAATCACAAAGTTCTACCTTCTGGCTTTGAAGCCCTTCCCCTTCGTCCAAGGTCCCATCGTCTTGCTGGTCATAGGCAGGGCCTCCCAGGATTCGGATTCTCTTCTCACACTGCTTCTTTGCTACAGTCAACTGGTTAATGTACCTCTTCATATTTCTGGCCCTCAGGAGATCAGCTTTCATTGCAGCTGTTTCTTTACCTTGAATGAGAGTAATGGACAATACCAGGTCAGAAGACAAGGTACAAAAGAGGGAAGAAGTTAGTGGTACATTTTGAATAACAGATAGTAAACGAATAGAATGGAATGAAATGAGGTTCATGTTAAAGACATATACATACTCTCAAACAGAAATAATGTCAAAAGAATTTCTAAATATATCACTGATAATGTAAAAAAAAACATTAAAAAAAATTTTCTCTCCACAACATAGACCTACCTTGAGGGCAAAATGCCTAGCAAAATAAGTCAGGCAGAGAAAGAGAAATACTGTATGATCTCGCCTAAATGTGGAATCTGAAAAGGCTGAATTCAAGAAGTAGAGAGTAGAAGAGTGGTTCAGGGGCAGAGAAGGAGGTGGTGGTGGGGTCTTGGGGAGATGTAAGTTAACTTCCAACTATAAGCTGAGCAAGCCCGAGGGATCTAGTGTACTGCATGGTGATTATAGTTAACAACACTGTGTTATATACCTGAAAGTTGCTGAGAGTAGATCTTAAATCTCACCCCCACTTACATGCACGTGGTGGTTATGTGACAGGATGGACGTGCTAACTAACCCTAGTATGGTTAACATTCACAATACAGGCATATATCAAATCATCATGATATACAAATGATGGTATATATAAGTTATATCCCCATAAACCCGGGGGGGATTTTTAAACCTCCTCTGCGCACATACACTCACATCAATATGTTTATATTTTTAATATCTTTATATGTACATGAATATATGCATAGTTGTTTAAAGGATGCATGGAGCTCACTATGTGTCAGGCACTTGTCAAGCATTTGGGATTTAAGATGATTTATCTCGTGGAACTTAAAAGCTTAGCAAGGAAGAAATCCAGTTAGTGCGAGCAATTACAATGTGAGATGGGAGATAAAGAAAATGTGCGGGTACCACTGAACTGCTTAATAGGTGATTCTAACCCAGATTTGCCCAAGGAAACCACATTCAAACAAAATGAGTATCAGGTGGAGTGTGGAAGACAGAACAGCAAGTGTGAAAGTAAAAACCCTGAGGCAAGACAGAGAAGAGAACTTGGGAGGAACTGAAAGGCCCATCACCCTGGCCAGAGTCAGCTCTCTCACCTCATCCCCTGTCTCTGCTAGTCACAGAGAGTGATCTCTGCTGATCACCCGAGAGTCTCTTTTCTTTCTGAAGAAGTCTTATTGAGATATAATTCATATGCCACACAATTCACCTACTTACAGTGTACAATTTGACAGCTTTCAGTATATTTAACAAGTTTTGTGACCATCACAATCATTTGTAGAATACTCTCTTTCATGGCCACACAAATCACAGCCCCATTAACAGTCACAATAGCCTCTCTATAGAGTTGCCTATTCTGGAGAGTTCATACAAATGGAACCATACAGCTTCTTGCCTTCAATGTTTCTGGAACACATGGGATAAGCACCCCCTACTCAAGACTTTCATCTTTCTTCTCTGGCCCTTGGCGCCCTATCTATCTGCATGGCTCAGTTCCTCACCTCCTTCAGGGTTTTGGTTCAGATTTCAGGGAAGCCCTTCCTGGCAACCCTATTACTAACTACAGCCCCCACCCTACAATGTTGCTTTTCTCCTGCTCTGCTTTACTTTTTCGACAGCTGTATTACTAACCTGTATATTCAACTGATTTAGTTTTTAAGTATGTCTTCATAAAGGCAGTTAGTTTGTATTTTCACTTTTGCATCTCCAGCACCTACAACAGTGCCTGAAAACACGTTGGGAACTAATTAAATTTGCTGAATGGGTGAATGAACTGTGCAAATGTTAGAGAGGTCAATAACAATATAGCTAATGTTTTGCTGAATGCTTACTATGTCCAATAATTTGCTGTTTCTGGAACTTTGGCTGAGAAGGGGAGAAACAGAGAGAGTTGTCCTCACCTCTATTCTTCAACTCACTTCAATTTGGTTTCTATCCCTCCCCTCCATCAATCTGCTGCTGCAAGACCACTAGTGAGCTCTGCAGTTTGCAGCAGAGTCTGGAATCAAAGTTAGATTAGAATTCTGGCTCTGCTCTTCTAAGCTAGTAGGCATATTTCTAAATTGCATTTTAAAACATTTACAATGATTTATGTCCTTAAGTAACATTACATAATTTAGAGTAAAAGTGAAAAACTCACAAAATTAACTTTTAAAAATGATTAAGCATTGAGCTTTACCATGAGGAAAACAGGTTAGTGTTGTATACACAAGCTGAAGGCAGGGGCTGGGGGAGAAAGAAGGCTTTTTCAAGATGATGAGAGGAGTCAGTGGAGAGAGAGCAGTGACAGATGGGAAATGGAATCCAGAAGACAGGTGAAGGGATTGGTTTTGGAGAGAGGTCGCGTCCTCCACTATAACGACATGGATGGATGTAGAAAGAAGCACATCTGGAGGCTGCTGGCCAGAGCTGGAGCAGTTCCTTCACGTGAATTCTGTAGTAAACCATGTGTTTAAAGTGAGGGAGGTAAAAAGGGTGAATAGTCAGAGGCCTGACCAAAGGTGGGTGGGGGATGTGAAATCCAGTGTGGGAGGCAGAATGGTTAGGAATGTTCACTAGATAAATATTCCTAGGCAGCGCAGATCCTATCTTCTGAGGTCAGTCACAATATGCTTGGTTTAGACTGGAACTAACAGGAGGGTCTGTGCTTTGTTTCTTGGCACCCTCAAATGGAAGTTAAAGTAACATTTTTACACACCCCAGTGGGAGAGCTACCATTCCTTAGATGATCGTTCTCTCTCTCACGTCCCATCTAGTCAATTTGTGCAAATACTTAAAATAGTAACTAGACAGGCTGAGCAGATTAATTTTAAAAACCTTAGACAGTTCACAAAACATTTTCTCTTTCAGATGCAGCTTTTCTGAGTTTATCAGAGAGCGCTGGTCACAGGCTGACTTCAGATCAATAGATGGCCTCTGTGACACCTGTTAATTACAGGGTGTTTTTCCATGTGTGCTGAGGAGATTTTTTTCCCCTAACTTTTTCAAGAAATAATTGACATACATCACTGTATGAGTTTAAGGTGAGGCACTTCTATTTGAATTCAATAATGGTTTCTCAATTTGTCCTCCACTTCCCTGACAGAGAGACACTGACCTCAGCATTCACCTTAAAGAGGAAAAACAGTATATTTATCGGAATCCCTCTTAGTGGGAGGATAAATATAATTTGCCCTCAGGTCAGCCTACTATAAACTAGGATGTTGTGTGTGTGTTTGTGTCTACAGAAACACATGCTTAGAAGAATTTTTTAGAAATTTAAAATGTTTTTAACATTTATCCTTAAGCTCTAAATTTTTTGTCTTAGCATTCAAATTACCCTTTAATTTGGGGACAAAAAGAACACTGCCTATTATGAAATACACCTACAAGTTTGATTTGGGATTAAAGCCGGCTAATCAGAGAGAGACGTGAATAGGAGGAAACTGACACACATTTACCAACAGTCAAATTCTTTCTCTCCTAAGAAAGCTCATAAGTCTTTCTAAAAGGACAAAAACTAGAAGTAATTCCCAAAGAGAAGGGAGAAAGGAAGAAAAAACTTCCCCTAAAGCCCAGCTACAAGGCTGAGTGAACACTCTTTAAGTTCTGCTTGAACGTCACCTGCTCATGTGAACGCATTCTGTTTGTCAAAAGTCCAATACAATGCCATTGTCTGATCACAAAGCTTGTTGCTAACAAATGCAACAGCAGCTTCTTGCGTAGAGGATTCTGTTTATTTTCGCCTCAGAAAACTAACACCACATTCAGGACTAAATGGCTAACAGGCCACTCCTGCAGCCCATGTGTCTGTGGACCGAAACCCCCGGTGAATGTAGTGATGCAGATGAATGCACTTCCTTGTGACCCCAGCACCCATTCACCCAAGAAATATTCACATCAAGAAGAGTCTAGGCAAGTAGATGTCGACAACATGGGGCCCAGCTCTGGCCAGACTCATTAGACGGCTTTTCTACAGAGCCTCAGTGATGCTGCACAGCATAAAACACCAGGTGACTCACACCTTGAATATAGATTTTAAAAGAAGGTTCTGACAATAAACAGTGGCAGGTGAAACACTGTGGCAGTGACTCTTTAAATTTTGCCAAGATGAATACCAAGTAGCAATTAATTACCAATGCTTACTGCTTTTTCCCCTAGGTACTCTAGATACTATTGAGGTCAGAGCAAAAGGTAATGGGTTTATTTGCTGAAAAAGACACTTGGATTAAACCTTAGGAGAACCCTTTTGGCCATAAAGACATTATAGTAGACCTAGGAACATTACAGAACTGCCCTTTGGCTATAAAATCTTCTGTTCATACATGGTATTGTTCTTCCCTAGGTAAGTGAAGTGGAAACATTTTTAGGTTTTTTTTTTTTTTTTTAATAGAGGCATGTTCCATTTATTTATTTGTCTGCTTGTTTGTTTGTTTTGTTTATACATGCACTAGGTACAGTCAGAAGCGCGGGAGGGTGAGAGAATTCACCAGAGCCAGAGCGGGGAGCAGAGCAGGCAGAAGGACCGAAGTACACTGCTGAGGGGAGCAGCGGGCGGCAGGAGAGGTCTGCGCACCATGTGGGACCCTCCTCCGGTGGCCGGGGAGCAGCCGGGGATCGAACCGGCGCCGCAGAGGCCGCGGGCAGCCTCGCAACCCAGCGCTCAACCGTTGCGCCACCGGGGAGGACCAATTTTTAGGTATTTTAATGAGGCAAAGAAAGGAGAGTAAAGTAAGTTATAATGCAAAGTAATGACTACAGAAAAAGCACAAGCATGACTGGATTAAAATAACACAATTATACTTTCAGGTATTAGAAAATGCAAGAGTATTTTTCTTTTCTCATCACACAATATCAAATTTCATGGCATATCCTACAGGTCAACTGAAGAATTCAACAGGTAACACAGAAGAGGGTTTCTTAACCTCAGCACTGATAACATTTTAGGCTGGAGATTCTTTGTTGCAGGGCTGCACTGTGTATTGTAGGGTGGTTAGCAGCATCTCAGGTCTCTACCACCAGAAATCAGCAGCATCCCTTCCCCAAGATGTGTCAACAAATGCCTCCAAAGCACTGCCAATGTCTCTGTCCCCACTGAGGATCACTGACAGAGGGGTACAACCTCTGTGACAGGAGAGAAGGCTGCACACCTGTGCCTCCCCGACTCCCCAGCATGTGGTCCACTGTATAGCCCCCAGAATGTTCAGGTTTTCATCTGTCCCCCAGGCAGTGAGGTAAGGAATTAAGAGAGTTCCCCACGAGATGTCAGGTCTCCGTCCCTTGGGTCACTTGGCAGTTAGATAACCAAGTGTTCTGTTAGCTTCATGGACTTGTAGCTTCTGTTCCCTCCCCAGGTTGGGGCATTCTTAGCTATTATTTCTTTGAATAAGCTTTTTGGTTTCTTCTCCCTCTAGCCAGTATCTGGCATACCCATGATCCTTGTGTTGTCTTTCCTAATGAAGTGCATGACTCTCGTGGCGTTTCTTCTTTGTTTTATATGTATCTTATTTCTCTCTTCTTCCACCCGGATGACTTCTAGGTGTCTATCTTTGAATTCAGATGCCTTGTGCTATTAGATCTAGCCACACATCCACGCGGACAGAGTAGCATACTTCTGAGTCTTTCTTGTACATTGAGACAGAAGTTTTACTAAACCCCCTTCAGAGGAGAGTTCAAGAAACAGCTATGTGTTTACTTAGGGAAAAGTCAAGATTCAAAATGAGAAATGGTGCTTGACTTCTTAAGGTGGAGCTGATAGCAACTCTCGGTAGTGACTAATCATCATAAACTTCTTCAGAATTATCTGAAAATCACCTTGAAAGCTACCCAGGGATAAAAAAAATATTTACCTTACTTTTCAACCTGAGGCTAGTGTGTTCTTTTTTTAAAAGAACAAATGAGATTCTTCCATCAAGCTTTTGAAATTTCAGAGCTTAAAGTGTCACTCCACTTTAGCAGAAAGTACATTTGAGGAGTAAGCAGAAATTATAGCAGGAGTTGCTGGCAAAACCACTTACACTGTAAGGGGGAAACCTAAAGAGAGCTCACAGGCCTACCACATAGCCAGTGGTGCCTCTGAAAGCACGCCTTGTGTATTGGTCCTTCAAACACCTGAAGAGCCTCCCTGGTGGTGCAGGGGGTTAAGACGCAACCTATGAAGGTATTCACAGCCACTGAAGCAGAGTTCAATTCCTGGCCGCCCAGGGAGCAACCCATCTGGCACAGCAGACCTCTTCTGTCTCGCCCTCTGCTCCCCTCAGCAGTGTACTTCAGTCAATCTGCCTGTTCTGCTCCCCACTCTGTCTCTGGTGAATCCTCTCAACTGCCCCACCCCCACCCCCGGCATCTCTGGTCTGTACCCCAGTTCTTGTATGCATAAATAAATCTTTTTAAAAAATAAAATAAAAAATAAACATCTCAGTGTTGAAACTTTCAGGACTTCCTTTGGTAATGGTCTCCAACGTTCTTGCAATACAGTTTTAAAGTAATAATGTCATATCAATTAAGTCTACACATTAAATTACAAGCAGAGCCCTGCTCCCAAATTAGAAGTATGAGTTGAACAATTATGAGATACATCTTGAAACACAGATCTGGCCTCTTTAATTTGCAAGCCTCAAACATGAACCTCATATCATTTACCTGTATAAATGGAAAGTAGTACAGTGGAAAGAGGCTAAGACCAAAAATCCAAAGACTGGGTTAAAGGTGCAGCTCTGTGTGTAACTAACTACACTGTACATTGTCTAACATGAACTTCACCTGTAGAAAATGGAGGTGTTAGACTAAACGATGATTAAACTTGTCTTGGGGGAGAAAGATGGGACACAGAAAGTTATGAGACTAGAGAATACAACAGAAGGGTCCCGAGCCCTTTCTTAGTCCGTCAAGACTGAGAGTGGATGGGGCTGAGGAAGGACTGGGGAGAAAGAACAGCAGCTGCTGGAGGCTGAAGTACTCACAGATGTAGAGCTGGGCAGGGAGAAACCCTGGCAAGTGTCTCTGTAACAATGGCAGGGAACTAGCCTGGGGTGTTTTGTAAGTGTAAGCCATCCTAAGTTAGAAACGGTTTGCACCACATTGCCATGACAGAAAATCAGATCACATCAAAGCACTAAAAGGGACTCTGAGAAGTCCACTAGAGTCTACAGATTAGCTCCTTCTTTCAGGCGGACACACTGTTAACTCTCAAGCCAGACAAAGAATCTATAAATTATCTTTTTAAAAAAAAAACTAATGGAAAACAATTATGGTTCTTTTTAGCAAGCAGCTCTGCGTATGTGTATATATTCAGTGTATTCTCAAGTTCTTCAACAGTTCTACTAAATGGATTCAATTCTAAAAGTAATTACCATATCCCAAAGAAAACAAAATGCACAATTTTACCAAATCTTATCAATCTACACTGTGAAAGTACCACTCCCAGGTGTGCACTCTTTATAGATAGCAGGTTCTATCAGACAAATCAACATCAAGAACTTTATTGTAGTCAGCTAAATGTACTTTACTCTTGAACCACCTTAGTCATTGTTAAAATAACATTTCAGGAGTCAGAATAGCAGAAAAGCAAGCGTTAAATGGAGCTGAAATACTGGGTTTATTCTCCTCAAACTATACAGAAATGTTAGCTTATGTCCCATTACTACTAGAATTCCTGTACTTGGGAAGTGTCTTCACTGTTCGAGTAGCTATAACAAAATACCAAAGACTGAGTAGCCATAAACAACAGACACTTATTTCTCACAATTCTGGAGCCTGGCAACCCAAGTGCAGGTTGCCAGCCTCATGAGGCTCTGGTGAAGGCTTCTCACTGAATCCTCCCATGGCAGAGGAGTCTAGGGATCATTTTACAAGTCACTGCATCCATTCATGAGGGGTCCACCCGTATGAATTAAACACCTCCAAAGGCCTCACCTTCTAATATCATCTCGTTTACGTGTTAGGATTTCAATAAATGAATTGCGGGGGGGGGGGGTGAGGGTGCATACAAACACTCAGTCACACGTCAGCACTTTCAAAGTCACTTAGAAACAAGGATATATGTCACTGCATATTAAGAGAAAAAGTAAGGAAAATGGGGAATATAAATTTATCATTTTTGTTAAAAAATATTTGCACTTTAAATTATAACAACTGTATTATTTAAAATGTAAACCATCTACATGTAAACTTCAATAGTGAGACAGCAGACGATCTTCTGAATAAGGGGAAGTCACTTCTGAATGCTGATACATTGTTCTCCTCTAATAATGCAGGAATAGCATCACAGCCCTGCAAAAATACTTGCCTTAGAGGCAGCAGGAAAACACAACAGTAACACTGTATTATCTCTATACCCGGAACTGTGAAACATTTCTCTTAGGAGTTAATCTCTCCATGGTGTAAGTCCCAGCTTGGAAATGCTAATGGGACACTTTTCTATTCTCTATCATCCCAAATCCAGAATGCCCAACCAGTGATCACTTGCATCCCAAGTCAGAGTTCCCTATACCTTCCCTGATTGCAATGTCATCTACATTGAATGTCATCTCCAGCACTCAACCTATAGACTGAAAATCACTTCTTCCCATCTTTCAAGCAGGCGTTACATACATGAGAAGCAGAGGCCTAGACTTTAAGGAAGAGATTCTCTGCCTCAAAAATCAAACCCAGCCACACTATTCATGGATCCCTCACAAATTCACTTCTTTTTGTTTCTTTACTTGTATAATATAAATACTAATCAATGCTTCTCACCATTTTGAAGACATGGAGGGTTTTGGGAGGAGGAGGTGGTGTGAAATGGGTGAAAGGGATTAAAAAAAAAACTTCCTGTTACAAAATTGATAAGTCCAGGAGATGTGATGTACAGCACGGCAACTATAATCAATAAGAGGGTATTGCAAATTTGAAAGCTGCTAGGAAAAAATGGTAGACTGATTAGACAACCATTTCACAATGGATACAAACATTGAATCATTATGTTATGCACCTAAAACTGAAATAATGTATTTAAATTATACTGCAATAAAAAACAAGTTTCAATATAAAAATATTAATGAATAGTAAAATTAATTTTAATACAATAAAATCATAAAGTCATGTTTGGTTTTAAATCAGGATCAAAGCACTATATATCCAATGATTTTAATCTTCTAAAAATTATGACTACAGATGCATAAAGTTTGTGATAGAAATACAAAGTTTTTTTGTTAAGATGAAACAATATGGACATTTTTAATGCTGTTATACGATTCTTATAAGGAATTTGAAATATAAAAAATAAATTTGAAGTATTTAAATGTAAACTAGAAAATGTTCATATATGCCAAAGCTCTGAAGGAAAGAGAAGGCTGGGGCTAGATGTAGGGCCTTTAAAATAGTAACTGAAGAAAATAAGTTGTTCTTACCCTTGTGCCTCTTCAGTTGGGGAAAGCTGCTAATTGTAGTTGCCTGGATTATTTCCACTACAATTTGATACCTAATTTTAAAAAAGAGAGAATAAGAAAAGATTGAATAGGAAGAAAATACTATTTTAAGAGACACATTTTGATAGCATTGGCACTAAATAAATGCAACAGAGGAACTGTGAATCCTGCCCGAGTGTCATTAAAAATGGTAACACATCTGAGCAGAAGATAAACTCGTGGCTTTACCTACAATAAAGACATACCACTTTTTTCTCTTCAACATCATGAGAACAGGATCATGCTTTATATTCTTCCAAAGGACCTAGCTCCACACTACACATGGGGTAGGCATTCAGTAAATATTGAGTGTGCAGACTTGAATTGAATGTTTGTATCCTGCTCCCCATTCCCCCCGCCAAAAAAACCAAAAAACAAAAAACACCTCATGTGTTAAAGACTAATCCCCAGTGTGAATGTCCTGGGAGGCAGGACCTTTGGGAGATAAGATTCTGAGGGCAGTGTCCTCATAAATAAGGTGAGTGTCCTCAAAAAAAGAGATTCTAGGTGCTTTGGTGGTTGGGAGAGGTGTGGTAACCATACCTGAAGGGAGAAATCCTGTTGTCAAAAAATTAACAAGGATATAATATAATGGTACTTCATTTAAAATAATGATAGGGGCTTCTCTGGTGGGACACAGCGATATCAAGCTATCACCAGTCACTGCAGCACAAGTTCCATCCCCAGCTGGCCAGCAGCTAACCCACATGGCACAGCAGACCTCTCCTGTCTCGCCTGCTGCTCCCCTCAACAGTGTATTTCAGTGGATCTGCCTATTCTGCTCCCCACTCTGTCTCTGGTGAATCCTCTCATCCACTGCACCTCCGGCCTATACCCTGTTCTTGTATGCATAAATCAATAAATCTTTTAAAAAATAAAATAATAATAGTAATAATGATAATAATAATAATGCGGGTATATAACAGAAAAAGAAAGATACTCTGGAGAGTTCATATGCTCTCTTTCCACTGTGCAAAGTGATGGGAGAAGAAATCCATCCATCTCTGCCAACCAGCCTCCAAAAGTATGAGAAGCAAATGTTTGTTATTTAAGTCAACCATTCTATGGTATTTTTGTTAAAGCAGTCCAAACTAAGACAATGATCTAAATTAATGAGTTAACATCTGTAACACTTAACAGGTACAAATAATATTCTGAACAGTCTGCTCTTTTTTACATTCTTAGTGATCCATGCTCTGGAACAAATGAGTCATCTATGGTACTAAAGAAAATACATAATTTTTTTAATAAAACCATGAAATTATAATGTAATACCAGCTAGCACTGACAGATTCTTTTCAGTAAGTACCAGGTACCTGTTTAGATACTTTAATTTACATTATTTCATTTAATCCTCATAATAAGTTGCTACGATTAAAAAAACTGGAGATCAGGTAGATTAAGAAGTCTACAAACAAGGTCTCACAGCTTTTAAGTACTCGAGCTCAACTTGTAGCTGAGCTTATAGGGCTGCCTGACTCTAAAGCTCATGTTCTTAACTACATTCTTAACCTTAACATTCAATACAGGTTAATGTTTATCCTTCAAAGCAAGCAAGCATGGCCAATGCCAGACCATCTTTCCAGCCTAAGACCTTCTTCTACATCCCTCTTGGACACCATTTCCTCCTGCCAAACCAGCCTGCAAGACCATGGACAGAGGCCAGCTCTCTCCTGATCCCCAGTCTTTGCTCTCTTTTCCTCTCTTCCACATAATCCTTCCCCACTTATCTGTAGAAACCTAGTCACTCCTAAACACTCATGTTCATGGCCGTTCCTCTCTAAACATTCCTTAGAGTCCTCTCTTCTGCAGGATGAAATATTTGCCCCTCCCCACTTTAGCTCTTTCTACTCCTAGCCTATTTAATATCTTGCTTTATATTTAGGTTTTTATAACCACATGGGTTTCCTAGGATGAATTTCCTAGGGTGGAGCGCAGACGAGATTTAAATGTGGCAGCACTGTGACCGACTCAAAGCAGGGCGGCGCTGGCGGGTGGCAGGTCCCATCTCCTTGAAACTACAATGTAAAGATGGATGTGGGACGTTGAGTGCAGAGGCCCCTTATCTGCAGCTCTGCATCTGAGTGATCAATGAGGCTTTCTTTGTGTCAAGAGTAGGACATGCCGTTCCTAGTGACAGAATTCCAAACAGCAAAGTTCCTGAGTGTCTAGGACTTTAGAAGGCAAAGTTTTTCAGTGAGTAAGAAAACAGTTGCTCAAAGAAGGCAATCATTTTTGACATTCTGAGTAGACTTGGAAGAAATATTGTTTCCTATGCTTGTAGCTGGTGTTAGTGTCTGTTATACCAGGCTAATAAATGGCCAGGCAGATTTTACTTACTTAGTCTGAGCCAATTTTACTTTTCCTAAAGTAACATATGTTCATTAAAGGGGAAAATACACAGAACACAACACTCAAAGTTAACCAATACTAACATTTGGTGTATCATTATAATTATTTTTCTATGCAAACGTATTTTTATGTTGTTTTACAGAGTGGATTTATGCTATAAAAGCTTGCTTTTAGGATCTTTTTATCAGCTTATAGTTACTATTTTCCAATATTATTAGTCTGATGCAACACCAATGCTATATGGCAATTCATTGCATGGATGGATCAAAATTGCTTTAACCAAACCTTTAATGTTAGACATTGAGGTTATTTTGATTTTTTTCTCCATTTTAAACAAAACTGAACAAACATTCTTGAAGAAATCTTCCCACACATTCACGATAATGAAAATAAATTTTTACGAATTTATCTTATCAAAAAAATACACGTATTGTGATCAGTTTTTCAAATATAAAACTGTTACAGAAAGGTGGTAATTTATACTCCTACCAGCAAGATATGTGGCTATTTCCTAATACCCTTGCCAAGACTAGGTTTCAAATTTTTAATCTATACCAGTAATATGAACAAAGAAAAAGTATTTCATTTTAGTCTTTATGTCTGAGAACTATGAAGATAACAACAAGGCTCTGAGTTATTTCTTCATGTGACATGTTTACTGACACTAAAGAGGAAGTATCAGGAAACTGAAGCACCAACAGGGGAAATATTTTCAGCTGGGCCTCAGAGGAATAAGAGGCACTTTTGCTAAAAGGGCTTTGAAACCTCCTGTCATATTTCTAGCATGCAGAAGGCAGCCAATGCACAGGATGCCACCATTGCCACTGATGGCACACTAGCAAGTGATAATACCGGAACCGAACACTGGAGTGACTTGTCATCCCCAGGCCAACCCAGCCACTCAGGAGCTGAGGAAACCTTCATCCCCACATGCCTACACATTGTATTTGAGTCACAGCACCAGCAAGTTCTGAACCACAGCAGCCTGGCATGAACTTCTATCACACACACACACACACACACACACACCCACACACACACAAAATTTGTATTATCTACACAGAAAATAATGTGGGACTACATACACCAAGCATTAACAATTTTTCTCTATTTGTGACAGGTGATTTCTGTTTTCTTAAGCTTGTTTCTATTTTGTAATCATCCTAAAATAACTACATGGTACCATATATTCATTTTCTACTTCCAGAGCCTACAGAAATTGCAAGTTACAGAAGCGTCCAAAGTGCTGCCACCTCGGTTAGCCAGTGCCCTTAAGTTAACCTCAAGAAAGTCAAAATTGCTCTGCTACCTGTATCTACTAGGGTTCCTCATATTTTTATGCCTGCTGCTAACACCCCTATAGAGTGTTCACTTATGCATGTATGTACATTACCACTGCTATGTGTTTCTTTCTCAATTCATATGAATTTTCACTCCAAATGTTTACTGAGTATCATCTTTCATACCTGGCTTTATACTGAAAATACCCTAACGACTTTCTCATACGTTTTGAGAGCAGTTATTCTGAAATAAGGTGCTAGGGTGATGTTTCATTTCCTCCATTAGTTGTACTCGGCCAGGATCTGAGAATTTGTCACCTTCTCCTGACCTCTGTTACTTTTTCAGCTTACTGAGAGCCTCGCGTGTCCTGAGAATTGTGTTAAGACATTACATTTTTAATCTCATTTACTTATCACATCAATCTCATGAAAGAGTAACTATTTCACAGTTAAAACTGAGGCTCAGCGTTTTAGTGATTTGCATGCAGGTTGCAAGCAGCAAAGCTAAAATGCAAACTAGGTCTTTGAACCCTGGTGTAATATGGTAGCACGAAGATCTTTGAATTCTTAGGAGTAGGTTCAAGTCCTGCAATTCTAGAAATAAGAGGGCTTAAACCTCTATTATTTACTCTATCAAAGTAACTCTTTTATCAGGTTCGTCTGAGCCTTGAGTTCATTTTCTGGGCCAGGATCTACCCCAGGTGCTGGAGTAATCACCTCACCTGCTGTTCTCAACTCTCATCTGCCTAGACTGCACTGGAGTCCAGGGCAGGGTCAGCAAACACAGAGCATGTGTGGCCACCAAGCCATGCTGCACTGGAACCAGTTTTCTCAATTTGTGCCGGTTCACGGGGCCGGCTGTTATGTTTCAGGAGTTAAAGTCACCAAAATAAAAATGAAATTAGACAAACCTACAATTTAATAAATGATATCTTTTAAAAGTTACTAGTACTCAAAACTCATTTCCCAATCATCTTATTCCTTTTACTATTATCTATGCTTGAGGTGGTATTTATCACATCAATATGACAGAAATACTATGTACCTCTAAACTCCTAGGCCCATCAAATGTCTTCTCACCTCCGCATCCAGTGATGTGATGCCAGCTATGACAATGGGCCATAGTGGGAGTATTAACACCACAGAAATCAGCAAATGCTACAAGTCAGGGTTTCTCACTCCTCCCCACAAAAGCTAGCTGTTAAAAATTGCCAGCAGGCTATTTCTACCACTCTTCACTACCATCCCTTTAGTAGACATGTGACTCATAAAATTCTTTTCTGCTCTGTAAGGACTTAGCACCACAGTCTTTTTTTTTTTTTTTAATTGAAAGAACACTATCTACCCACCCTACCCACCTTCAAACTCCTGATGTTTCATTC